ACAAAAATTCTGCATGAATTTTGGGGGGCCATTAAAAAAGAACACATAAGGATGTATCAGTGAGTTGTGTACAAGTATATGTACTGGTGTGTCACTTCATGTACTGCTGTATTAAAAATATATTGGGCTAAGTACATGAGGATAAGATGAGTTTCTGTATTTTACTCTATTTCTCAGGTTTTCTATCAGTAAGAGGAATAGATTTAACTAGCAAATAATATAAAAATTATCTCTATATTTAAAGTAGGTCATTTTAATCTACTCTAACAGTGGACCTAACACTGGGGGATAGAATTATATAGTCCATTTTAACATAACTATTTCCAAATTAGCAAGATTTAAAAGAAAAATTCAAGAATAACTGTCTTATCTAACAGGCAAATAGTCTAAAATACTTTTAAAAAACTCAGACTAACCTTTGGGGAAGGGAAAATAAATAATAAACATAATTAATAATTATGTATTTGAAAGAATCCCTAGTGTTTTATATTTACATTGATTATTTTTAATATATCCCAAACTCATAAAAACAAGATCATGTTAAATATAGCAGTCACTTCAGTGAAGGGGCATCTCTCATTTAATTAATGCTATTAAAATACCTTTCTCAAGATATCCAGGCTTGCTATAAATCCATGTTCAGAGTTCTCCTAATATAGATGACATTATGGAATTCTCATCCTTTCTCACATTCCAAAGGTATAACTTTCCAGAAATACAGAGGGAAAGATGAACTGAGACATTCATGGATGACATTATAATAATCATAGAATACCCTAAGAACTCAAAAATGACTATAAGGATCAAGCAATTGCTGTTTCTTGTCTTCCGGAAAAAAAAAAAAAAAAAAAAGAAAAAGAAAGAAAACCAAGTAATAAAACCTGTTATTATAAGTTGGCTAAATATTTAATAAATATGTAAATATGATTTGACTAAATATTTAAGCGTTTTAAACAGGAAAATAATAGCACCAGAAAGGTAACAGATGAATTTTTAAAATCTTTTGGGTGGCACTAGGTAAAGCAAAGATACTGTGTTTAACTTAGTGATACCTTTGGCTCATAAAATGTTAAGATCTCAAGAAATTAATATTTTCTTGCTAGGGCTTACAGTAAAAATGTTGAAGGACAGGACTTTCTTTTGAAAGAATGCCCTAATGACTTCAGTAGCGGTCAGCAATGTGCTGCTGAAAGTCCTCCTGATCTTCCTTCAGAGCACCATGATCTCTATGCACATGGCTCACCCTTAAATGAAAATCAAGAAATCACAGTAAGTATGACTTTAATTGCCTCTTAACTTTTGTGTATTTAGAAATTGCTTATTGTAAATTGTTTCATCACTACATATTGAMTTCAGCATAGTTAATTCTAGAATAATAAGAATCAGATCTGTATTTCAACACTCTAGTCCGCCACGAACTATAATCCCTTTTTTTTCTCTTCTGTCATTAGCAACTTCCACCTACCTACTTGTTAGGTAATGCAGATGTTTTCATTACAAAATAAATATGACTAATGGAGAATAGCACCTGCCATAGTAAATGTTAACTGCTATTTCTCTTCCTCCTCTTACAGTTTTTACTTGTCTCCCCATAGATCCAGTTCCTACTTTAGGGGGAGTGCTTTCTAAACCTGCATCCATTTGTGCACTTTCTTCATAAATAGGTGTTGAAGTTTTGAACCCACTGAATTGCTATTTTGAGTATATAAGCAAAAGCAACTATTTCTACAGAGAAATTCACCAACAACCATTAACAGACCATATCTCATACTTCCATTTCATTGGTCATTTATTGCAATGGCAATAAATAGGTGTTGAAAAGGAAGAACCAGATCTAGAATGGAGAGTGGAGACTATATAACTCGGGGAAAAAAGTCAGTAGGTATCTTAATAACAGTAGGATGGAAATGAAGATACTGGAGAAATAGATTAAACTTAAAAGCACTTTGAAAGGGGTTTTCCTAAAATCCTCTTTAGGCTGAAAATGAAGACCAGTCCCCTGTGACAGCCATTTCCTCTTGACAACAGAAGCAAAGTGAAACAATGCCCCAAAGTCATTACATTTTCAGTACATCCCACTTTGAGAGATATTTAGGTCGAAATTTGCACATTTGCTRAAAGAATAAGGTAGTATATATTTGACATTTACATATTACTTGACACATGAACTTAAACAAATTATTTGAAACTTAACTGAAAATGTTTTCCCTTTTAGTCTTTGTGGTGGGAACGACGGTCTTTTCCACTGAAGGATGAAGATATGGCAGCTTTATTATGCCAAGAGGATAAAAACAATCAGACTGAGGTGTCAAGCACAGCTTTCCATGCTGAAGTCGTCTGTACCAGCACACCAGAGAATGGCCACCACCCCAAAAAACAGCTAGGTGGAACAGAAGAGTATAAAGCCTTTGGTCTAGGAATTACTAATGTTAAAAAAAATAGGTGACAGGCAACAGGCAACAGGTGAAGAAAATGATGTAACTGAAGGGAAGTCAGGAGGGGAAAAAAAAATAGCCCTGTTCTGGATCTCCCATCCACCTCTGGTCATACTTCCAGAATAACAGAATGTACTGCATGTATTTACCTTTCATGCTGTTTATCGGGAACAGGCAAGATTGTTTCTTTACCTTCTTGAACCACAGAAGTAGCTAGCTTTTCACCTATAGACAAATGCTAGGCATCTGTGTTTATCATATAAATTACAAGCACCAAGATATTAACTGCTGCAATTTGATGTCAAATCACATTATTGGGTAATTTTTAACATCACAAACATACACACACTCACCCTTGCATTAAATGAGAGCTATTTTCTTTCCTATTCACATGGTAATTCACTAAAATTGCCTCAAAATATATTAATATACAAATATACATATAGAATGTGCGCACACGCGCGCGGGGTTTTCAAATTAYACTGGCAGTGACCCACTCCACTTTAAACTGCATGTACCAACTTGCCCTATGAAATGTAAGCTGCAATAAATATAAAGCACATGTTTCCTCTGATTAAAAAAAAAATTTTTTTTGAAAGTCTTGGCTATGGAGAGGGAGTTATTTTTGTTTTTTAACATGTTTAACCAAGAGAAGTTATTTATGGAAATTCTTATCCCACATAATAAAATACTCAATTTATTTAAAATCAATGATATCTGTTGGACTGACAGCAGGCTACTTTCTGTTACTCCTAACAGAATTGAGACAAGCAAATTAGTTATATATGGGCGCACTTTAAATTATACATCTTTGAAAACACCAATTTAAAATGTGCAATAAACAGGAAAATCCTTCATTATAAAATTTAAACAATGGTTTAATTCTAGTCTAGAAATACTGTTATATTTCTAACTAATTTGATCCTTCTTTGTCATAGCTTAGTCAAATGTCTATTCTGACTTGCATCCTAGATTTCAAATTAGAACTTCTCAGACACCAATACTTCAATATTTGATACTGAGATTGCACATTTTGAGGCTATTCTATTATATTTTTTCCTTTGTGAAACGAGGACAATTTGTATGAATCACTTGGTCATGTAAAATGGTTATTCAAGTTATAACACTCATCTAACTGAAATTCTGACTATTTGGCCTAGACTATGAAATTTGACACAAAGTTTTTGTTTAGGAATGGAAATTATACTGGTCCCTATAAAAGGGGATAAAATTCAAATTCAATACTGACAAAACTTCCTTGTAGTTTCACTGTACATTTATTCTTAAAGAGAAAAAAAAAAAAAAGCCTGACATACAAGTTGTCCTGGCAAAAAAAATTCAAATCTTTGTCTTGTCTGATATTATAATCTTCTATGTAAGTTTTTTAATTAAAGTTATTTCTATATGCCTTGCGTTGTATGATTTGATTAAATACTACCTATTTATGGCACAAACTTCTCCTAAGGCAAAGTACAACTTTTACCTTGTATAGGAAAAAAGCCTAAGTAAGTTCTATTACATGGATAGGTTATCAATATTCTTATTTTTTGAAACTCATTTCTCAGAACTCCCAGCAGCATCAGGAAATTTTATGATACTGATCCTATTATTTTGTGCCATAATTATTACACTGAGAATATTTAGAAGAATAAAGTAGCTGATACCTACTAATCTCTGTATAACTGGGAACAGTTATAAATACCGAGTTTATGGATTAACACTACCACATCATCTCTTGGCCTACTTGGTCTTTCTTAGAATAAAATATATATCCCTGGGGTAAAGATCTATAAACTCATATTATTATCAGTCATCTGAACTAATACGATAAAGACTGACTGGAAATCAGACAATTAAGTAAAAGAAGCTTCTTTTACCTAATCTATTTCCCAAAGGTTCTTGGGGCAGGGTGTGGCAGGGGGATTGAACAGATCAGAAATACAATGTCATACTGGATCTTTCCATGATACCAGCCTATCACAGAGCTTTAATTTCATTTTTTAAACAGAACAAAATACCTATCCTGCCATTTGTAGGAGTAATTCATAGGTTTAATAAGATTATACAAAAGTTACTTTATAACCATGTTTCCATAAACTTACATTGCTATCTACTACTTTGTGCTGAGCATCCTCTAAATTCTGGAAATAGTACTAGAAGCTTTCTGTATATCAACAATTATCTCTTTTAATCTTCAACTCATCTCTGCTTGGTGGTTATTATAGTCAACATACAAATGAAATCAAAAGTGTGAAAAGGGTGGGTGATTTGCTGAGATCAAACAGCTAGAATCGCAGAGTCAGGATTCAACTCAATGAATACCCAAAGCTTTACTTTTTATCTTTGGAGAGCTAATACAAAAGCATTATTTAATGTCCTTATGAATGCTGAATGAGGTTAAGAAAACCAGGAATAGGAAAGAATCACAAAGAAAACATCTCAATAAAAATCTATGCTTGCATTTTAGAACCCCTGGGTTTCATAAGACATTGCCTTTACAGTTTTTGATTAATGAAATCTAAGGTGATAAGTGAAAAATAAATGTTCAGATCCAAGACCACAGTATGCCATCCTGCCCAAGCTTGTATTTTTTAGCTCCACACTACTCATATTATCAATCATATAAACAAATCACAAATGACGTGAAACAGGAAAAACAAAGGAAAAATGTAAGGGCTTCCTTTGCTTTTGGAAAACAGCTGGGAAACAATAGAACGTTATTTTTAAAAACATGGAAAAAAATTTTTCATAGTAGCTAATGTCTATCCACCTTAGGCGTTATGATACATTTCTTTTTTGTAACCTTAATACRGCCCATATTTTCACTCTTTATAAAAATCAATTCTATTAGAAACAGTTTTTTAACCACACTAACCTTTAAATTGGATCACTAAAGAATGTTGTGTACATCAATTACTAAGCTCTTAGAGCATTCTGCACAATAGATTTTAATCACTGGAATGAATAATTGCTCAGAAAAGCAGCACTGCCTCAACCTGGTATGATTTGGTAGTCAATATTCCTGTTTTCYAGTAAAAAGAAGGTTTCATGAACACAAACTCTGGATTCCTTATGATTTCATCAATCAAGAGACCATTTCTGAGCAGCTTCTGAGCAAACATTTCTTAGTAAGTTGATCACAGATCTGGGGTCTTCACTCCTCATAATGGCACTGCCAGACACAATCATGTTAGCTCCTGCCTGGAAGAAGTAAACACTTAGGTTATGCCTTAAATGAAGAAGCAGAAGAACCTACAGCAGAATTCTACCATTGCCTACCCCAGCACTTGGTCCAAAATCCACTTTCAGATAAGCAAACTGAAGCAATCTAGTTCAATGATGTAAGAAGTTATGATATTCACAAGAATGTAAAATTATTTTTTAAATGTGAATGTAAATTTATTTTTAAATGTATCTTAAGAAATCACTGAACTTTTTTGTTAAATCAATTCTCAATAAGTTACACAATTGTCTTTGCTAATAGATAAAATTTTCAATCCTTTAATCTAAAATTCTATTAAGGTTTCTTCCTCAATATATACCAATGCCCCCAGAGATACTAAAGAAACAATCTTTGAATTATTTATATGAATTTTGGGAAATTCTGAAAGGACAATTACCATGAAAATGTTAAAATTATCCATATGACATCAGCAACATTGAATCTAAATGATTTCTCACTTTGTGTCAGAAATATTTCTACCCTAACATTCCAGAATGGTTTTAATAATCTAGAAAAGGTTTTCAAAATGATGGTTTGAGATGCAAAAACAAAGAAAGAAAAATACATTTTAAAAAACAAAGTACGATGCCTCCAAATTTAGTTCTGAACTTCCCAGCATATGACATGAGAAGGGAAACTCAATGTGTTAWGTGATTCCTTGCTAGAAAGGGGAGGAGGGGGAGAACTACAAGCTGAGGAACATTTCTCCAGTGTTACACTATCACTTTATGACAAAACATCACATCTCTAACAACATTCCTCACAGAAATAAGTTTTATAGGGTCACCACTTGGTATGTCTCTTCATTTGAGCAGGAATAGCATAATAGCAAACAGTTAATACAAAGCAATTCCACAAGGGTCAAAACTTGATAGGTATGTATCAAGCATTAGGGGAAAAAAACAAACAAAATCTCCTACAGTGGCTACTGTAGGAGAATCTAGAAGTGCAGATACACAATACTACTGGATAAGAGTAGGCCTCACAAGCATTTACTACCTACAGTGCTACAGAAGGGATGCCATCCTCTCATGAAGGTGAGGCCCAACTAAGCAGGCTGGTTATCTAGATAAAACAAAACTAGAACACTTCACCTCTATGTAGAGGACCAAATGTGGACCAGGCCTAGATTTTTGTCAAAATGGTCCTAGTCTGTTTTAACAAGGAACAGATTACAAATATATCTAAGTTCTAAAAATTAACATAATAACTATGAAAATTAAATTTCTCTATTTTTCCCTTTGATGAGATATCTTTTCTTTCCCTGTTTTAGAAAAATTTCTTAGTCCTAAGAACTTAATGGTCTTCCAAAGGGCTAGTATTCAATATATTCTTTTCTACAAAGAACTTTCTTTAGCATTACTGATATAACCAAAATTTACTTTATTTAACAATTCGTCACTTTAAAAATTTACTTATTGGTCTTTAGTTTCTTAATTCTACATTTAAACAAATAAAAAGAAAGAGAAAAATACTTTCCTGAGGAACAAAGTCAACTTAGGAAATGTAGGGGAAATCTCTTTCGCCCATAAGACAGTGTCTTACAAATTTTATCTGACAAGAAATTGGTCTAGTAACAGTCAAGGAGCAGTCTCACCTCTGCACATTTATGGACAGTGTCAGGACCTACTCCACCATCGACCTCTATATCCAAAGATGGGAACTGGGTCCTCAACCAATGAACCTAGATATACATGAAGAAATAAGTGACTCCTAAAGTGGATATGGGGGGGGAACCAAACAAAATCAAATAGTTATACTAGCCATTATAACTCCAAATCTCCAAATAACTGTATCAAAACATACTGGGCACACTTGTTCTTTAATGTACTGAAACAAATTAAGCTTTATCAGAGTGGGTTTTGTTCTGTTTACCAAATGGCATTCAATTTGCCATGTTTTTAGAGACATGTAAACAAGATAAAGACAAACCCTCTATATTCAAAGAAAACTTCCAAGGGATCTAAAGGTTAGGACAGTTTTGAAAGAAAATTTCACTATAGGGATACATCAGCTCTGATTTTAAAACCTAAATCTACTTCCGTATTTGTCATCCTATATTACAACAATCTGTAGGCACCAACGTCTCTTTTCCCTGTGATAGGATGACTTAATAGACAAGTCTTTCAATATGTTTAGTGAAAGAACACATACAATAAAATTCTCATCCCAGAATCAAATTTTTTTTTTACCTTTGGCATCATATCTTCCATGAATTTCTGCCCTCCAAATCCAGGTTCCACTGTCATAACCAAGGCCATATCTATTTGATTAGCCCATGGTGCCAAATACTCAACTGTAGTTCCTGGTTTGATGGCAAGGCCAACCTATAACAGAGAAAAAATTATTACATCACACAATTATTTTACTTATTATTGTGCATATTGGGCACAGTATAAATACCATTTTTTTAAAAAAAGAATAATAAATGGAATACATAGATTAATTCATTTGTGGCTGTCAAAAGTAAATGGTTCTACACGGCAGTAATTTTCATAAAACATTAGTGGCATATGTAAATCCTATCTGATAAACAAGTCTCATTCTTAAAATCCTAGCTTTACAGCTGAAGCAGGTGCTTACATCAAGTCTTCTTTACCTGCCACTTCTTGCTTTCCATCAAATCTGCCAAATCCTGAAAGGGAATAGTATAAAACATTACCATCAATAACTTCTTACCTTCATCCCATTTTCCCGGATGTCTTTAATCAAAGCCCCTGGGTTCTCAGTGGCCTCTAGATGAAAGGTGTATTGATTGGCTCCTGCTACAGCCATTGGCTTTACCCACTGTTCCGGCTTGGACACCATCATGTGCATGTCTAGAAAGAAAAGACACAGCTTCTAAATATTACTGGAAAGAAAATACCTGACTCATACAGTTGAAATCAGTCTGTAGTCTTTGACATTTTGAATGTAAACTCTCCTGGCATGACAGAGACTAAACAGCTATACTTCAAGGTAGTTTCCCTTTATCCTGAAGACAGGTTTGCTCAAATTCATTTGCGGGAAAAAAAAGAAAAAAATTCCAAAGCACATGCTGCTGTACATGAGTGCCACTCCAGAAACACAAACAAGTCACACTATCTGTGCAGCCTTGCTTTCTCTTAGAGAGCTAAATTTTGTGATTCCATTTATTCTTTCAACAAACTTAATAAACATTTCCTGCACCATTAACTATTCTAGGCCGTAGGAATAGGGCAGAAAACAAGGTATTAGTGGCTGTTTCTCTACTATCATGGTGATTACATTTTTTAGCAGCAGAGAAAACCAATAAAATAAGTAAAATATAAACAAAGTTGGCAGTTAAATAAAGAAAGTGTGTCTGGGATCAAGGTTGTCCAGGGATGAGAAGATGAAGTCAGAGAAAGGAATGCAGTGAGGAAATACAGCACAGAGCTGGGCAGGCCCTCAGGTTTTATTCGAAACAAGAAGTGAAAAATACCACAGTATTTTGTTAAGCAACAAGGTCCAACCAAGGAGGCCAGATGGACATAACCCAGGTGAGGAAGGAAGATGGCAGCAATTGAGAATTCTGGGTGTGTTCTGAAGGTACAGGCAACAAAAGGTATAATGGATTTACATGTAGTAGACAAAAGAAAAGTTGAGATGGTACCAAGGATTTGGGCTTGAGTAACTAACAGAACTGCTGTTAACTCAGTGGCAGAAGATTATGGGCCAGAACAGATTTAAAGTTGACCAGAAGTCTGATATTCAACCTCATTCTATAGCACGGGCATGGCCTTCTTAAGAGAACTTGCCTTAAAAAACAATAGTGGCTTGTGAGAAGGGGGGAGGCAGCTTAAAAGAGGCTGATCAAGAAACAAGCCTGTGAAGAATGATAGGTGGTAGTGAGGAGAGTTCTTTTATTTTGCTAGAGAAAGTACATTTCTAATATTTAAGTAAAAAATTCTAATATTCCAGAACTTAACTAAGAGTTAGTTCAAATAAAAGTTCAATAAAGCTCTGGAAAAAATGTTAGAAAAAGAGCACATGACTTAACTAATGAAGCCAAGATTAAAGTCTGCTATTTCTAAATGAGCAAAAGTAACTAAATTAGAACATATTTTAATAGGTAAAAATTTTTAAAAATGTATTCCTCTGTTGTGTCCTATTCTTTGCTATTACAAACAAGGAAAATTCAATCCAGCTTAAAATAACTAGTTTACTCATTCCTTAAATTACCAGACTGATTAGTCAACCTTACTGAATTTCTAGCACACAGTAACCATTAGCATCTCTCACTGGAGAATCTCCACAAGTTCAGGGAATCATAGTTCAGTGAATCTGCCTATAAAGAACATAAGACTGGCAGTTTTCAAACTTTCAACCACCAGGTTTCCTTTGTATTCTTAAAAAATACTGAAGACCCCTAAAAACCTATGTTGATATGGGTTGGACTTTTTTTCTTTCTTCTTTTAGTTGTAGTTGGACACAATATCTTTATTCCATTCATTTAGTTTTATGTGATGCTAAGGATCAAATCCAGGGCCCCGTGCATGCTAAGCGAGCACTAGACTGCTGAGGGACAACCCCAGCCCAATATGGGCTAGATTTATAGATATGAAATGTATTAGAAATTCAAACTAATACATTTTAAAGTATCTACTTATTACTTTATTTAAAAAATTAATAAATTGAGTAGATACTCCTTATCCATGGCCTTACTTTCTGCAGCTTCATTTCTGAGGTTTTCTATAGTTAACTGTAGTCTAAAACTTATTAAATAGAAAATTCTATAAGTAAACAATTCCCAAGTTTTAAAATCACATAACTCACACCATCCTGCTCTGTGAATCATTTCTCTGTCCAGTGTATCCACACTGCACACACTATCTGCCCATTATTAGTCACTTAGTAACTGTCTTGGTGATGATTTGTACAGTATCACAAATTACTGTGCTCAAGTAACCCATATTTTATTTAATGGACCCAAAGTGCAAGAGTAGTGATACCAGCAATTCAAATATGCCAAAGAAAAGCCACAAAGTGCTTCCTTTAAATATCATCTCACATTATCCAAGAAGAGTAAATACAATAAGATACTTTGAAAGAGACCACAGTAACATAACTTTTATTATAGTATAAATGCTACAACTGTTAGATAGGTGAGGTGTAGTAAATCCATTTTCAACTTAAGATATTTTTACCTTTACAACACCCTGAATGACACATAGCCCTATTGCAAATAAGGAGCATCTGCACTTGGAAACTGTCAAGCTCAGAGGAATAAGAAACAAGTTTTCTAATATTCTATTTTCTATCCAAGCTCTATCAGTGGCTATAAAACTGACAAGGTATTTTTTTAAGGACAAGTTCACCTTATGAATTTTAAAGAAAATATCATAATATTCATGAAAAATGCACCTAGTTCAGATCATAACTCAAACTATGGCAGAAGTGGTTTTCCTTAAGAAAACCATCATAATTGAGTATGCAACCACTGCTTTATATGTATTTCCTACTCTGCCACACAAAAAGACATGTGCTCAGGGGTAAAAGTTATTAAAATCAATAATCTGTACTGTCTCACCAAGGATACTTACTGAAAACACACAGCAAAGAAGCATGAAGTTACTACTGGTATAATTCAATACCCCTCCACTGATTTGGGTTAAGCCACCAGCAAATTAAGTCACCACTGCTTTTGCACTATCAGTACAGAAAGTATCACATATTATGAAAATAGTTTTGATCTCACAGATAACCTGAAAAGATCTTAAGGATTTCCATGGGTCCCGATACCACACTTGGGAGTCCATTGATTTAGATAATAACAAGCACAGATTTCTAATCAATTCTTCTCAGATGATTATTTGTACTCAAAACTAAGCATGAACAGTTAAGAACTTAAGAAGTTGCACATACAACCTGTGATCTAGTTCCTAAAATACATTCATGTAACAATCACCCAATAGTCAAGATCCAAGAATTAAACAACAACAAAAAAATGCTTAATATAAAAAACAAAGATCACAACACCTAAACATTAAGATGTACAGAGTTCATTCACCTTTATTTAGACCAAACTCTATAGTGATTAATTAGCAAGCTTATCAGCAAACAGCTAAGAAGGAAAAACAGAGGGCATATGGTGGTAGCAAGAACTGGAAAGAGGAAAGTCAATAACAGGAGAATATATAGACAGTAACGACACATGACCCTAGGAACCCAAAAAAATGAAGAGAAAAGGAGAAAACAGTAAAAAAGTGTTTTTAAAATCCACACAAGAAAGCCAAAAGCAGAAAACTCTGGCTACCATAAAATGGGAGCAAACAATGCTATTTATTTTATCCACCTCTCATAGCAACAAAAATGATTTGAATTCATAAAAAAAATGAGCATTTGTGGTACCATAAGTTGATTAAAAAAGTAATTTCAGAAAATTCAGAATCTTCAATTTGCATGAAATAAATGGCTTCTAGGCCATCTATGAGTCAACTGACTCATAAATTCAGTCAATTATACTGAGTCCTAATCATATATCTATGCTTCTTTGGGAAAACCACAGTAAATGAAGTAGATTCAATCTCTGCCCTCATGGGCTCATAGTCTGGTTAAAGTAATCTCAGACCAGAGGAAGTTATAAGAAAATCAACATGGTAGTAAATGTATAACGGTTAATTTACCACAGGTGCTAAGAAAGGCCTCTCTGAGAAAATGACAAATGATCTGAGGCCCAAAGATGAGGCATTCAACCAAGTGAAGAGCTTTCTAAGCAGAGATTAGCAAATGCCARGGCCCTGAGGCAGGAAAGAGTTTGGCTTGCTACTAAAGTTAGGCCAGTGAAGCCCCAACACAGGAAGAAGGGCTGGAGGGAAAGGGGGACAGGTACAGGATAAACTGGAAGCTAAAAAATCAATCATCCCCTTTTCTTTGATCTGAACAACATAATCCAACATCAGATGACATAACACTTACCAAAGAAAGGGTCCTGGCCTAGCTGCTTTCGGAGGCTTTCTACCACAGGGTGACCAAAGGTGATGTTGGGAACAAAATGCCTACAAGACAAACAAAATCTCATTCTGAAAATGTTTTCAATTCAGTTTTTATGTTTTTCTCAATATGAATTCTGATGGGGGTAGAAGGGACTGGCTGGGATTGCAATATTTTTAAATTTAATATCATCAACATGAAAATTAAACTAATAGTAACTGGACAACTTTGTTTTGCAAAGCAACAGCTCCTAGATGTCTCAGAAATGTATAATGCCACATACATCTTCATAACAAATTAGAAGAATTTATAACCATAACAGGGAGAAATGGAAAAATGACTAAATAAAAAACCCAAAAGTTTATGACTTGCCCAAGTCACATACTAGTTCGCAAAGTTCAGGACACTGGCACATATTTCCTGAGTCATAGCTTTTCACAGAAATTTGTGGCTACTTCTAATGCAATTTCACTGGGCACTAAATGACAATTTAAATTTTCCTGAAGATAACCAGTAAAAAAAATTGATGTTTTTAATAATAACTACCTTTTAATGAGAGTTTACTACATGCCAGGCTTTGTACCTTCATTTCATCTTCACAACAGCCTAACAAAATTGATACTACTATTACCCCCACTTGAAGAGAGCAGGATAAATAAAATCCTTCAGTCAATAATCTGTGGAGAAAGGATTCATATTAAGTGTCTGATATCAGACCAAAGGTACTTAAACTTTCACCTACCCCACTAACTCCTATTATTCTACTTGCTCACTTAAACATTTAGCAAAATCTTCTACATGCAAGTAACCATGCTGGGTGCATAAAATATTGTGCTTTATAAAGAAGTACGCTAGAATTCCTCCATACCCTAAGAGAATTTACATTTTCAGCTCCCTTTACCTCCATGTCAGCCCATATGATTAGTTCTCATCAATGACCCCTGAGTAGTGGTATAGGCTGATCATCCCTAATCTGAAAATCCWAACTATTTCAAAACTGAGAACTTTTTGAGCATTGACTTGATGCCATAAATGGCAAATTCCACTCTTCACGTGAAAAGTTGCAATCAAAATACAGGCAAACTAACAATACCATGTAAAATTACTTTCAGAAGTGTGTAAGACGTACATAAAACATAAATAAATTTCATGTTTAGACTTGGGTCTCATTCCCAAAATAACTCCTTTTATTTACATGTAAATATGATAAGAAATCCAAGATATGGATAAGGGACTTTAGATAACGACTATTCAACATGTATTCCTTTCCTACTCTAACTTTACCTTTCTGATAACAAAGCCCTTTGGGCAGGAGAGCCTCAGAATGGAAGGAGAAGGACATACACTCAATGTTATATGAGTAAGAAATAAGATATAATGTTACATTAATGAAATCTGGGTTTTCAGAACATTGAACAGTAACAAGCAAGCAATACATGATTATAGGTAAACTGAAAAAAGTATTACACAACATTAAAAGAAGATCAGAAGATTTAGAAATCAAGATTTGTAAAGATGAGAAAAGAAATGAAGAAAAGGTTTAAAATGAACCAAAGGAAGAATGAAGCAAGTTATGTTCAAAGAAGAGGTTAAAGGTGTTAATAAGTTAGGTATGAAAAACATAGGAGGTGGGTTAAATCACATAAAGGGAGTCAAATGCCAAGCTCAGCTTTTCAGACTTCATCCCACTGAAAATACAAAGTAAGATTTTTAAAGCAAGAATACTAAATAACATTTGAATAATAAAGCAGAAAGAGGACTGAGCAACAAATTGCAAAAAGAAATATAAAAGGTGTTGTTAAGTGGCAAGAACAGTAATGAGAAGGTCAGGCAAAACTGACAGGATGTGTCAACTGATTAGATGTGAAGTGTTGGGGAGTAAAAGCAAAGAGAATAAAGGTTGACCAATGTAATTCTGCAATCTGTACACTCAGAAAAATGAGAAATTATATCCCATCTGATTCAAATGTATGATATGTCAAGATCATTGTACTGCCATGTGTAACTAATTAAAACAAATAAAAATAAATAAATAAATTAATTAATTAATTAAAAGGTTGAGCTTTTAAGTTTAGATGACAGAAACAATGAGTGTTGATACAAAACAAACTTACATATATTCCAGGCACAAGTTCTAAACACTTCACATATATTAAATCTTTAAAATCTCACAACAACCCTATGAGATAGGCACTACTATCTGTATTTTACAGATAAGCAAGAGGCCCAAAGTCACCCATTCAATGAGTGGCAAAGGTAGGAGTTCAACATAGGTTTACCTAAATTAGTATGTTCATTTGTTCCTACAATGACAACTAAGGGGAGAATGGGGGAAGGTCAGGATTCAGGATGCACCTGAGGACAGATAACATGGATCAGGACAGATACTTTTCATTTACTGATATGTTGGCCCTAGTAGGCTGACTTCTAGTATTCACACAATTATTCTAGTGTTTGCATAAGAGCAATTGCTGTCAGGATTACAGACAGATGAGGTGCTTAGGTTACTTAAACAAAAATAAAGACCATATAAGAAAGCAGCAAATCTATTAAATATTTTGCAATGCTGGAATTAAAAGATTTTGATTCCCTAGTGTTCTCTGAATTTGCTGTGTGGCCTTAGATGTAATTTTGTTGTCTGAGCCTTAGATTTCATGTATCATGAAAATATGATAACATCATGAAAAAGTACAACTCAATACATATTTACTAGCAAATACAAGCATAACAACTATAACGACTGACCATCAAATTATGTGACCAATTTGTGCTTCTGAAGATCAGTTTAATACACTGGGTTCACTAAGTATCCTGGAAGAATAAAATACACTTAATAGACTCAGAAGATATGAAAGGCTTGTGTCTAAGCCCTAACAAAACAAGGCTACAAATTCAAGCCTGAAGTCAGAATGTCCTGAATTTGCCTAGGTAACCACACAGAAGCATCTGATACAAATGATTTACAGCCTTTACTTCAAGCTTACTGACTCCAAAGGGGACCCAAGAATCTGAATTTCTCAAATGCCCCAAGAGTTCTTATCAGACCAGCATGGAAAAGACTAAATTATTTCACTCTCACAAACAGATATTTCATGAGAAAGTCTGATTTATTATTATCTCATTATGCCTTTTTTTTCCCTTGAAAGTAGTTTCTGAACTAGTCTATAAAAAAAAATGTAATAAAAAAGTATTTCTTCTTCCCAGAGACTTACTGGAATTAAACTATAACTGTAGTACAGAAATAAAATTATTTTCTCTCTCGTCATCTTTAGCTTTACTTACAAATTCTGTAATAAATTCTATTTCAGAAAAACAAGTTGTAGGTGGTAAGGAGGACTAAGGTTGATATAAAATGTACCCAGACCAATACCAGAAAACAAATTTCCTATTACTCAGGAGTCACAAGCCAATGGGAGTTGGCAGATAACATGCTTAGGATCAACACATTCCAGTCACTGCCCTGTCATGATGCATGTGCATTTTCCAAGGTATTTGTCTAGAGAATTAACCTGTTCTTTATTCCACACATAAGTATATAAGTGCCCCACCTTCCACAGTGATCTCCAAACTAGTGTTCAACTTTCTAGATCAAAATGTTTTAATCAGGAGAAAAACTGAGGGCCTGGGTGAGAGAGACTAGAAAACAAGTAAATACAAAGTGTGATGTTAGATGAGATTAAAAGAGCCAGGGAACAGAGAAACAGAGGGCTGAGGATGTAGCTCAGTGGTAGAGCACTTACCTAGCACATGTGAGGCACTGGGTTAGATTCTCAGCAGAAGGAAGGAAGGAAGGGAGGGAGGAAGGGAGGGAGGGAGAGAGGGAGGGAGGGGAAAGAAAAGGAAAGAAAGGGGCTATGTCCACCTACAACTAAAAAAATATTGGGGAAGAAAAAAAGAGAGAGAAACAAAGGGAAACTAGGAAGGGAAGGTTCTCACTGGCCATCTGCAAAAAGGGAGTCTACAACCCCACTTTCATAACCCTGGCCTAGGAGACACTGGAGCACACGGTTTATGGGCACTGGCTGAACCTCCCTAAACAAATTTTCTCCACTATAAAAGACATACATCAGTTCTTACTTTTAAAGGTGTGTGAAGGTTAAAAGGAAAACTCTGCAAACTATATACAGGTTTTATTTTTTCCAAACCAGTTTCCTGGCAAAAGAGTGTCAATATAAAACAAAATACTTAATCTTATTTAATATACTCAGGGTCTGCCACAAGGAGGGGAGTGATTCCTTAGAGATTTCTCCTATTATGATTTAACCACTCATTTATTTATCAATGATAATTAAACCTGTGATGGCGTTTACTGCAGAGAATACCTAGATGAGCAAGAGAGAGGGTAGACCCTGTTTCCAGGAAGCTTTTTCAGTGTAAGAAGAAAGGCAAAAAGTAACAAAAGAGTATAAATTATGAATTACTCTTTGAGAACAGAGAATGTCTTAAATCATCTGTCAGCCTAGGACTCATAAAAAGCATTTAATTGTTGAGAGAACACCAACTATTACATTGCTTCTAAGGCTGGCACCACCATTTTCTAGTAACAAGACGTAACTCAGTGTCTTATTCCTCCCTGTCAAAATGCTGATGATACAATGGAGTATTACTCAGCCACAAAGAAGAATGAAATTATGGCATGTGCAAGCAAATGAATGGAAAATGGAGACTATCATACTAAGTAAAATAAGTCAGACCCAGAAAGTCAAAGGTTGCATGCTTTCTCTAATATGAGGAAACTATTCCAAAATAAAGAAAGAAAGAAAAGAAACAGGGGTGGGGGGGTTGACCTCTATCAAAATAGAAGAAAGATCAGTGGAGTAGAGAAAAGGGATTGAGAGGGAGGGAGGAGGGATGGGTTAAGAGAAAAACATTTGACTCAACTTTCCTATGTACACATATGAATATATCACAGTGAATCCCACCGTTATGAAAAATTTTTAAAAAATTTTTTTAGTTGTGGGTGGACACAATACCTTTGTTTTGTTATTTATTTTTATGTGATGCTCAGGGTCAAACCCAGTGCGTCACATGTGCTAGGCCAGCGCTCTACCACTAAGCCACAACCCCAGCCCCTGTCATAATATTCTTGATTGGTGAACCGAAACAAATTATTTTCCTCATCCATTCACTTACCCATACATGGCTTATTTCAAACCAAATCGCTTTCTGTGTCACACTCACAGATATGCATGTAACCTGTTCCATCCTAAGACCCCTAGGTGTTCTCTTAGGATTAAAAATGTAATTAACATCTCTAAGGTACACACTCCAGTTAGTGTATTACCTGTGAGAGTTAAGGGCTTCCAAGCAAAGCTTTTAAAAGCATATACAGAATTACACGTGATAGTAAACTAAAAATCAAGCTTTGAGAGAGGTAACACTTACTAACCTTCTTATACAATAAGCCTATCATTCTTAGTAATCTGACAAGGCATTGGCATCACCAGTTAGGAAAATTTGTAAGGTAAAATATGAAAGAGAAACACCACATCCAACCACACAAAAGAAAGCACAAAATTCTACAAGTGACAGTGAAGTTAAAAAGAAACTGATTAATCATCTTTTGTAAATAACATCAATTTATAAATGTGAATGAGGGCATGTGGAGGTTTTCACCTATTTCAAATAAATTTCTTTTTCCTTTCTCTTTTCTTTTTGGTATTGGGGATTGAACCCAGTGGCACTTAATGACTGAACCACAGTCACAGCCCTTTTTATTTTTACATGGGGCTTTGCTAAGTTGTATAGGGCCTCGCTAAGTTGCTGAAGCTAGCTTTGATATTGCGATCCTTCTGCCTCAGCCTCCCCAGCCCTTGTGATCACAAGTGTGCAGCACTGCAGTGGCTGCAATAAAAATCTTCTATCCCAACACACCGTAATGAATTGCGTAACAGTGCAGACCAGAGAGCTACAGATAATTCGGCAAAGGGAAGATAAAAATTATTAAAATTCTGTCACAAACGTCTATGATCTTGAGGACCTCTTACTGTTTTCTCTCCATTTCTTTCCTCATTCTGTAACCAACTTAAGAAACTTGTATTCTGATTCCAAATAATATGTTATAACTACAGTGCTTAAAATTTACTTACAAAAAACTGACCTCACTGCAGAGCAGGGTGCCTGAAGAAAAAATAGATAGGAAAATCAGAATTTGAATAATGATACAACAGTTACAGAGAATTTACTATGCGTCAGGCACTGTAAACTTATWTTTGCTCATTTTGTCTTCCAAACATACCTAAGCATAGGTTCTGTACGTATTCCCATATTTTTCAAATAATGAAACTGAAGCTCAATGAGGTTAAGTGGCTTGTCCAAGGTAATCAGAGAAGTGACAGAACTTGGGCAATTTCCCTTCAGATGCCAAGCTCTTAATGGTTACACAAATATGTCTCCCCAGCTTTGCCACTAACTAGCTATATGAGCTTGGGCAAGTCATGCCTATCCCCTTGGGCCTCAGTTTCTCTACTGTACACGAAAGGGCCTGGAGATTTAAGGTCGCTTCCGGGTCCTAAGACCACACGTTACGTGGGGGGAGGGGAGGAGTTGAGGTTTGGGACTAGCCCGCAGCCCAGGAAGCTGCATCAGGTCAGTTCCAGCCAGGGCCTTCAAGCTTCCCACCCCATTCCCCACCTCAATACAGTGTTCAAAGTGAGGCGCCCCTAGGTCGTACAGGGACACCGTGCACCCAACAGGCATTCAATACAGGTGCGCCGTCCCGCCCCCGCGCGGCAAGCCCGACCCGAGCCCCGAGGAGTTACCCGTCCATTACATCCAGGTGCAGATAATCTGCCCCAGAGTCTAGCATCCGGAGGCACTCAGCTCCTAAATTGGCCAGGTCGCTGTTAAGGATGGACGGGCCAATCTTGCAGCCCGACGCCATGGTGCTGGTTCCGTAGTGCTAGTTACCCCACGAGTCCCCGGCTAGACGAAAGCGTCACCCCGATTGGGCGCGCAGCCGGGGCCCCGCCCCTTCCCCCGTGCAGTCTTCCGGACTCTGACGGAAGCAGTGCCCTGCGGGAAGGAAGTCCCGCCTCCAGCCCAGGGGCGGGGTCGGGGGGCATAGGGGCGGGGCCTCATGGGAGTCCTTTTTCCTTCTCCCTCTCTTGACGCTCTTACCTTTCGCGGTACTCAGGAGTTTCTTGAGCTTTCTYCGCTTTTCTTTTTCTATATTTTATTCTCCTCGGCTCTTGACCCTACTTCTCATTTTGTTTCTCCATTATTTGCTTATGCGTTCCTTTCCTCCGCAGCTCCTGTGTTTGCCCTTTAAAAACAATAACCACCTTTCCCCTGTGCTTTCTCATTCCTAGAACTTTTCTCAYGAGTGGAGCAATTCTGGCTGTGCCAGGCTTTAGCAGGGTTACCCGGCAAGTCACCTCTCCCTGCCTTGGGTTTCTCATCTGTAAAGACAGTGCGCAGTGTTTAGAATTGTTGTGAGGATTAAATGAACAAGGCCAGCATGATGTCTGGTGCCCAGTACAAAAGGATGTTATCATTAGTATCAACCTTTAATGTCCCTCGCCCACCTTTGTTGTTGTTGTTGTTGTTGTTTTTCCCTCTCAGCAATACTCATTGACATAAGTGACACATTTGGTTACTGTTCAGACACAATACAGAAATGAATAAGTGTCCTGCTGCCAAATGTGTGAAGATCCTGGGTCCTCAAAAGAGATGGAATTAAAACCACGTGGGGGAAAATGGATTTAGCAAGAGCAATTCTAGGGAGTAAGGAGAGAGCACTTTGTAATTTGTATTAAAGATATAATTGATGTGTTAACTGGGCCCCCATGGTTTTTATGGATTGTCAGAGGATAATCAGGTCTTTAACACCCCCCACTGGGACATCTACCAGTCATTCCAGCAGGTCATAATCTGGGCAGTGAAGGCAAATTGGGGTACCTGACTCCAATGCTCTGGTTCTGCTTTGTTTGAAAGGATGGAAAGCTGGGGTAGAATAAAGCTCGAAGGGGTGGGGAAAGTGCCTAATTGGAAAGTAACCTCAGGCCAGACTGGAAGTTAAAGAGGGACAGCAAGACATTAACAAAGGCATACCCAGGGATCCAAAATGAACATTTTCCTGAATGAGCAAACGTTTTCTTCCTTATGGTGAGAAATAAAACTCAGGCATATTAAATGCTCTTAGATTTCTTTTTATTATATGTGCATATTCAAACACAGAAGTCAATATCTTTCATAAATATCTTTCATAAACATTTCAGTATTTATTCATATGCATTTTTCCATGCTCTTTGGTCATTCAATATTCACAACAGATTTCATAGTCATCTGAGGGAAGTTGGCTGTGTAGTCAATCCTTTGTTTTTACCTATAAAATGGCTAATAAAGGACTTTCATCCTGTGGTCACAGTGACAATTAAAAAATATTATGGAGGTACATAGATCTGTAATCCTAAATGATCCTAAAATAATATAAGTAAATTTGTCTTAAGCTTTTCCAAACACATCCTGCCCTTGTTTTTATTCTCCTGAGTGTCAAATCAAAGTTTGCTTTTGAAATGCTGCAGTTGAGACCCACTAAAGTAAATGAGGAAGTGGGGCATTTTACTCACTGCAAGACTCAAGGCCATGGAATTGGAAGTGTGAGGTCACAGGGCAACAGCATGACTTGATGTGATAGCAGCAATTCCAGAGACTGTGCTCTATTAAAGTGTATAACTTGAGGAAGGATATTTAATTCATATTTTGGGCTGCCATTCTATTCATTTTTGGCCCTTTCTTTCCGATAGTTCTCTACCTATGCTCTATTTTCTCAAAAACTCTCAGAGCTGGGCAGCAGAGTGGAGAAAGTTCTTTCTTAAAGGAACAGATGCTAAAGAAGAGGGGATGTCATTCTGTCTAAGGTATTCTTGGAGGCTTGAAGTAGCAAACCAGCTACTCCCAATCTGTGCAACATACCCTAATCAGATCACCAATACTGCAGTCTCTACCCCCAGCAACAYCATGTGCCCATTCATGCCTTTGACACTGTAGTTCTTAGTGTCTTGGGACATGCACCCAAGAACTAATTTCCTTTTCTGAAAAATCAAATAATTTATCTAATAGAATTATAGAAAGCAGCAAATACTGAAAAATGAAAGTAAAATGATTACTATAGAAAATTCAGTATCCAGGATTTGAACCGGTTAAAYTGAATCTGCATATTATGTATCTATACCCACAGTTATGGATAATACATGTTTATTCCAGGGTCTCTCAAATCTTATTTTCTGAATAAGCAACCTTTTTGTTGTGTTCAAGTTTTTATACATGGGAAGTGGGTGCCTATAGTTTTTCCTCTGAATAAGACAAATATCAGTAAGTATTATAGCTTAAGAAATGATCTATTATTACCATACTGTATTTATCATATGTAATAATTAACTTTTAGTCAAGTAGTCAATAATATTTTGAACAATACAAAAGATTGTCAATTACCTTGAACTTTTTTCTTACCTTCCCCGACTGTTGTTTTTAAAAAATAGTTATTCCTTCAAACTCCAGGTGACAGTATTCCTGAGAATACTTCTCATGAGGGTCTTATGCACATACATATAGATACTTTAGCCATTACACTTAAACATTCAACACATTACATTCAACACATTTAAGGACACCTCCAATGGAACAGACACACACATTGTCAAAAACCTCAGTAGTCCCAGTATGAAAACATTCCCACTCTGTAAGCCCCTGTTTCCCAGAATGGGAGGGTTTTTTCTTTCTTTTTTTGCAAGGTATGACATGATTTAGCTTATTGAAAAAGTTTCTAACAGAATTCCATACACTTGAGTGAAAGAGTTGGACTAAAAGGCAGAAAGACCAGCAAAATCATGTTCAAAACAGCTCAATACATTTAAAATATATATATATATATATATATGTAAATAAATAAAGATATTTAGGATGACCCCTTACTTTTTAAATATTTGATATACATAGAGAATTTGAGTCAAAAGTCAAGAAACTGGAACAAAGCACACACATATATAGAAAGACTCACATAGCCCAGACAATTGTAATTACCAAACATAAGGCCTCTAATGCTAATTGAGCAGCATGATTTTTAGCAGGTAAAATATATCAGAATCAGAAAACCACTTATATGTCTACTTTTGCACTTGAGAATTAATTCAGCATTAAGTGTAAATAATGTGAAAATGTTATAAAACATAAAAGAGGCCATTTACCTCCTTGATTTTTCTGAATTTTGAGATTTTAGATTTATTATTTTATCATTAACTCACAGATAGCTTTCATTCTCCTAATAAATGGGACCATAACCCCAAACTATATTTGAAACTGTAAATTATGATATAAACAGTGCCTATTTAATAAGCAAGTCTAACAGAAAAATAATTTTTCTTTATGACTAAGGTGGGTTTAGTAGGTTTCCTCTTTATATACATATACATTTCACAGTCAACAAAGTCAACATTTACGTATATAGAATGTATTTTAAATCTCAGTGTAATAAAAGTTTATGTTAAACTTTTACTTCAGGACTAGAAAATACACACACTCACCCAATCATACCAATTTAGGTATGCATATGGATTTTTTTATGTGCAGTAGTTATGTAACAATTTTATAATGTAGACTGTTAAAATTACAAAAATCTATTTTGTATTCTTTGATGCCCAGCCCTTTAATAATCCACTAGATATTGGCCTCAAAGCTTTCCAAATTTCATACTTATCTTAAAGTAATTGAACTTCAAGTTAAAAGCCTATTTGTAAAATGTACAAGCTGAGTGTACAAGCTCAGTGTCTATGAAGAAATGGCTAACTTTATATATTTTTCCTCATAAACATAGATGTCCCAAGGATCATAAGAGTATTTTTACTATTGAAAAAAAAGTTATTTTACTGAACCAATTCTAACAACACTAACTTTAATGTATGAAAATATGCCCTGAAGGGCAGGCACAGGATACCACAGGGATGCCATAGGGGAAAGTAATCACATTTCCCAATAAATCCTAATCTTGGCATGGGTGTAGACAGGGCTAGAAGTGGGAATACTACCTCTTTTGATCTATTATATTTACATGTAGATTTTAGAATTATATAGCTGTTTAGATTCTTAATTCAGAATGATAACTGATAATTTCCAAGTATTCTCTAATGTGATTATGAAATGGAATCATCTTACGGCATCAGCATTCTGATTTAAATGTGCACTGAAAATGACAGTTGAAAAATAAATTTTGAAAAGTCCACAGCTCTAAAAATAGTATTTTTTTCTTCTTTTAAATGGCGACATTGTTGACCAAAACAAAAATGGCTGCAGGCTTATTTGTTATTTATTCACCCAAACTAATATTCTCTATATTGATTATTATCATGTAAATCACTACTTGTATAGCCACCTGATTTAATATTTTTGAAGCTATAAAAATAAACATTTGCATGAGATGTATAATGTGATACAACCTCAAAAAATTGCATTCTTTTCTTAGAATATATTATTTGTTAATATTCCTGTGAAAGCAGTGCTCTAATAGTATAGACTTTTAACTGCTCAAGGCTTCTTGAATCACAAAGTAYAGTGAAATGGCTCTTTCCCCTTATTCTTCCCTGGTTTTTCTGGTCTTTACACAACTAAATCCTTTTAGCCTTTGATTTTCAAGATGTTTATGAAACCTACATAACTAGGTATATTAGCAGCAAAATCTACTCAGATTTGTGCCGCTCATTGGATGTAAAGTGCTGTTTTATAATTAATCTTTTTAATTAAAAGCAAAAGTATTCAACTTTCAGCAGAGTGATCCTCTCCCTGTCTTCTCTATACCTTCAATACTAACAAGATACAGAACTAAACATGAGACTCATCTAGGACTACATCTGTCTCTCCCAGCTCAGGAGTAAAAGTGAACTGGCTAGACAACAGGGGATTCTCCATGCCATTTTCCTCGCTGATGTGAAGCACAGTGTCTCCATGCTGTAGGAGGCTGGATGTCTCAAGGCCTGTGAAGTCATCAGGGTCTGAAAGCTGAGGAGAGAGGGGGCTGTGTGCTGCAGCACCTTGTGCTTCTGTGTCCTCCTTCTTTTCTCCTTCTTCAGTAGGGAGGGGTTCACTCTATGATCAAAAGGATCATAACATTGTGAACAAATAGGATGGATGCCAGAGAAGAATATCAAAGTATGTCGTGCAGCTATAACTGGACAAGGAATCAGAAGGCTAGTCCTGGTTCTAGCCTTTGTTACTGGTAAGATCTTACATAGACCCCTTTAGCTTTCTAAGCTTCAGTTTTCTAACCTGTAAAATGAGCAGAATTTTTTGTCCTGCTTACCTTATTGACAGTGAAGATCAAATGAGATAATAAGTGTTAAAATATTTTTATATACCTATACAAAGGTATATAGTAACATTGCCCCTTAGTTTTCTTTAAATACCACATGAGAAGAATGTGATTCCTATAGGGATTTACTTGTAAAAATCAAAAGAAGAAAAAAAATGTCAAAATAAGAAAAATATCAAAATAATGAAAAGGAAGATCAAAAAAAAGTTCCTTTCATCTTACAGGAAACAGAAGGCTCTCAATGTAAAGTCTTCATCTAAATTATTAATTTTATTTATTTTTTCATTGACTATCCTTCAACTAGGTATCAAACACCTGTTTTCAATGGTTATTTCAATTGCAAAATATTTTCTTTAGGTTTTTGTAATTAAGATTACAAAGACTTCTCTTGGTCTTTTATAGTTTGGATATGAGGTATCCCCCCAAATCTTCTGTGTTTATGTGGGAATGTTTGGAGGTGAAATGATTAGGTTGTAAGACATATAACCTCATCAGCCCATCCTATTGTGAATAGACTGAGTGGTAACGATAGGTAGGTGGGGCATAGCTGCAGCAGGTAGTCACTTGAGGTGTGCACTGGAAGGGTTCATCTTCCCTGCAGCCCTATCCCCTCCCTGGCTGTCATCAGGGGAACAGCTTCTCTGYTGCAATGTTCTGCTTTATCTTGGGCCCAAAGCAATGTACTCTGCTGACTATGGACTGAGACCTGTGATACTGTGAGCCAAAATAAACTTTTCTTCCTCTAAGTTGTTCTTGCCAGATCTTTTGGTCATGATGACACAAAACTGAGTAGATATATTCCTAGCTATATACTTTACATAGATTTTCTATTTCATGATGGYAATACCATGTTTGGAAAAAATGTTACAGACCCARATATATATGGAATAAGTTTGCTTATCCAAATGGTTCCTAGAAATAAGAATGTAGTGAGCAGTCCTTGCCTATTTCTTCAGTGTSCTCACCTTGGGAGATAAGCTGTGGAGATCCGCAACAACTATGGCCGGGGAAGACGTGAGGACTGGTTTGTCTAATCCTTCTGGTTTCCTGCACAGGGCTGGGCTGCAGCCCTGTGGTTGACCTATGGCAGGAAGCGTGTCTGTTGGGGCAGCGGTTGGCTCTGGCTGAGACTCAATGAAGGTAACAGATCGTTTCTGATCCACTGTAAGTCAGAGGTGAGTTAGTAAATAGGGGAGAAATTGGTGGTTGATGCTTAGTAACTGGCATTAGCCAGTGTCTCCTGGATTTTCTTAATGAAGACATTGCTGGGTTATTAATAAATGAAGGCATATTTGACTGTTTTGTATGCTTTGACTTCAACTTATTACAAACAGTAGGAACTGGTTAGGAAAATCATTTTTAAATAAATGGCCTAAAACGAGATTTGCAAGGAGCATTAGTAAACTTGATTGGCCCCTCATAACAACTGTCAAAGGACTTAAAAGTCCAGGAATATTATTCTTCATAGCTTTGTCTTCAGTAAGACAAATAATAATCCCAATTCCTGGCTCAAGTAGAAAAAAAAAAAAACACCCTTTTTACTAAAATTTCAGAATATCAATGGTTTGGCTAGGACTCTTCCATTTCCTTAGGTTCATGGGGGTAGAATCAGGGTTAGGAAAGAATAAAAGGCATTAAAATTTTCTGGAGAATTTCTTCCCTTATCCTAACACCTCCCCACTGGCGTTTATCTGCATCTGCTCCGTTTCTGCAGGCCTTTTCATCTCACTTGCATGACATCATTTCAATGGCACAGGCAGAAGGGACCCAGGAGGCCTCACCAGATGGCTTCGTCTTAGGTTGAATACTCCTGCGAGTGGTTGACAGCCGAGCCCCATGTCTGTTTTTGGGTTCAGTCTGAGTCTTCTGCCGTGACAGTAGGGGACGTCTTAGCTAAAGAGAACAGGCAGAATAAAACTGGCAAAGGAGTCCAGCTGCCTGCAGGGAAAGCCGCGCTCAGAGGATTCTGACTATAGCTTGTACTTTTATTTTCATGTTCCCCTGGACTCCTGTTCTTACATTTATAGCTGATAAAATTCTTTCTGCATATTTAACTGTAACTGTTTTCTTCTGGTATCACTTTTAACCAATTCATTTCCCAATTATTATTCCTTTAATGTTCCTAAGAATATTAATTGACATAATTTAAAATTGTAATTTTGAGAATTTCAATGGATATACAATGAACAATTATTGCTTACTAACCAATCTTTATTCATCTAAAAGGTATAGTTGAACATATGCTAACTTTCAAGGAGGAGGTTCATTAAAAAAAAAAAAAAAACTCAGATGCTGGCAAAATATCTTGTACCTGAATCAGTCAATTCTGGGAAGTTCCCTTTGAAGAAACAGTGCAGCTTCATTTCTATTTTTATTTAGAAAGTGATGTAAAATAACCCTACCTAAGGACATTTGCAAAGGTAATCTTTACTTCAATTTTGGTTTTAAATTAAATCATGAATCTTGAAATGAAAAAAGATTTTTTTCATCTTTGTTTCTCTGAAGAAACTGGCCTTAAATATTAAATCAACAGATCTTTCACTCTCAGTGAGATTGATTGTAAAGAAGATTTCTGGGTAGAGAACAAGCCCACTTAACTTTTCTAAGTAATCTTCTTTGTAAATAAGGAGATTCAGATCCGAAACAAAAGCTCAAAACTGTCTAAACACTTACCATGTTTTAAAGTTGCTCTGTACTGCTTATTTGATGTAAAGAGAAGGCAAAATATAATCTTAATATACATAGGCACTAAAATTCAAACAAAGCCTCCATTTCACAGGATGGTTCTTCTATTCTTTCAGGGTCTGCTTACCTGCCTCAAACCCCTCTTCCTCCCCAGTGGCTGCTGAATGAGAAGGTTCTGCTGGCCAGGTTCACTCTGCACACTTGCCACCCTGTCAAGCATCAACAGTGTTAGTGTACCCTAGAGAGAAGGMAGAAGACCATCCTCTGGTGGGTGTTAGCCAAAACCACTTTTATGGAACAGTCACTTCAAAGATACCATTATCTTTGAAGGATGTTTGGGAAAGAGTCCCTGGGATGGGGGTTTTAAAGGTTTGGGTGGGAGGACAAGGCCTTGTAGCCCCAAGCTGCCAAAATTGAGATTCTGTTTTCAATCACTGATACTGTATCTGTCATTCAGCAAAATACTGGTTCAATCACACCCCTGGTTTGGAACCACCAAAAGGTTTATGATGTCGTATTCTAATCTCAATTTTTTTCCAAGGGGAAGGGAAAAGGTGGTGACAGACACACACAAACAACTCTATCACATGGATGGGAACACCTTTTTAAAAATTCCAATTTAAATGAAAATAAGATGGACAAATAYCAAACACATCAGACACAGAATCCATTTGGGTGAAGGGGCACATTCAACACATGTTTGCAGCCTGAAGTCTCTGTGACTACTGAGTAAATGAGTAGTCACATGGGTAGAAATTTCAATGTTTTAAAAAATGATTTTAGATTTAAAAGGCTGGCAAAGTAATTAAGCTGTCATTACAACTCAGAAGCTTTAATATTGAGTAGCTGCACTCAAATATACTGTGCAGTTTATAAAAGCAACAACCTGCTCCCCCCAAATTTACTGTGTATGTGTGTTCTTTCATAAGCAAAAAAAATGACTACTGGCAGTAGTTGCTATTTTAGTGTTTAGTGAAACTGAAAATATTAATATGGCCCATGGTTCTTTTTCATTCTGCATGCAAGTATCATAGGTATTTATAATGGGGGAGTGGTAAAAAAGAAATACACTGTGCCCCAGACAACACTGTAATTCTGTGGATGATGCCAATGTGATTATTTGGTTAATGGGTAATTAATTTCTGCTTTGCCTTTGCAAAAGGAGAGTCATCTACAGATATTTTTTAGAGTAAACATATTCCACAGAGGAACCCAGAGTCAGCAACTGTCCAGAAAAAAAAAAAAGAAAGGTTCTGTCTATTTATTTCCATTTCTTAAAAAAAAAAAAAAAAAAAAAAAAAAAAAAACCAAGCTACTCAAATACCTAGTTGCAGTTTTAAGAAGAGAAACTGGTGGCAAGATGGGAAATCAGATATGTTTCCCTGTTGTATAACAACTGGGTAATTATCACATAGTTGACACAGTCACTCTGTCATTTTTAAAAAGTTTTAACTCGTATTTTCACTAGAAGAAAATTGATGATTTCCAAAAAGGATTTGTCAATGTTTTTATGGAATAAGAATATAATCACACCATTTAGAGTACACAACACAAACTTCTAAAACAAGTACCCAAAACAAGTGTTTTAAAACTTTTTTGTTCTCCTAAATATCAAGTTCAAAAGATCTATGTACATTATCATCATATATGTATCTGTATACACACATCTACATATACATATATGACCTTATAGCATGTATAAACTTTCTGTGAAGATGAAAAACTATCCTAGTGGACCAGTGTAATAAATTCTGATAATCCAGACTATGTTGCTGGCATGACTGAAATGACATCTCCTTATGATTATACATTATAATGTGTCTATTAAATTGAAAAGAGTAATTATCTATATGTACAAAAGTAGAATCAAGTTTCTCCCAATACYAAGCAAAGCTTCCATTGGAATGGATTCTTCATTGACATCTAAATGTTACCTCAGTTCCCTTGGCCATAAAGGGAGGTTGATACTTACCAACTACCTCCCATTAAGGTAGAGAAAAGAAGTTAGTTGATGTCAAATGGTTTGATCATGAAAAGAGATGTATATAGCATGCTTTCTTGTTTTACATTTGATGTTTGTAATGAGTTTATTGCTTCTAGAACACTACAGGGAAATTGGTAATACAATGTTTTGAAAATAGTTGGGCAGAGAAAATGAATTTGAGGCAGTCCACTTGTCTCATTTTTATTCAGTAATCTGAGATTGTGAGGAAAAAAATGGTGCAAGAAAAGAAAAATATGCGTTACTCAGGGAGTGTTAAATGTCAAAACATAATGGTAATTTCATGATGATTATTCTAAGGGAGGATCACAAGCACCAAAATCTTCTCTGTGGATAGAGAGGTTTGTATCTAAGAAATGTATCAAGTTTAGCTTTAATAATTAGCTGTTCTAGGTAAATAATAAAGCATTTCATAATGGAATATATATATCAAAGATGAAATTTTAGAACCTGCCCCTGGAAATACATCCTAGCTGATAAATTTATGCTCCCTAKAAATATGATGCTAACATGTTTATATCTGGAACAAAAATGGGTGACTTAACTGTGAACAGTTAGGAGTCATTCATAATAAAGAGCCAAGAAATTATGTTAAAAATGTAGTTTATGCAAAACACATTACTTTTTTGTAGTCTATATCAAACTGGAGTCACATATAAAAATTAGTTGCTCTCTGTATTATGTAATATTTCAGTTACCTGTAGGATTTGTGATGTATGACTATAAGATGTGTAATACTAAATCGAACCAACAAAAGACCAAGGTGTTTGCACTAAGAACCTTATACCCCATTTTCTTTTCAGTTTTTTCAAGAAGTTCCATCATAGTCCTCACATACTACAACTGTAATAATAAAATTTATTTTTCTCTTCAAGGAAGTACTATATTTTATTGGACGGTCTCAACGTTTTAAATATTATACTCTAATAGGCCATTGTGTCTTTATGAATAACTACAGTATCTATTTCATGTATCATAGTCATGAAAAGTTGAGATTACACCAAGATTTGTCAAAGTAGTGGGAGAAGTACTAAAAATTCTTATCTCATACAGAAAACTGATTTCTTGACATTTTTAATCTTGAGAATGAGAAATGGATGATTTCCATTTGTCTTGGCCAAATATGGTGAAACAAAAAGCAGAAGAAAACTTTCTAAACTGAAGTTAACATCTTACAATATGTTTAGAAGTAGATCATCCCATGTTATTTTTGATTAGCTAAAACATATCACCTCAGCAAGTCATATAATGGTGTAGATTTTAAAGAAGTAAATGCAATTGGGACTCAGCAGAACTAGGTGGTTCAAATTGTCAGCAAAAAACAAAACTTCTCATTCAAAATACAAGGAAGTAATTTACAAATAAAGAAAATTTATATACTATTAGGAAAAAGAACACAAATAACTTCTTTTCCCCCATTTAAACATGATGGCCTGGGTTGTAGTATGTAAACATATATGTATACATAACTTGGTTTCTTAAAATAAGGAATAGGCAAACAAGGGGCCATTCAGTAAAGCAATAAAAATTCATCTCACTTGATTCAAATTACAAAAAATGATAAAAGATGGAAGTATATTTCATTAGGAAAAAAAAACTTAAGTAGAAGCACTGAATGAGAACAGCACATGAAAAAATGAATGAGTATTTTTATTGCTTCTATCTGTGCCTTTGTCTTTAGTTTTAATAAGGTTATAGATGTCTGGAGGTTGAACATGAGACACACAGCATAGCCATTTACCCTGGGTGACTGCCTTGTGATGGAAATTCATAAATCCAGCACTGAAGGAGCCATAAGGCATTTTTAGAGAACAGGGAAAGAAACAGTAGACCAAATCCTACTTTGGATAGAACCAGCAAAAGACCAAGGTGTTTGCACTAAGAACCAATAAAAATTATTGTTTAAAATTTTCTTATCCTCCACAACATCCAGGAAAATATATTTTAAGTGCCACAGATTTTAGAAATTAGAGGCTGGAATAGAAAGGGGGGAAAATCTGGATTTTAAATATCTTATAAAAGAACCAATTCAGCAATGGCAAAGAACACATCTGTGTGTTACAACACACATTTTCTTAGCCAGTAATTCTCAGCTACATAAAAAGTTGAAATATTTATTGTACTTTAAGAGGACTTGCCAAGGTTTTATGCTGTGAAAATGTAGATGACCATGAGATAGATTCTACTAAATAGGTTATCTTTATTTCACCTACACTATAGTCTTTTTCAAATTGAAGCCACATGCTTATTTTTCACTGTGATTAAAATTACCCTGACAAAATCAAATAACATAAAAATTTCTCTTTAAAATTAGATTTTTGCCTTTCTATATATCTCTTATCCTAAAAAGAAAATATGACCATGGTGTGTGTGTGTGTGTGTGTGTGTGTGTGTGTGTGTGTGTTTGGAGTGGGGGAGGGAGAGAACATCTATACTGAGTTTCTACACCTCTAAGAGCAACGCCCTCCAGAGAAGAATATTTTTTCCATGGAATATTGATTGCTTCAGTTCATGAATTTCCAAATGAAATAATTTTTTATTCAAAGCACAGTGTTCCTAACAGGCTATTTCTTGGGATGAAGTTTTAAAGATAAACATGTTAACATAATTAAAAAAAATCTTAAATCTTCAATAGGTGTGCAAAATTGCTTATTAATTTCCACCTATCCATCCAGTTTTCTTGGTCTCTTCCTCATTTAGCCCACTCAGTTCAACTTGCCCATTTGCCTAAAACAAGTGCTCTTTCACAGGCCAATTTTCATGAAAATTTAATCAAAATGTTATAGGGGGTGAGGTGGGAAGAACAGGATTTATTATTTTTCCTTAGGCATAATTCCTGATGTTTCCTTGGGCCAGATTTTCCTTAGGAGTACTTTGAGTGTATTTTAGGTCCTGAATACCAGAGTATGTGCTAACTATAATTTACATGGTTAGTGCCTTACTTGAGGATTTTAAAACTATGGAGTAATAAAGCAGTCTCATGCCAAAAAATAAGAAAGTCTGGAAACCAAATATAAAAACTATACTATTTTATAAACCCACCTCTTAGTAAATACCAAAAAGTTCCTCTCCTCCAAAGAGAACTTGGTGACATGATGGAGTTCAAGAGATACATTGCAGTATATGGCAAAGGTGGATGTGCTAACTGGTGGTGGAATGCCTCTGTGTTAATAGTATTATTTCAGAATCCAAAGTGAATGCCTCATCTTCCCATTTCTTAATGACGACAGCTGGGTCTAGGTGACTGACACCCAGAACTACAATACAAACATTATCAGAGCAACAGATCAACAACAGTTGATCTAAGGCAGCCATCAAAATCCTGACCACCTTGACTAATTCAACTATAGATAAAATTTATAGCTTTAGCTCCAAACCAGTTTCACCTAGCACAACATTGAGTTAATTCCCATTAACACTGGACCCAGGGCAGCCTGAATTGTTTTAGATAACTTCAGTCATTTGAACCTTGAGCCATCCAGAGAAGGCCAAATCATTTGGACAATTCATAAAAATAAACCCAGTCCCCTGCCTCCTCTCACTAACTCTAGACTGGTACTTATACTCAGCAAAAGGAGAATTTGGCCTAATTAGAAAAGTCTAGCCAAATGGAAGTCCAATTTAATACTTTCTACTCTCAGTAGGCCACTGAAATTATCTTCTAATCAAGTTTCTTTTGTCCAACATGCAATTTTAAGCATTAAGCAAAAGCGTTCTTTGAAAGCAATGGTTACACTGCTAGACTTGGTTCAGATGCTTCAGACACTGTAAACAATTAAGGAAAACTCTCTTAAGGATTGTTTTGTTTCTCAACTTCTTTGTCCCCACAGCTCTTGCTAATGGAATTAAGTTTGCACTCTGCAGCACTTCCACGTTTACCACCAATAAGAGACTGATCTATTAAGGCAGGGGCTCGCAAACACAAATGAATGTCATGAATCATGGATCCAGTTAATAATAATAATTWAAAAAAGACCCAATGATGGACTAAATTTCCCATTTTCAATTGCAAAAGAAAATGTGAAATCCAAACAAGGTGCAAGGAAAACAAAAGACAACCTTTCACAGGAACGGCCTCTCAACATTTCCTCATCTTTGTGATAAAGCAATAAACACGGGTATATTGTACTCACTACATAATGTTTTACCTTGAGATGGAACAAAGACACTCTAAGGATGAACAAGAAGCATTACCCCTAATGAGGATTAGTTGAGAGGTGTAAATTAACAGCACAAGATTAGGAATGTTTGACGCGGTTTATCTGAGTGTTAAAGGTGCAGTCCCCTTCTCTGAGCTTTAAATGAATAGTTGAGATATATCATTTGCATGAGACTTCTCTTACCAGAAAATGTTTTGTGTCTGATATTTCATGGCAAGTTTAAAGTAATCTTTGTGCTAGAACAGACATTTTTTTCATATGTGTAGTTTGAAGAAGCTACTATTTTAAATAGCTTTCCAAATAGCATACATCAAAGAGAAGGAATTATATAAATTGTAGTAACATGATTATTCTTCTGATAGCATGGTTGTTTTCTTACCATCCATGGTATCAGCTAAAAGACCTGGCTCAATTTAATACAAGGACTTCTAGATGATGGGAAGTTGTATTAAAAGGCCTCTGAAAAGCAATTGTTAATTAATCTCAGTGTGAAAAGGAATGATTAGATGGGACAAATTTAACATTTGGCATTATCAAACTTTCTGTTTATGGGGTGGTGGTGCTGGGGATTGAACCCAGGGCCTCACATGTGCTAAGCACATACTCTACCACTGTACTACTGAGCTACACCTCTATCCCCTGACATATCAAACTTTTTAGACATTAAGGGGAGAAGCCCCATAGAGAATTCTGTAGATTTTTTTTTTTTTTTTTTTTTGGTAAGATTTTTTAGGCCATTCATGATTCAACTCTGAAGCTGAAAATGATGGAGGGTTTGCTACACCTTTGACTTCCAGGCTCGAGTGTTCATGAAAAACAAAGGGCAAGGAATGGAAATAGGTATCAAGACTGGGAGAGAGGAGACAGAGAGACAGAGTTGACAGGGAACAGCTAGTTTCCCAGCACAGACACCAATAGACAGGTAGGCGTTGACACTGTACCTAGAGAGGCTGCCCTCAGCGGCCAGGCCCTGGGAGTCATCGAGGACATTAGGTTCACTGCAGGAGGGGTAGGGAGATGAAGCATTTAGGGAAAGAAAGTGCAAAAAGAAGAAAAAAGAAAACAAAAAGAAAAAAGAAAGAGAAAAAGGCATGCAATTTTCTGTTTCCAGGAACCAAAAATAAATTTAACAGAACAAGGAAGGAAAAGGAGACAGTCAACCATTTCACCTTGTGCTGGGTTTGTCAAGACATAGGACTCAAGGCAATGGGGAAGGAAGGACTTTGGATGGATAGGACTCTCAGAGGAGTGGTCTGTTTATTGGTCAAGAGTTAAAATGAGCTCCAAATGGACAAATGAGCTCTGAAACGCATTGGAGAATGAATCTGTAGAAGATGATACTATTATTTCTTTGGTAACCATTGTTAGGTGGTTATTATTTTTAACCTATCTCAAGTACTTAGTGCTTTATTGACCGGGACCCTGCTTCTTGTGCAATCTATGATGAAACCACTTACCATAACTTGCCACAACCAAACTCTTGGAATCAATGCCATTAAGGAAAGCAAAGAATGATGTCAATTTTCCCTGCTTAGTTTTGCATTAAAAATATAAGTAAATGAATGGAAGGACGATATTTTGGAAAATTCACATTTACCTCCTTACTCTCCATCCTCTAATGACTGAATTGTAAATGCTAAAAGAAGAAACCTGTCAGGTTGGTGGAAAAATAATTAGTTTATTGATTTATTTGGATGTAGATAGACTGAGATTTGTGAAAAGAAAATGTGTCATACTGTGGTTTTCCTTTGTGCATCGCATTGAGCCATGAGGCACTCAAAACATACTTATGGAATTGGGTGGAATTAAACCATTTAGGAAACTGAAGTAGCCCCAAAGAATTGAGGTTTACTTGATTGTTAAAATAGTCTCTGTCCCCAGGAAGAGGCTAATTTTCTCTAATGTGCAGAGACAGTATTACCTTCACTAGTCTTCTGAAATATGATTCAAGTCCAAATGGATTAACTATTTTATCTTTTCTGAAGTTCTAGTATATTTATATACTAAAGAGATTTTCTCCCTGAAAACAATGCTTTTTGGGGAGGTGTACCAGGGATTGAGTTTAGGGGCACTTGACCACTGAACAACATCCCCAGCCCTATTTTGTATTTTATTTAGAGACAGGGCCTCACTGGCTTTGAACTTGAGATCCTCCTGCTTCAACCTCCTGAGCTGCTGGGATTACAGGCATGCGCCACTGTGTCCAGCCCTGGAAACAATTTAATCCATTAATAACTATGTAGAAAAGGAATTGATAATCTGGATTATTTTAGGTAAACAACATAAAAACCTTCTATTTAAAATTCCTTTTATTCTATGGTTTAAATAAAACAAATAAATTGCTAGCTTTATTCTTGCTATAAACTTGTACATTGCTACCAATTAAAAATAAACTAATATCTACAAATATTAAGTGCTTATGTGACTTCACATCTTTTTTGGGACACACTGTTGGGCTTTTTAAATTTTTTTGGTTACAAATTTTACTTATAAAGTTTTTTTTCCAAAAGAAAACTAAAAATATTAGGCTAACAAATATTCAATGATAGGAACCTTTATATGTTGATATTTATAATAGTTAAAATACATATACAATATTATTTTCTTAAAAATATACAATTTACTTGTTAGTCATCTTTGTCATTTCACCCTATTCTTCGATATTCTTCAAAGGTTAGCTTTATTTCACAAACTTTATTTCATCAGTGCAGTTTTTATGAACCATTTGTTAAAGGATTTGAGTACAGCATAATTATTCCTACATATATATTTTTTAATCTGATCATTATCATGAGCCTGACTTATTRTTTTCAGTGTGTGAATGGGCATGAAAAATATGGTGGGTATTAAAAATAAACAACAAACTAACAAAAATCCCAGAAAGCCAATTCTTTGAAAGAATTCAATTACTGACACGAAAATATCATTTTTTAAAAAATAGATAATGTTTGACTCTTATGTCAGATCATTTTCTATATTATACTTTTATTATATCTTAGAAGTTTTAAAACTTATGTTCTTAGATGGCAGATAACACAAAAAGGAAATGTTAAAAGGGTTTAGTCATGGAATCATAGAGCTATATATAGAGAAATTGCTTTAAAGATCATTTTGGCCAACCTCCTCATTTCACAGAGGGAAAAATTGTTAAATGACCTGTGCAGGGTCACACACAAGTGGCATAGGTCCCTTTCTGCTTGGTTAAACATCCCTACCTCCAGCTGAACCCTGATGACATATCAGAAGCCTAAACTTTACCAAATATACCAACCTGGTCCTAAGCTCGTCAATTCTCATTATTAGCTTAGTTAATGATGACTCTGAAATGTAAGAATGCCATTAGACCATCTGAAAGAAGACAATATATCTATTTATGGAAAAATATAAAGGAGAGACAATGCTTTGGTTAGAARTTAGGGTCCTTCTAGTAGCCTGGCCTAGAAAACTGCAAATTATTGCTTGCAAGTTTGTAGTTCAAAAATCCTTTGTTGAATGATCTATCGGAAAACATAACTGTCTCTTGCTTCTCCTTCAGTCTTTGTAGAATAACATGAGTATATTTTCAGAATTTCTACCTTTGTCCCCAAGTGCCAAGTATAAGATAGCATAGCTCTTTACCTCTGGCTGGGTAACATGCCCACCTCAGCCTGAGGTGCAGACATGCTGGAGACATGGCTGGAGAATCGACGTCTTCCAGTGGCACTCAGGAGGTAAGCTTCCTGTTCACTTACCACACTGGGCATGCTTACAGAGTCGTCTGAAAGGGCAGAGGGACAGAGTGTTATAAAAACAGTGATACTAATCAAAAAACACCAACCACAGCTCTACTTAGATTCCATCTGTGGCTTGAGCCTAATACTAGGGCTGTCACTAAAACTAAATTATCATTGATTTCTTTATAAGGATGAAAAACTAAGACCCCAGGGCCCTATGACAGCTCTTCAGGCCCACATATCTCCCTCCCTCCCAACTAGAACAGTTTTCATAAAATAAATGTAAACTTCTTGTCTGTTTTACAAGTATATTATTTCTGAAAACTTGACAGGCACTTGCAAATTAAAGATCTGAAAGCTAGAACTATATAAATTTTTAAGACATTCAGGAATAGTTTAATAGGGAGTTTGTTATTGAATGAGTAAGTATATTTCTTTGCCTTTTAAAAACTACTTTCAGTACATTATATGATTTCTCTCTTGTTTTGAGAAAGATTATTTCAGATATTTTTGGGAAAAATATTTGAGAAACTTTAAAGTCCAGAAATAAGTTCTTATTTTAACCAAAATTTTAAAATTTACATATGTAATCTTGTTTTCTCTATAAAAGCAGAAACTAATATATTCAAATCCAAATTAACTTTAGCACAGTATTTGTGACAAGCTGACTTTTCTAAGTGAGTTAATGTTTATTGCTGAACACTAAATATTCTTCAATAAGCATATCACGTTTGGGTGAATATATCTACTATATAAGATTATTCAATACCATCTATTTAAAATAATCCATAGTAATATTTATTTTTTAAAATGTATTTTTTAGTTTTAGATGGACACAATACCTTCATCATATTTATTTATTTATTTTATGTAGTGCTGAGGATGGAACCCAGTGCCTCATACATGCTAAGCAAGATCTCTACCACTGAGCCACAATCCCAGCCCTACATGATAATATTTCTAATTGAACTTATTTTGAAAAAAAATTGAATATGAAAAGTGCTAGAAGTTTTAATTTGTTGTGTAATGACTGACTTGAAATTGATTCTTATTATAGAATGGCATTTCCTTTTTAGATGTGTTCATAGACAAAGCTATCCAAAACATGATAGAATACCTTGAGCTATTTCTACAAAGGCTGCTTCTAGATTCCACTGTCTACCCCTTATTTGAACTCATATCACTTAACACTTACTTCCCCATATTTGTTTGGTGATGAATCACATTTGGTCTTCCACTAAGCCTTTTGTTAACTGTTCTATGTTGTGAATGCCTATCATTTCCCCTGTAGGACTACATCTGAGAGCAGAGAACATGTGTTTCTCATTCTTCCTTGTATTATGTCTGGTAAGTGTTAAGTACAGGTTCAATGATTGGAAAAAATAGTTTAATTTTTAACAGGTAAATATCTGGCTCTCATACCCCTCTACCATATTAATTAACATATACCCACATCACAACCACACTTCACCATTTGTTAGGAACCTGCTTTCATCAGGATGACTATGATGTCTGAGAACAGAGATATTAGCAAAAAACTGCAAGCTCTCAACCAATGATATTCCTAAGATCTTAGCCACCTTTGAGTATGGCATCTTCTCTACTTTTTATCTGTGGCTCCTTCCCACTGGCTAGTCATCTGCTTATTCACAAGGTTGCCTGCAAAGTAGATTTAATTCTAAAAAAGAAAGGTAGTATCATTTCCCATCATGAAAAAAAAAACATGACTAATTCAAACATTAAAGACAAAATGGATTTCACTTTAAGTTCTGAACTATTACCAAGACTTAATATTTATTTTGAACTGCTGATCCTTGTCTTTCTTCTCATCTCTCTCTCTCTCTCTCTCTCTCTCTCTCTCTCTCTCTCTCTCTCTCATATTGGGATTGGATACAGAGGCACTTTGCCACTGAGCTGCATCCACATCCCTTTGTATTTTTTATTTTGAGACATGGTTTCACTAAGTTGCTGAGACTGTCCTTGAACTTGCAATCCTCCTGCCTTGGCCTCCACAGTCACTAGGATTACAGGCATGTACCAATGTGCCTGGCACTCATTTTGTTTATTGGTCAATAATTTTCAATTTTCTTTAAGCAGAATTTGAGGTGAATTTCCATGAGCAGTCACCAGGGTAATTTAGACACATTAACTGTACAGGTTGGATGCAGACAATATGATCATCCCTTTTTCCGACTAATATTTTATCTGACTAATCCAGAAATATTACTGATAAGTGTTTTGATGAGGCATTTCTTTTTTTCCTGTTCTACGTACCCAACTATAGTGAGACACTGAAACACTCATTCATCTTAGATAATTAAAATTCTAGCCTCAACTCCCAATTCCTCTATTTATTTAGTTCAGACAGGCTTTTTTGTTGTTTGGTATGAAGAGCCTAGGAGTGAGGATCTAGATTTTATTCTCAATCTTAAGGCACTGAAGCACAATTGTGCATTAAGTATTATATCAAGGTGTCTCAAAACACAAGTGGAAAATAACCAAGGCCATTTAGAAGCCCTTTAAATGACAGTGGTTTATAATGGAACCTCTAAATCTTACTTTTATTTCTTAAACCTACTCCTCTTCAGGATATATATGAAGTGTTTCTTGAGCAGATTCCTCTCATTTCATAACACTGCATCTTCAGCATACCATTAGAAGCTCCTGGACTGACCTCATCACTGGACTGGTTATTCTCTGAACTCAAATTTGGGTAATCCTCCCTAAAGACAGCTGCCAGTTTTATTTTGACTGGCATAGCCAGTTGGTTTCTTCTGAATTCTAAATATACACTCTGCCCACTTTCCTCGCCGAGTAGGGTCATGAAAGTGCTGGTTRGCCCTCTAAGCAAAATGTCCAGGAGAAAAAGAAACGTCACATATCCACAATTTAAATGAGTTAGTAGAAAAGGCTGAAATATGTAATCTGAAAAGAAATTTAAGGGGTCTTCTCAAGATTTACTTTTTGCCTGAATTCTTTCCAAATGACAGAGGCTATCAAGGAATTTATAGAAGAGCAGGAGTCACAGAATCCGTCACAATTCCATTTTGAATCTTTTTTTGTGAGCATGACTGATGGGATCAGAACTCAAGATGGTGAAAGGTAGAACTCCTTTCCAAGCCCTCACTGACATGACCAAGCTATCTCCTGCCCAGATTCTTTGGAGTGACCTACTTTCTTCATCCTCCTCGTCAGTCCGACTCAGGGTATCCTGGGAAGCCTGCTGGGATGGCTCGCTGTCCTGCTCCCAGACAGTGCCTGTGCCCGTGTTAGAGCGGGACATGGTGGCCAGGCTCAAGCGGTAAGCAGAGGTGGAGGTGCCCACAGTACTGATGGATGTCTTCCCTTGGTAGGCTGGAGAATAGAGAGACCAAGGGAAATTCATGTGAGGCTCTGGAAGGAAAGGAAATGTTTGCTTCAAAGTTCTCCCTGACCAACAGTATCTTTTTAGTTAAACAGTATGTCTCAGACAATCCTTAGGACAAAGTAGCAAATGGAATTGTTAACAAAAACAAAACAAAAAACACAGAAAAATCAATATTGGCCACTGATGAACTTACAATCTAATAGTTTGTTGGTGAGAACATGTACATCCCTAACAATGTAAAGTGTTTATTGACATTGTTCCCCTTTTGTTGCTTTTCTGTTTTATTTTCCAAGGCTGGTAGGACACAAATTAATTTTGACCTGAATTGCTACCTCCAACTTGCCAATTTTTACTGAGACATATACATATTTACCTTCTCTGACACAGCATATGGAAATAAAAATAAATCATAAATAAATGAACCCCATAATCCAAATCAGTACACATAATTGAGTGCAGTGCCATATGCCTATAGTTCCAGCTACTCAGGAGGCCAAGGCAGATTGACTGCAAGCTTGAGCCCCCCCCCCATCTCAGTGAGATTCAGTTTCAAAAATAAAATAAAAAGGGCTACTGATGTAGCTCATAGGTAGAATACTCCTGGGTTTAAGCCCTAGTACCACATATTCCACAAACACACACACACACAAACAAAAATCAGAATACGTATCAAAAATTCATTCTCATTCTCCTTTCCTGGAAATTATTATACATAAAGTATCTCTCAGTTCTATCAGATTTAGATCAGATTCTTTACCAGTTTAAGCAGAATATTTGAATGGCAATGTGAAAGTTTCAATGAGTTTGCTTCTCAAAATTTTTGTCTTTAACATATTATCTGCAAACAACAAAAGCTTTAGAAAGAAACAAAAAACCCAAGCCCAACATATAATATTTTACTTATGGATAATGATTGCCCTCTAATGGCAGAGGTTTTTTTCCTTCCACATTAATCTGCTATTTATATAAGAGTAAAAAGTAAAGAAAGCAAAGTCAAAGAAAATCTTTTGAACAGTGTAAATGCCTCTTAGCCTGCCAACTCTAATTTACCTCTCCCCAATTTCATTTGGAAAAGTTAAAGGCTTTTCTAATTTAAAATCCCCTCCAAATTACCACTTTCTCTGCATATAAGTTGTTTAATCTCTATTGAATCTCAAATTCTCCTTATTCAAATGCACCTTGCATGTATTTGTGTGAATTAAAGGAAATAATATCTGTGAAACAATCAGATGCTAAATAAATGTAAGTTCCCCCTTTCAAAAAGGAAACAAAAGAATTCAAACAGGGTTCCCACTAATTAAATATTCAAGAAAGAGCTAAACTACCAAAACGAAGATTTAAAAAATACTTAGAAAAGAATAAAACTACTCCTTTGGTATCCCTTTGATTTCTGTTTTCCTGTTCATGATGATCACCTGGTCAAATCTACTGTTACATCATGACAGGTAGCTTAGACATGGTTCCCAAAAAGAGGAGTGTCCAGGGCATAGGGACTATTTGTAGGTCGTCAGCTCTATTTTTACAACAAATTCAAATTATCTCCATGCATACGTACCTGAACCACTGTGAACCGCTTCTTTTAGAATTTTTAGTTCACTATTGAACTCAGCAATGAGTGAACTCTTGCACAAAGGGCGTGGTATGAAGCGCCGCTCCAGCTGGTCAGCAATGTGTTGCCGAGCAGAAAGTTCTTCATGATTCTCTGCTGGTTGGGCCAGAAGCTAAAAGGAAGGCATTGAGTTCTCAGGGCATTAATTTCCCCATCTGAAAATTAAGCTAATTACTATACCTACTGCAAAGTTTAGTTGAGAGGAATAAAAAAGATAGMGCATGTGAAGTCCTTAGAATAGTACTTCACAGAGGAAGTGCTTTCTCTAAGCAGGAAGTACTTTCTCTACACAGGAAGTGCTTACTCTATACAGGAAGTGCCTACATTGCTTTGATTCTCTGCCTTCCAGAAACAGAAATAGGAAAAGGACAAGAGTAGATGCGTAGATGTGTACTAAATACCTTGGAGGAAAAGCATGCCTTAAATATCCCATCTTTTTTCATATGTTTAAAATAATTATCTCAGTCATGCCACAGACAATAGAACAACATTCTCCAGAGGATTCCATTAGACCCATTCTTTTTTTTTTTTTTTTTTTTTTAAGGGAGGGGGCTAATAAATGGGGAAAAGGTTAAGTTTTATAGTTTCTGATAATTGTGAAGGTACTTCTAAAGTGAGATTTTACCATCTGGATACATTTTGGGGCTGTTTTCTCATCAAACATGGTATCAACGAGCCCTGCTAGCTGGCTACAGTACATCCCACATGCACTCCTGCCACAATCCTGACTTCCTGAAGAGCAGCACATTCACAGAGTTTGTCACTCCAGGAGAAGCACACACCACACCTTGCACTGGATGAAAGGGCGCAAGAGCACGAAAATGGGTATCCGGGTCCGCACAATGAAGTCGAGGAAGTCCCACAGGGCCAGGCCGCCCACCTTCCGCAGAGCCATCTCCTTCACCTGCAGGCTCAACCAGTACCACTGGCTTCCCAGCTGCCTCTCAAAGCAGACGAGAATCACCTTCAGAGCTTTACACCAGGAAAAGAGAAAAGTGAGGCTGAGGGCTGCTGCTTGAAGGAACCCTACCCTGAGCCTCTACCCTGGATGCATCAGGAATTTTTCTGAATTTCTAAAATTCAATCATTTCCAAAGACTCAACATGCATTCCTGAGTGAGTGTTCCTGACATCAAGGTGAAAAATTGTATAAAACAAATGTTTTGATGCTAATTAGAATACAAATATCYTTGTTAAATGCATTGAACTCCTATTTTGGAAAATACAAAGTAGTCTACACATGTGAATCCCTGGTTCTAATGACATTTCTATTACATTTTGTGCTGGCCAATGTTGATTTTCTGCCCTTCTGCTTTCCACCTTCATCACAATAACACAATACACAAGTTGTATAAAAGGGGCTCAAGAACACAGATGCTAGATGACTTGGATTTGAAAACTAGCTTGACTTTGTGTCTTTAGGCAAGTTACTTAACCTTTCTGGGTTTCAGTTTCTTCACTCCTAAAATAAGAATAACATTAACTTCTGAGAATTGTGGTAGGCATGTGAGATTTCACTGTGGATATTATAAAGCACCGAAAACACTGGTTGATGATTAATAAGTTTTCAAAATAAACATAAAAAAATTAAAATAGAGATGCAGTAGTCTGACCAAATAAACAAAGTAAAAACAAATCAAAACCCTTCATTAAAAAGGCAGAAAGTGGGGAGGACTGAACAATACTTACTCATCAAGTGTTTTTATTATATTCTTGGCTTACATAGTAAGCCATTTCTCCATTAGACTCTGTGTGCTCCCCAACTTCATTTAGGGCTCTATGCCAGAGTTTGGACCTTATTTAAACCTGACTTGTTTTCATGCCTGGGATAACTGAGCATCTGTATGGATAGGTCCTGTGCACATGCATTTTTTCCCCTTCTCTTTTTTCATCACATCCCTTTTTAATGCCGTCAAACATCCCACACACTTCAAATTCCAAAGCCCCATTTTTAATCAGTGTGTTCGCATTTGTCTGATATTCCCTGACAAGATCTGATTTGGTGATTTGAAAATGTCAGGCAAGATTTTCTCAACTTTCTCCTTTTGAGATTTCCTATGTCAGTGCTTCTTATTCTCACTCCTATGGTAAGAGTGGTTTTTTCCCTTCCCTGAGGTCATTCAGGACCAAAGAGTGATTTTCTATTGTTCCATGGAAGAGAAACAAGTTAAAGGCATGGATAGTCTAGGGAAAAGTTGGAATTGAATCAAGAAGGGAACTGGGAAGCCTATGGGGAGAGAATAAGTGGGCTGGTAAAGATCACAATGGGAATTTAAAGATGACATTGAAAAGGAAAAAAAAAATTGCTAGTAGGGGGCATAAGTACTGAAAGTCCAGCAAGTCTAACAGCACAGGCTAAGGACTGCCTACTTCCAAGGGCTCCAATCACATAGCTGACAGACCAATCCAGGAATTGTACAGCCCAGTGTCCTTTTATACCAGGCTGTCTAGATCAGATAACGATTATCAAATCTCACAAGAGATCTTGTACTTAATGAACAAGAAGGAATCTTTCCTGAAGATACCTTTCTTTTTATAAGCTGTCTGTCCCAGTCAGCTTATAAAAACAGCAAAGTAATTTAGGCATTGTAGATATGAAAATACTTTGTTTTGACATATGTTTACTGAAGAAAACAAGATTTGCAAGGATGTTTCTTGTTTAAGTGGCTTCTTTAAATACTTTGAGGCAAGGTGGAGAGAGAGWGGGGGCAAAGCACCCACCCAGGTATGCTGCTTGGCTGGTGGACTCAGCCAGCCCTTCCCTKCGCAGATCCTTTCCTGCATCCCCAGGGGTGGAGCAGTGGGCAGGGGAGCTCTCCAACATGAAGTTCTTGCTCCTAGAAGTGCTGATGATCCGGGGTGGCAGAAGCACATTAATGACCGTCTGCAGCAGCAGCTGCACCTCAGGCTGCTCCAGCCATGGGCTATCTGAAGGGCAGAGTTTGGGAGAGGAAGCAAGCGTAAAGGAAAACAGTCACAAGGTAGACTTTCCACATTAGACATAGAAAAATTCAGTTCTTTTTCCAATTCCAAACTAGAACACCCTGGAAATTGGGTATTTCCTGCCAAGTACAGCTTCTCCCACGGACGGACACCAAGTTCCTGGCACCTGAGTATTCTCCATAGTTTTTCTCCAAAGAAAAGCTTGCGTTCTTAGCCAAATCTCCTGCTTTCCATTTCAACCTTCTTTGTTTTCACAAATACTCATAATGAACTGACCTTACATTTGAGGTAAGCGTTTCCTAAAAGAAACCCCCCCCCCTAAGAAGGAAGAGTAATGAAAAAAATATCAAAATCGAATACAGTGGCAGAATTTCTGTAACCCCAGTGGTAGTATTATAAAGTCCATTCACCTGTCAATTCTCATCATATTGAAATTTACTTCAACTAATACCATTTTTTCATAACTGAATTGAAACAAGGTACTCCTGTTTTTTTGCTGTACTGAAATGATTTTAAATAGGATGTATCTTCTAAGAAGAAGAGCAGAGAAACTCTTGTTCCAGGGCAGCTAAACTGAAAAGAAAGAAATATTCTTATTTTCTAAGGTAATCCTATTTAAACCCTTCAGATCAACTTCATGTGATGGCTTTCATGGGAAAAGGAAAAAAAGAAGTAACAGCCTGATATACATAAGAAAACACAACCACACCGATAAAGTTCCTTTAGTTAAATTAATCAGACCTTTGCTTCCAGATCCTACTGTGAGCACAAATGGGATGAGTAGATTTAAAAGCATCCCTTCCCTTCGCTCTTGATTGGTGAATGGGGAGATCACATGGCTTAAAGGAAAATCTTCTTTTAGTGCCTGTGCAGCAATAATAGAAAAAAAGATTAATTGACCACCATACTCATTTATTATGTTTGTTTTCACACAGCATGATGGAGACGGTGACCCCCTGCTGACTTCTCCTGTAAACTATGAGTTCAATTGTCTTCTGTGCAGCACAGCAGATTCAACCAAAACTGATACTGTACCATTTGCTATATTCCTAAAAAGACAGCAACATCTTGAATATTAAATGGAAAGTTATGACACTTAGGGTCAGATACAGAAATAACCCTGTATCCCCATTAATTTTCTTCACGTTTCCACCAATAAATATTGTAGAGACAAAAGGAAGAAAATGAGAACTTGCCACTTGCTCCATTTGAGAATTATTAAAAATCCTCTGACCCCTGCCTAAGGCTTTCTCTGAGCCAGAAAGCAATGAGCAACACAGAGAGAAATTGATGATCTTTAAAAATGGGTTATTAAAATGTATCACATTAGGGATGTCATTGCTTCCCTTTAGCATGGTAACCACAGCTCTTAATATGTGTGCTATCATCTACCCATTATTTGGATGATGACCATCACTTAGTGGTCAGATAATAGGTAAATAAGTTATCCATTTACATCACTTGCATCTTTTCCATTGATCATAGAGCTTTTCACTGGTTTATTGATCTTTACAGTTGACTGACAGAATTAGGCAGGGGAATTGGGATTCTGCACTTTTTGCTTTGGAAATGACTATTTTAATTTTATAAAGTGGGGAAAATTTTTAAAAATTACCTACAATATTCAACCCACAATCATTAAAGAAAATTAAGATATTCAAAGTCTAGTAATTTGAAAGAATTCTTTCTGAAAACACCTTAAAACTAGACTTTGAACACTACCGCCTGTTTTAATTAACAATTGTGAGCTGATTATCTGAAAGCCTTCATTTTGCATACATTTTAACTGTCCAAAGTGGTTTCTGAAGTTGTGGCAGGACTAAATGACTCTGCTATTTTTGAGATCTCAAGAAGAATTACAGAAGTACAACTTAGGGCCACGCTCAGGGCTGAAGCTCCAAATTTTTCAAAGTTTGGAGACGTACACACTTTGGTTTCACAGATTTTGCCCAGCCTTTGCAGAAAGAAAAAGAGAACACCATGATCCGGTGCCTCAAACAGCAACTTAATGAGCGTGACAAACAGGTAAGCAGTCACACCTGTATCTGCAATGCTACAAGCCGGACAACAGCTGTGCTGAAGGGCAGAGGTGGTGAGAGATAAGGGCTGAGATGAAGAAGGGGTAATCCATCAGCAACACTGGAAGGTCCTACCACTCCCATCACCTGAAATACAAACAGAGCACATGACCAGCCTTGACCATTGCAATTTCATGCAGCCATAGTAAAGGAGTCTCATTCAATAATAATAATAATAATAAATTGAAGGTTGGACATGTTACTTTCCATCTTTTCTTTCTCATTGCCTTTTTCTGAAGGCATGTAATGTCTGGAGTCAGTCAATCATTATGCTGGATTCAGCCAAGGTTTTGTAGAATGTTGTTTACAGCTAACTATGTAAATAATGAGAGATGAACCAAAAAGCTAGTCTAATCGGGAGATAGGACACTTACTTGTGGATTCAAAGGAGTGCAATCAACATTCTTTGATGGAGCAAATACTGACAACAATGATGATGGCAACAGCTCTATTTGCACTAGGCATTACAACTACAGATTTATTGCCCAACTAGTTAAGCAGCAGATCCCATTCCATGAAATGCTCTAACATGGTTTCCATACATTGTACAAAACCTTGTCAGGAACAGACTCTAGATATTACGTAAATGATTAAAAATATTTTTTCTTTATATAAATTCTAGACTGGCCAACTCATATTGTCATTTTGTTCTTAAAAAAAAAAAAAAAGCCCTTTTGGCATTTTAAGGTCCCCACCCCAGTCTACCTCAACCTCTAACAAATTGTGCAGTCTCCACCACCCCACTCTCCAACTGGCAGCCCTCAACTCTCAGCGCAACTTTAAGAGGTGAATTGTCAAAGTAGTGTATGGGAAGCAGCACGCCAAWATCCCATCTGCAGAGTGATGGGCCCCTGTATCTTCCCATGTACTACCTTGAAATGTACCTCACTATTTTCAGTGTCACCTGAGCCATCAGTTTTCATGGGTAGGTGGGGCACAAAGTGGTTGACCTGTAAATCTTCATTTCAGAGAAATCAATAGCAGAGTTAAACTGTGCAAAGTTTTATAAGATTGCCACTTGGCTACTCACCAGATTGACACAGACATTGATCAGTGACCTAAGGTGAGGCAGGAAGGATATGATTGGCTGCCTCTGAAGTGTCAAACAAACCCCTTCAATCAAATTGCTGGCAGGCTCCCACTCAACCTGTCGCCTGGAATACAATATAGGAGCCATTAGCGGCATGGCTCCCTTCTGGAGACAGTCTGAAATAAGTGAATGACACAGTGATTCTGACGCCATCTAATAYAGGACATGTGTCTGAGACGACAAAGTGCTTCACACGGGATGAAGTTTACCCATGTTGTTCCAAAAGTACAGAGCACACTGGGAGAGAAAGAAGATACTGAAAACGCAGCAGAGGCACTCCTGCCCCATCGACTAATGAGACAAAATCTATTGAAGAAAAAACAGAGATGATGAATGGGTTGCATTTTAAGATCCCTGTTATAGGCTTTCAGGAGGGTCCTTAGGAAACCCATCACATGGGTTAATCACTTCCACCAGAACATTTCTGAAATCTGTTTATCAGAYTACACTTAATCTCATCAGTCTTTATACTGGATTTCTCCTAACTAGAATTAAATGGCTTCACTCTTGTCAAAAAGATCACGCTAGAAGAAAACAGCCTATTTTAGAAGTGCTCTTATTGGCCTCCCAAGAAGTGATATTTTTGGCTCTTYTCTATAATAGTATGAGTGGTGGTACACATAACCAGTTAGATGACCATGGATTTTCTGTAATATAAATCAATCCAGTCTGTAAATTGTTCCAGTAATGATAGATTCTTTACTTTGACTTCAAAATAACAGGTCGAGCTTTGTTGATAGCAACACTACTTCCATATATTTTCTTGGAAATACTTTCTAAGCTTATATTTCCTACCAAAATGGAATCTCTGCAAAGACACAATGAAGATATAGTCATAAATGAGGATAAYTGACATCCCTAATGCTGAGTGCCCAAGTAACCCACAGGCCAGGTTCAGTTAATATTTCTTGTGTTGAACTGTGTCACCTAAATAAATAAAATCCGAGCTAAGTTCATATACATCATGCCTCCCAAGAAAATTGCCTGCAACTTGGCCAAGTCTATGCATTAATCCAGATATCTACTTTKGGGAAACATGATGTTATAATGGTATTTGTCACTATGTGACAAATGGGCAAGTTTACAGATATATTTAACATCTTTGGATATCTAATTTTTAAGAAAAAAATATATTTTAATATACACTCATAAGACAGTTATAAATCTTCTATCAATCGTTTGCTAATAGACACAGATGCTCCATTGGGACCACTAAAGAAGTAGTGCTTTAAGAATAGGCATTTATTGCCATGCCACCAAAAAAAAATTACCTTGAAATTGAATCTAGACATTCATCACCATGGTATAAAAAGTGTAAAAACAAGCCATCAATTATTAGCATGAAATCATTGAATTTGTTGTTGTTTCCTTCAATGCCTCCTGATGGGAGCATAAAAGGTCACAGGCTAATACCTGGAATAAGTTCTGACAAAGTTAATAAGTGCTATAAATTCTTGGACAAGAAGTAGACTAATTTAGGGTTAGTTTAAAAGAAAGAAGAAACTCCCAACAGCCCAAATTTGAAATTTCTAAGTTAGTGGGAACACCAGCATTTATCAATTAAACTATCTTTGCACTGTGACTACAGTAGCCAAATTGGTTTCATATCACAGAGGCACCAACTAATAGGAAAGGTACCCCTGGGTACTTTTCAGGATACTTAACAGAAGCCAAGTGGTAATGGTGTTCATGTAGAACTACACTGAATTAGGTGAAAATCACGTATTTATTATCAACACTGTAACTTTTTAGGTGCTGTTTGGCTGATCATTACAATACTTGTCACATTCTTAAGTTGGTACCTAAATATGTTAACTAACTACACTAAATACAGTACTTTGGACATCAAATTAATTTTTATTCTCTTTTTAGTTATTACTTGTAAGGCATACTCTGTCTTATTTCAAAAGGGAAGAAGCATACTAAGTGAATTTCTAATGTGCATCTGATAAGGAAGATGATAGCTAAGAAATGGGTAGAGTTTTAAAAATGAACACATATATGTTTTAAAGAAAATATCACTTCCTCAAAAAGAATACTTCTACTTTGGCACTCAGTCCTGATTAGTGAGGCACATACACCAACAGAACACTTTCAAGTCRTTCATTTTACTCCAGATTGACCTACTATCTTAAAAAATGCAAATTCTAACTTTGAGGTTTATAGTATAGACAGCTGACGTGGAGTTCCCTTACCTCAAAGTTGGCATCTTATGAATTTTGTTGAACATTCTATCCAATCTCTTTAGAATGAGGATAAGGGCTGGTCTCACTGCCTCAGCTGTCCAGTCGGTAATGGGTAGCATCTCCATGATGTAGCGCCGAAGCCCACGGCTTTCCATCGTCTGGGTGTCATAGGGTGCCAACTTCAGAAGGGAATGTGCAATTTCTGCCAACCTAAAATGATTGTTTTAAAGAGTAAGCATAAAATGCTATAAAAAGAATTTTCTCACACAGCCTCATGCCAATTTCCTCCTGTCAATACATCAACTCCCTGACAATAACCTGCACATGCATAGTAAGAGAATCATATTTTACACATATGTGTGTGTACATATATACATATATGCTATATGCATATAAAAGAAAGCCTTTTTTTGTGGTGCTGGGATTGAACCCAAGGCCTCATGCATACTRGGGAAATGTTCTACCTCTGACAGCCTGAGAGCCTACATTTTAATGAATAATAAAATAACATTGAATATTGAAGTAAGCTTCATGGTTTCAATACTTTCTCACTGAGCCTAGTCAAGATCAAAGTTACCCTGTAGAAGGTGGTATTGATTTATGTTACAGTCCAAGCAGTTCTTTGAGCTCTATTTTCACTTCTGTCCTTTAGAGCCTCCTCCTCTCTGTGTTGTATCTGGAAGCTCCTGCTCTGCCCRATTATGCAGGTGGTTGGCCCAGTTAGAATCTATGAATAGCTTTAGTTTCTGTTGTCTATACTTCTCAGATTTTCCAGCTTTGTTTCACACAGGAACTATCAGAGGGGATGTTGTGCTTTCCCAGATCKGTCCAGGTTCTCAGTTGCCAGATCAAGTGTCTGTGTCCTAAGTGTAGTATTTTCTGCAGGGGAATTGGACAACAAGACTTTGTGGGAAAATGTGGTTTCTGGTAAATGTCATATTTGGTTAAATAATTAATCTTCAATACTAGTTATGAATTGCCAATGTCCAAGTAATAAAAATCTATGATATACATAGTTTAAAAGCCAATTTAATTTAATTTTGTATGAAGGAGAAAGTATTTTAAATCTTATTTTGTTTCACCATCAAATAATTTTAAGGTAATTATTTTTTAATTTATTAGATGTTATATTGCATTGTGGTTATTTTTTTCTCTTAGTCCTTTAACCTTAGAAATACCTATTGAAATATGTATGGATAAATGATGTGATCCTTGTGATTTACTTCAGACCAGTCTGAGATGAAGGGAAGGGGGAGCGATTGGAGACCATTATTGAATCTGGGTGATAGGTACCCAGGAGAATTTGCTATATAATCTTTCTAATGTTCAAGATTTTTTAAAATAAAAATATACAGATTTCTTGGTGGATTCTTCAGAGATCCTTGTTCATTAGATATTGGATGAGGCCTGAGAAACTATATGTTTTCAGTTTTCCTTTTAAATCATATTTTTAAAGTAAGAGGTGTCAGCCAGAGGCCAAGCATGTGGAACCTCACTGCCTAAGTGACTATTAAGGTCTCTCTTCCAACACTGAGATTCCATGAATCTAGGGAGATTATCGTTAGAGCCTCTCCAAGGCAAACTTGCTTTAAAAAATAGCAAAGCTTATTTCAGATTTTCCTATATCTCAAGCTCCCTCATCTTTCAGTGTCAGTCCTAAACAGGCTTAGTGTATGGCTGGTCTCAACACACCATTCACATGTGCAATATTGGATGATGTCAGACCTCTAGGTTCCTCTTCCCATGAGAATTTCCCTGTTCTGTACTCTATTTCCAGAAGTTCCTTTATCTGCCTGGCTAGACATATTTTGATTCAAGCTGAAGATACAGATAATGAATGACAGTGGCTTAACATATTACACTTTCTAAATAAATTTGTTTTCAGATGAATTTTTAGGATCTTAATAAATAATAGACTTCTCAGTCACTGTACTAGGTATATTTTTCAAAGTCTAAGCCTTTTTTAAAAATCAAGCTCAAACCATACAACATAGACAGAAGATAATTCCATGAATGGGTATACATTGCCTCTTTCTGCAGTGATCTTCCTGGTCTCAGCCTCCTGAGTTGCTGGGACTAAAGGGGTGTGCCACTGCACCATGCTCTTTTTTGCTACCTTGTAATTTATTTTTGGAGTAATTWGCTACACAAATAGTCTGGATTTCGATGACTGAATCTCTATGGCATCATCTAATCTATCCTACTATATTTAACTCCATAGCTAGTTAAATCTAGGTCTAGTCTTTTTGAGTACCTCACAGGTGGTGTGTATTTCCTTGAGTAGATACATGATTCCAGTTGTCACTACTGTTACCAGTGATCACTGCACAGGTCTATTGTTACTATCGGGTACAACAACATCAATATGGATGCTCTTTCTTTTCCCACATATTTAACTATAGTATTTTAATAAAGAGAAATGTTGACTCCACCAAAGGACAGGAGAGACAGGATAAATGCTGGAAAGGATGTGTGGTGTAAGAGCTCTCCAGGTTCTCAGCTTGGAGAATCACAGCCAAGCCACTGCCTCTCTAATTTCTGGAACACTGTACAACTTCTTAATCAAACTAGCTCCATGGAGGCAAGAATTTACTACTGTACAAGGTAACTTATTTCATCTTTGGCATCCCATACTGTAAGAAGCTCTCATGGTTAGGTCTCCACATTTCCTCTAATTTCTTTCTACTAGGTTTAATTCTGGAAGCATAAAATCAACCCATCTTCTTCAAGGCAATCCTTCATTAAAAGGAAATGGTTACTGTCTCCTCATCTCCAATGTCTTCTCTCTAAACAGAATGTTCACATTTTTCTGGACAATTGAATTTAGGTGTTCTAAAGAAATAATTTTAAACAGCTAACACATCCATTTATTTTTCTATTTTCCCTAAGTGAACCATGATGAATATTTTTCTTGAATTCTCAGATTGTGTGATAGACGAGTATATCAATACACACTTATTTCTTTTCTCTGTGATTTTACAGATAGCAATAAGAAATACTGGAGAAATGATCAGCCTGTCTACTTTAAGCTTGAGAACAACACTTAGAGCTGAATTTGAGTCATTTTATGGATTACTACCCMAATTCCCTTAATCCCTGGAGTTATAACAAAATGAATTTGCTATGGAGCATAAAATAAAATTTCCTTTTCATATAGTCTTTGCTGTATTACCTCATGAATAATCTCTTGATTAAAAAAATGTTCCTGTGATCTTTTCCCAGTAAGAACACAAGAGACCTTCCTATTGGAGGGAGAGGGAAATAGGATGAGAGGKAAAGAGGGAAGGAGAGAGAGGARGACAATTGCAGATYCCACTATCCTACTGCTTTAGCAGCTTTGGGTAGGGCAAATGAGACCCCCCAAAAAATTCCTCTAGGGCAGAGATTCTATCTAATCAAGCATATTTTCTGTGAGAATCCTATAATCAACCATGTATTTTGCAAATGCAGCTTATGGGTTGGTTCCCCATTATTTCTTAGCTCTTTGGTGCAATTCAAATTTTTCCTACAAATATGTCCTGAATCTTGTATCATCCCATTTCTCCCTCCATTTTTCAAATCAGATTTTCCCTTTAAGTGATATCCATTCTTATGCCTTGAAATATCACCCATAATTCTTAAACTTATATTTAGTTTGACTTCTCCATATTTCTGTGTGCTTGGTTTATGAAAGGAAACCTTAATTATATCCTTTGCTTGGTAAAGGGTTAAAACATTTGGATTTATGCCTCCTTAGCAACAGAGAATATCTCTGTTCTGCCAGAGAACATGCAGGCCTTTCTTTATCAAAGCTTATTGTGAAATATTGCATTAATAGAAGACATGTAGTCTAACTCTTACCTGCGCAGGAAAACTTTTGCCCTCTTACAGATCCAGGCCATGAAACAATTATGTTCTTAAATGACATTCTCCTGGCTCCAGATAGGTTGCTCTTGCCTACTAAATTGTGACATTATGTCAACTTTCTAAACATCTAGCCATGTGAAACTAACCTTTTATCTTCCATGAGAATGTTGTTGAGGACATCATTCATCAAAACACTCTCTTTCTTCCTAATGAACAGTAACCAGAAGATTTTTCTTGTTCTTTGTTATTTTAATATAGTATTATTTCACCAAACAAATGGTTATCTCATTTCACCAATAACTGGTCATTATTGACATGATAATTTTTTAATTGATAATTTTTCACTCACTATTTTGATAATCCAAAAGCTCAAATTCATGCATAATTCATAACCATAATATCTAATAAAATTTCAGTTTATTTCCTTGCTAATCTCACAGACACAATTATTTTCTTCCTCATTTTTTACATTGCTCTGACACTCTGATTTATACATTCTATCATTAATTTTATAAGTTGCTTCAAATTTTTTATAAAAGGATAAACACATAAATATATGCATGTGATTATATACATGAAACACTATATTATAGTTAGTTTTATGCCTCCTACATTAGACTGTGATAATCTTGGGGACCAGGGCTTTATTTTATTTTATGTATATTTAATTGTAGATGGCCACAATAACTTTATTTAGTTTTTATGTGGTACTAGGATCGACCTCAGTACCTCACACGTGCATGGCAGGCACTCTACCACTGAGCCCCAGCCACAGCCCCTAGGGCTTTATTTTATATTCCCAGGATTTATCATTCTTATTAGTGTTACTAATTATTGTTAATGTATCATTCTTATTAGCATTAGTATGTATTGTATTATAGGTCTGTGCCAGGCACTGAGCTAGCTCATTTAACATTTAACAGGTGTTGGCCTCTAGAGGGAGCCTGAGGCCTCTCTGACTCCAGCTGTACCCTCCCTCTAAATGCTTCATACACTGATCAAATTATAGGGCAGTTCTGCCCCCACTCCCCACCCATCATAAGCACACCACATCCATCTTTTAGGAATCTTTMACAAAATGGGCTGTTGGTAGTAGTTAGTGATTTTCTGACTCTGGGAATGTGATGTTTTTCTCTTCACAGAATTACTGAGGTCAGCTAGCGATCATAAGTAGGATAAGTAGGGGAGGGGCTGAATAGGGCCCTTGGAGGCTATGGCAACAGAAGTTTGGCCCTCTGCCCTCCTCCTCCTCACTTTCTCTGCAGCTTCCTATCTAGGAGCTAGACTTGTCAGTGTATGTAAGTTCTTCCCTATTCCTGCACAGTGGGGAGTGTGAACCTGTGTGAAACCCTGRAGTTCACCCAGCATTACTAGGTGTGTGCCTGGAAGAGAAAGAGCCTGTGTTCACTGTACATTTCTGGCCACTCATTTCCCTCCACTTAGTGCTTCCTAAATTTTTTTTTCAAAAGATCATTTTAAGACAAAGGATAAAATAAAGTCAATCAGAAAATTGGTTGTTTTTTTTTCCCAAATTGCCATTTTATTTCTAGGATATAGAAATAACAGACTAYAACTCTATTTTTTATAGATACACTGAAAGCTTCCAAGTAAATCTTTTGTTATCCCTGAAATTTTTCTTTCAAGGAACTTTTATAACCCTTTATAAATGGTTACAAATCTGAATAGATGTTCTTCTGGAAATCATTGTCTTTTAAGAACCTAAAAATACAAACATATCCTTCATCATGATTAACAAGTGAGGTGGCATCTCCACAGGAAGAARGAAATATGAGTGCACAGGGATATAATTCTGAGGTCTTTTCCTGAAATACCAGGAATAAAAATTCAAAATGATGACGGATTTCACCCAGTTCCAAATTTTTCCAAAACCAGTGTGGGGCACTGGTTTTGAGTCATTGAAGACTATCACACACAATGAATACAAAGGGGATTTCAGGCCCAGGCYAAGTGTGGCTGAGAGTAATAATAGTTCACTTCCCTACAGAGCTCATCACTATATCCTTAGATAATGTAGGGTGAGAACAAATCTTCTGCAGGAAGCAGTGGTGCATTTTTCATATAAAATTACAGAGAGAAAACATTGAATTATTGCCAAAAATTAGAATCTGGGCAATAAATAGTATATGGAACAAGGCTATTTTCTGAATGATRATCAGGTTATGAAGTTTTTCTTTCACTTTCATATATTAAGGAACAAATCTGTGAACTCTGCCATCTTCTTTTAATATTTTCTCTCTGTCCATCCTGATACTTTTTTATTTTTGTGGTACTGGAGACTGAACCCAGGATGTTCTACCACTGAGTGATGTTCCCACCCTCCCACGATTATTTTCCCCCTTATTTTGAGACAGGTCTGCCTAAATTGTCCAGGCTGGCCTAGAACTTGCAATCCTCCTGCCTCAGTCTCCTAAATCACTGGGATTATAGGCCTTGACCACAGGCCTGGCTTGAGATTCTTTTTGATAGCTATAATGCACACTTTACCAGAAGGCTCAGTATGATATGTATTCAAGTCACAGGCAACGAATCATTTAAAATATCTCTAATTTTATCCTAGAGGATAAAAATCCCCATTTCTTAGCCCATCACACATATCTGATTGCATCCACACATTCTGTGGATAGAGTACACATGGACAGAAAGCACACACATGGTCCAAGCCACATCCACATTCAAGGGGCAGGGAAAGCTGGTACAGTACCTCATATGGGACTTCACATCCAGCAGCTCCAATGCAGTGACCCGTGGCTCCCCAGCCAGGTTTTGCAAGATCTTCAGCCTTGGTCCACAGTGCTTATAGAATTCTGTGCAAATATTCAGCAGGGATTCCCGGGGTCTTCTGAACTCTTCCCGAGCAATTCGTTCATCCAGTTCCTCTCTAGGAAGACCCTGACCTTCCTCCAATAAATGAAGGTTTTCCCTGGAAAATTATAAAAGATTAATGAGGGGGGTTGAAAACATGGGTATGTGACAACTATGAGAGGAGAGTTATCATCACACTGAAAAAAACATAAAATTCCTATTGAATTCAGGAATTAGTAGGATAAGATCCAGGAAAACCTCATGTGAAGGATAAGAAATTTATCAGCTTGGAAGAGATCAAATTGCTTTACATTAGCCATTTCTGAGCATTTACACAGAACCAGAATGCCATGCCTCAATTCAATGAATCTAATGGAACTGTAAATCAGATCCAAAGGCAATCATCTCAACATGTCAGAACTTAATGAAATTAGATCCAGTTTTTGGTACCTGATAAAGTGCAGTTTGGCTCCTTGCTCCTGGTACCTGGAAGTTGAAAAACAGTCTGCATAACTATCAGAACAAGAACACAGTCCCTTGGCTGAGGCTCCATATATACTTTTTCATGTAAAATTAAAAAGGAAGACATACATTTTGATAAGTTCATAAATACACATATAGAATCCTAAAATAAGAAATATTTTTCTTTCATTTGGCTACTGCATGTACTGTAGTTATAGGTGCTATGAAAGCTGTTTTATTGCCATATAATTTGAATAAAGAAAAATATATCAAAAATGCAAACTCATGGAATATAACCAAAGGAAAGAAATTTTGAAAACTTTAAAGTCTAAGGAATAATTTTAACACCATGTGCTCTATTTCAGTTGATCAGAAGGAGAAGTGTRGCTGACTTCCTTCAATTCTGGAGACTTACTGCTTACTGATTGATTGATCAGAAATTTGAGAGGATCTCTTTTTCTGCATTCACAATTCATCTAGTAGTCAAACCTAAGCCAATATGCCTACAGAAGCCCCTATATATCACTTAAACTCTTTTTCCTTAAGGTAAGAGATTAACACATGGGTTAAGCACCATACCAGACAATGTATAATTGGTTTTAATTTATTTTTGTCTTATTTTTAATATGAATATATATGATGAACAGGGAATTAACTTTACATAAATAATGACACCCTTAAAAATATGCTTCAGAAAGAGTGGGAATCAGTTTCTTTTCACAAGCTCCCTGTTAACTACTCCATACTAGAGAACGAGACCTTTCTTTGAAGCTGATTTTACTGTGCACTATCCTAAATCTTGCTAGGAGAGGGAGGCACACTTTTTGTGTGTTTTGGAGGGATTTATATGTTAATACAGAATGAAGCAGGTCAAGTATTAACTAGTACAGCCAGTGTCTAAGTTATACCAAAACATGAAAGGAGATTAAGTGAACAACCTTGAAAGCATCATTTAAGGACATGAGTCAAAGTCCGGATGAAATGTCTGCAGAAGATCTGCCCCAGGAATGAGCCACCTCCGATTATCATTGTTTCATTAGCCTTTTGTTGGAGGCAAATGCAAAAGCACTGGAATAATTCAAAGATAGCCCAGGAAGTAGAGATAAAATACCCAGTGCATAATCATGCAGACAAAACCAACACAAATGTCAATTTATGAAGGTGCTTTGGGTTTCTCTTTGACAATTTTAAAAGAAGCCTTGGTATTTTCTTGTAACTCTAAATGCTCACATTTTTTTTTTTAATTTTCCTTGGTGTTTTTCAAAATCAATATTGACTATTTTCAAGATTCCTTTCATTCTCAACAACTGAAATTCAGGATTTATAAAATTGAGAGATCGTAGAAAACTAGAACACAGTGAATTACCTGGTGTTCACTCCAGAAGACATGGTATGATTGGCTGTGGTGGTCCCCTTGTGACCTTGATCACACCTGCTCATCTGTGGGGCTGTCATGGGCCTGCAACAATAATTGCCAGAACATCAGAAGTGGAAACACTTAGAAAGTTACTAAAGATATGTAAGTTTTAGAATCTTAAAAAGACAGGCTGTCTGGTTTTGAGCTTTTCTGTAACACATTTTCTGTCTGTACCAAGAGGCACTTAAGACAATGTTGATTCCATGGACTATGAGCACACCATGATTTAAGTTCTACTTCTTGGTTCTGAATAATAAACCATGACTCTTCAAATAAGATTTGTGATCAAACCCCTAAGTCTGTACTGATCAAATCTGAGTTTAGAACTTGTTCATCACTTCTACAGGTGCCAATCAATGAGTAAAAAGCAAGGATGTACATACCTCTTTATGTACCTTTTATCTTTTTTCACCCTCATCTACACCATAACTAATCACTCTACTCTTCTGAGAAATCACCAAAGAATGAAATAATCCTCCTAGTGAAAATTATACCTAAGGCTATTCAGAAAAGTGAATAAATCTGTATTTATTTTAAGTCAGTATTTTCCATGATTAGTAATAAATCAGTTATTTTTATATCTTCAGGGTTTACTTGAAATATTAGGTAAAATGTGCTTCTACTTTTGTATCTGAGACACAGAAGGGATGAAGTAGTTTTTCAAAGCAATTCCTTTTATAAAATCTGTAAGGCTTGCTTCTATGTTGTTCATATTTTGTATGCTGAGTATGACTACTAAACTTTAAATAATCACACTCCATCTCTTCCCATGTCATGTGTAAGTGGAATTAAAGATAGCCCCGAGACTTTTGCTGCCAAGTGTTACTCCAGCAATCATGTTACCTTATACGGCAAAAGGGGAGATTATCTGGGTAGGCTGAATCTAATCACATCACAGCCCTTTAAAAATGGAGGTTTTCTCTGGTTGTGGGCAGAGATTGAAAGCATGAGAATGATTCAAGCACTACTGCTGTCTGGAAGATGGAAGGGSACAATGTGAGAGAAATGCAAATGCCTTTTCAACGCAGAGTGAGGAACCTGGCTGACAGCCAGCAAGGAAGTGGGACCTCAGACCAGAGCTGCAAAAACCTGAATTCTGCCTAAACTGCAAATGAGTTTGGCAGTGGATTTCCCACCCAATTCCCTCAGATTCAGTTAACCAATGCCTTAATTTCTACTTTGCAAAACCCTGAGCAGAGAACCTTTTTGATGTTGCCTGGATCTCTGACCTGCAGGACTGCAAGATAATAAATGGGTTTTGTTTTTAAGCCTCTAAGTCTATGGTAATGTACTATACAATAATAGAAAATGGATACACTTATAYTTACCATACATAATACCTATATAAACTGTCAAATTCTTTTTTCATGAGATAAAGAGACCATGGAAATGAAAGGGAATTCTCATTTTCTTTTTGTAAAAAAAGTCAATTTTGTGGTACACACTACCATCTAATGAGACTAGTCTTCTACTCTAAAAAAAGAATATTGAATGTATTAGAATTTGTATCATTTGAGGTGCCAGGACTTCATCCATAACTCTTCATGGGATTTTGGGTAAGTCAATTGTGGATAAGTTAGTTGGCTTATTCTTATAAAGGGAATAGAAAGGAAGAAAGGACCAACATTATGTAATATGAGGAGAAATAGCTAAAGTGGCATTTAGGGAAAATTGACTACTTATCTCTCATCTGTTGCAGGAAGAGGCTGGTAGATGGACACAGAGAAAGAGTGTAAAGTTCTGTGTATCTCTTTAGGATGTTCTTCCCAGGACTTTCATGAAACTACCAGCAAAGCATTGGGACTATTTGTCATTGGAAGATAACTTGTCCCAGTTTCTGGCTCACTGCTTTCATTTACTCATTTTAGGTCCATGTGAGCATGTCAGGATGATCATCTATCCTAGGTTTTGGGGCTATATTCTGCCTACCCAGATTAGCAGTGTGGCTCATGATTAGAACTCAGATATATGGAAGTTCATGAACAACAGTATTTATCCAAATGACTTAAGAACTCTGTGAAGCCACAAAGAGCTGAGTCATTAACTGTAAAAAAGAAAAAAAAAGATAGGTATCTGTAAACAAACACTGAGTTCTAGAGATTTTTACCCACAACATTTTCTTCTTCATAATTTCAGTGGGTACATATGGTTGAAGGCTGTGGATATTTCTGCCAATTGGATTACCTGGTGAGGACTTCCACACTGTACAAAAGTGCTTGTAAGGATGTTGCAAGAGCAGCTGTGGCAGCAATCTCCTCTCGAGCAGCAGGTACTGTCTCCACCTGTGATGTCTGCCTCTTTAGCTTTTGCAGGTAACATGGAACTAAAGCTTCCAAGACCATCAGCATCTGAAGACTGTAAGCAACAGAAAGAAAACCAAGTCACATTTAACAATCTACTTTTGGGGATTGTGTCATAGATGAAGAATTCTAAGCCTCCTTCTTATCCCACCCAAATGCAGGGTAGTTAAAGCTGTAAGGAAGCATGTGATCTGGTTGGGGGGAAATTAGCCATTCATTAAAATTGTTGAAAAGATAGCATAATGATCACTGGTGGAGCTCCACAGTCCATTCTGAGAAACAGGCCTCAGAATCCTCAATGATTCTTCTATTCAGGAACTTGCTGAGAGTGATTTTCCAGCTGAAACAATTTTAGAGACAGTATACAACCTTTTTCTAGGAGGCTGGCTTCCTTTAAAAAAATATATGTATATGTACATATATACATATATACATATTTTATATATATATACACATATATACATGTATATATGTATATGCATATATGTTTATAAGTATATATACATATACATATATACATACATATACATACGTATATATGTATACATTTATACATATATATACGTATATATACATATACATATATATATTTAAATAGTTGATGGACCTTTCTTTTATTCATTTATTCATGTGCAGTGCTGAGAATCGAACCCAGTGCCTCACACATGCTAGGCAAACGCTCTACCACTAGGCTACAACCCCATCCCTAGGAGGCTGGCTTTTTAAAGCTTTGTGTGATTTCATAATWAGAGTCTGGCAACTGCCCTGGGAGTGTGGTCTGATAATGCCTACTTAGTAGAGTGAGTGGACACTGCTCCTGTATAGGGCCCACTCAGTGAAGAACTGGGGTGTCAGAAATGTCATCTCAGAGGGGAGGTGGAAAAGTAATTACGTAAGGCAGATTTTCCCTCTAAACCTGTAAGTGCACAACATTAACATAAATCTTTTTGGAACATTCCCCCAGTGGAGCTTAAATTTGATAAGCTGTGGGTTCTAGAATACAATATGGACTGGTTGCTATTCTAGAGAACCCCAAATCAGACTTTGGTCCATTTTCCTTCCTACATATATATATCAGTGAGTTTCTGCTATGATATTAATCAATATTGAGTACTGGTTTCTGATTGTATAACTGTGCCTAAAATAAGTGCTCTTGACACAGGAAATGGAAATGTTCAGAAAATTGATGGATATGGAATCAGAGCTAAGAGACTGAGCCATACCTCTTTGACAACTTAAAAAGGGAGACGAGAAGTCAGCTATGCTTCCTATGTTAAGAAGCACCTTGTTGCAGATTAATTGCCTTACTCGAAAAGCTGATCAAAAAWTTTTTTTTAATTATTGAAGGAGTCAGAAGTTAAGATTGCCTGGTACTTTTGTAAGTACCAGGTTGCTAGAGAAAAGGAAGCTTATTCAGTCATCCAGACTGTGCAACACTTTTCTCCAGGTATTTGTCAGTTTGTAGAGAGCACTTGTACACTGAAGATGGAGTGAAATCGACATGACAACTTTGGAAGTCTTTCTGGTAGAATCTACTAAAGCTAAACATACACATTCTCCATAACCTAGCAAAGAATTTCAACCTACAGAAATGCACACCACTGCAGCATCATTCGTAATAGCTTCAAACTAGATCTAAGACAAAATCTGTTGGCAAAGAGAAGAAATGAATGAATTTTACCACAGACCACACAATGGAATATTATAGGTGAATGAGAAAGAATAAAATGTGGTTACATATAATTATATAGATGAAATAATATTGAATAACAGAAGTCAGATATTAAAAAGTACCTGCTATAATATTTCACCTAAATGGAGTTCAAAAAGAGGCAAAGCTGATTTAGATTTACCATGGAAATGGGGATAGTGGTGTCTCTGATACATTAAAACAAAAAACAAAAAACAAAACTGAACTCAGGGGCACTTTAACAATAGGGATTAAAGATGAGCTACATCCCCAGACCTTTTTATTTTTGAGACAGGGCCTTGAAAAGTGTTGAAGCTGGCCTCTAACTTGTGATCCTCCCGTCTCAGCCTTCCAAGGTGGGATTATACGCATGTGCCCCTTCACTCAGCCCTATCTKATTTTTTTTTTTTTTGGTCTGAGTTGTATTTACATAGATGTAATAACTTTATGAACATTTATTCAACTGCAAAATTATGATTTTTAAAACTTTGACATGAATGTTACACCTGTATAAAATACACTTATGTAAGCACAATTTAACCACAAGAAGGATCTGGTGTTACAAATACAGAAAATTTATAAGAATATCCCAGGGAATAGCTAGTTAAGAAATCTTGACTTCACCAGGGACCCAGAGCCTTTGTTCAACCTGAGCCAAATGGGAAATTAGAAGGATCAATTTATTAACCAATCTTAATATTTAATATTGGGCTTTGGTCATTAACTCACAATAAGGGAGTTTGACTGTGAACTTTAATACCTTTTGATTTCAATGTGTTTGAATTTTAACTTAAAAGAGAATTTCAGGTCTCACTGGGAATTTGGTAATGAGAGAACTTTTTAGTCAAATTTGTCAGTTCTCTATGTCACTAGCATTTTAATATTAGAGAAATGTTATGCATTTCATTATTGTAGTGTCTTCATGTTGTCATGTAATCTCAATGCATAACCTCTAAAGCAYACCCTTAACAATGTACTTGGACACACAACAGCAAATGGAGTAGGAAATACATTTTTACATTCAGATGTAGAGCAGATTTGGAGTTCATGTGGGATATTGATCCACCCTGGACCCTTTTCTAGAGCTGATAAAATAGAAGTAGCAGGAACATGGGAGCAGGTCCATCATGGGGAACTGCAGATTTCTGTCCCAAGGCCACAGCCACACTCCTCCCTGACCATAGGCAGAAGTTTAATTCCAATTGTTAAAGATGATAAAAATCTGGGAATATTGAAGGGGATAGTAAAGAGAGGTCAATTCATACACATTCTGGCCCCTCTTGGCCTTTTATCCCTTCTGTTCTGGGGGGAGAAGAAAAGGCTTGCCTAAGATGACAATGGATAAAGATATTCTGAGCATAGTCAACTTGGCTCTTTCTTTCTCCTTGGAGAGCCTGTCCACACAGTAGGACTTTATTGGGATGACTCACCTTTTTTTTTTTTTTTTTTTTCTGTAACAGGGACCAAACCTCGGGTTGCTTTACCGATGAGCCACATCCCCAGCCACTGGGATTACAGTCATGCCTGGCGGGATGACTCACTGAAATTTTCATGTGAGTCCTCTGCCTTCTTGCACTTGGCAAAATGGAAGAGGAGATTTATATTCTTGCCCTTTGTGTGACAGGTGTTCTTATTGCTCCTTGAAAGGAGTTTTCATAAATGGTTTAAAAGTCTGCTATGAAATTTTGTTTGCTACTAATTTGTATTACATGAAAGGAAAATATTTTCTAACAAGACTAAACATCTTAGCCTCAGCACTAATTCTAAATGAAGGGATTTCAAATTAATGAGGATTTATAATATTTTCCAGAAACTTTGCTATGACAAGTTTCCTAAATTTAGTTTTCAGAACATTACTTGCCAGGATGTTACAGACTGAAAAACCAAAATATAAGCTTTGTAGTCAATAAATTTTATTTCCTTTGCTATACTTAGTTATTATGAGGCACAGAATAAAGGGCTGCATTTACCTTCTGAATGATTCAGGAGCATACGCCACCACAGTGACACAGAGCTTAATGGCTTCACTGATAGAGAAGGTCAGATCTTCATTTCCATAGCAGAAATCTAAGGGGAGAAGGAATCAGTGCACACAGTCAGAACAGATTCCACCATGGATAATGAAGTTGACCCCTCTTAACTTTGTCTTTTCAGCTTTATTTTGTAGCCTTTTCTTTGTTCTATTTTATTTCTATGCTATGAAAACTATTAATTTCTTCATCTAAAGGGAATGAAATTCTGTTTTCTACTTTTGAATAAGTGAATGAAAAAATAAAGTTTTTTGGGGGGGAGTGTAGTTTTAATCATCTCATCTACTTAAAAGTCACTAAATGCATTTGAAAGGTAAGAAACGTGAAGCTTTATCTTTGAATTATGTCTAATTCTACATGTTGTAGTATAATAAAAGGCCATTTGGAGGATTATTTACTTAGAATTACTCAAGAGAATGCAACATTCTGAAAATTTCAGTCTTAGATCAGTAGTCTATTGAACATCATTTTAGTGTGATTTTCATGTTGCTCTTTAGGATCCACAAGAAATTTAAGAAAAACAGGAGATAAAAAAAATTCTACTCATTCAATGAGTACCACTGTTCCATTTATTTTAATTGTTTAAGTTCTATATATGTGTGTATATGTATATGTGCATACACACACACACACACAAATAATTAAAATGAGAAAAAAAATGCCAAGGGAATTTTGCATTACCTAATGACTTGAGAGGCTTCTCAGCTTTGACCAGCTCTAGGATGTCTAATATGTCAGTGGTCTCTCCTTCCAGGGACTGTAGCAAGTCAAATAGGCACTGAGCCGACACACCTTTGTTGGGCCCATTATTGGCAGCATCCTGTATAAGGATATACAATTTTAGTTCACTGACTCCCACCTCAGTACTAATGTAGTTGACCAGGGGTTCAAACTTCATAAACACTATCAGCAATAACAATTATAATATCTACCTGAAATTCAGATTAGATAATTCTGTATCCAACAATGCTGGAGCATGATTTTGGAGTGGTACACCTGAATTTTAGGGAATCTATTAAATACTAATCTAATATAAAGGATAAGGTTGTGAAAACTTGTAAAAATACAGCAATATATGAACTTCTGGAAAAGTTCTTGCCAAGTCACCTGTGGTATTAAGAGGGTAGAACTAAGAAAATTTCCATAATTGGTTGAATGCTTGAAATATATTTGAGGAACAGAGGCTTATTTTAAACCAAGTTCAAAAGTTTTGTTTAATAATATATCTTCAAAATAGAGATACTTGCCATTTCATATGTATTTAAAATTAATTTGATCCATTCATTAAAACAATAAAATCCTTCTTAAGTCCCTAAGTGCCAGAAAGCATTCTGTACACTGAGGTTATAGCAAAACAAAATCAAAACACAGAAATAAAACCAAAGTACAACTAAAAACAAATGAGCAAATGTAAAACAGACAAAGGTCTTGTTCTCATGGAGCTTAACTTCTAATGGTGGGGAGAGGGAGAGATACATGTTAATGAAACAAACTGACCATGGCCAGACCATGTGTGAAAATAGAGCTGACTCACAACCTGCAGCACACTGCCCAAGAAACCAAACCAAGATACTTCTAAAAAAACCTTCCTAGGAAGCTAGCCTGATTTAAGTCAGGTTTATAGGAAGTCAGACCACTAACTCTACTGGAAACCAAACAATAAGTCCTGCAACAGTTTTTCTCAAATGACTCGAACTTGATTAAAACTGGTGACTTCCCTAATTTTTGTTTTTACTTTCAGAGAAAGCTAAACATGCAGAGTAAGACTCCGCTTCTTGTTGGCCTGCCTGTAGCTTCTCCCCTCAGGCACCACTGAAGCTCCCTTCCTTTCCACTATAAAGCTTTCCCTCCTCTGCCTGCCCTGGGGTCTCTGCAGCACACAAGTGATGGTGGCTGACTCCCTTGCCTCTGCAAACTCTGAATAGATAACCTTTGCTTTTGCCAAGTGCTTGGTCTTCATTTATTCTCATAGAGCTTACTCACAGGAAACTCCAAGAGAGGGGCCACACTAGCAAACAGCTGGAGCACAAAGGGCTTGCGGTGCAGAATGTAGAACTGGTGGCAGGCAAATTCGATGGCTTGACGTAACTGGGGATTGCTTTCATAGTCAGAGTATACCTGTGGGAAAATGTCACAGAGTTACAAAGTGCCTTCTAAAAGTATCAAAGTCGTGTTTGATTTTAAAATTTTGCATAGTTATGGGAAACAGAAAAATGACTAATTTCATAAGCTAGTGGAAGGTGTGTAAAATGGCATAATACTGCCTGAAATTTTATATATATATATATATATATATCCTAAAAATCTAAATATAATTATCCCCTGGAAGTTTATGACTAGAAATTTTTCTCAAGGAAAGAATTGGGCAAATTTACAAAGATGTCTGTCAAAGAATGTTTGTTGCAAGATTGTAACAGTGGAAAACTTGAAAAAAGTCATTCATAAATGCTGATTGGTTAAGTGATTTATTGTACAATGAGACTGGTGTTATTAAGCTAAATGAAGCTACATGAAAAAAAGTCCATGGTATTTTGTTGAATGAAAAAAAAATAGGTTACAAACTTGAATATATAATACAACTTCTGTTTTTAAAAAGTTTGTGTGTGTGCGCATGCAAGTGTACAAATATGTGTAGGAGAGAGTGCCCGATTTTCAACAAGTGTAAACAACATGTCTCTGGGAAGGAGGACTGTAGGTGATCTCTATTTTCTGTTTAAACTTTTTAACTTCTGAACATAATTGCTTTTGGTAATCAGTAAAATAGTTATCAAAATAGAGAAAATTGCCACTATTTAAAGAAAAGGCAGACAGTCCTGTGATAAAGGTAAATTTCTTGCCCCCATGGGTTGAGCAAATTCTTCTTTGCACAAGCATGTATTATTTTCATAACTTTTATTGAAACTTCCCTAAAAGTAGACCATCAACAGCAGGCCCTCCCTGAATTTTATTAAGTGCTCCTAAATATAGCCAGATATATATCAAATGCTAGTAAACAGACATTGTTCCTGCTACATTCACCTCCTCTAATAGCATCAAACCAAATTTAGCAGTAATAGAAATTTCTGGGCAGAGAGAGGCCAGAGGATCTCTTGGGAGAAACAACAACTGAACCCTTGCCATACATTTGACTCAACATCGATTCTCTGCCTAGGGCATAAGAACCACCTGGGGGCCTTGTTAAAAACACCCATTACTGAACCCTGACCCCCAAAGTTTCTAATTCAGTAGCCCTGAGATGGGCTCAAGGAAGTGCATTTCTAGCAAGTTCCCAGGTGATGTTGATACTGCTGGTTCAGAAACCACACTTTGAGAACCACTGGGCAAGAAGAAATGAGAAGGCACCTACTAACCCTGGGGATCTCAGGACAAAATGGGATATTGTGAACAATCAGAAATTTATTTGGGGGGGGGGATTTCATTTGGTGCCTTTTACTGTAATGAAAGAAGACAATCCCATCATTAAAATGTTTCTGTATAGATCTGGAACTGCTAGATACGGGTAGTCTGTGGGCTACTTTTCTGATTAGGAGAGGGGATTCTGGGCACCTGCAGCATGGTGGGGAGAATCCACTGGTAGCCACTGAGAGAGAAGAGGTGATTGAAGTGCACGGCGGTGTTGATGACGGTGGCAGCGTACTGCCTGAGCAGGGCACTGTCTTCTGGGTGAAGGATCAGAGCGCCGTTGAAAACGTTGAGGAAAAGCATGATTTCATCTCCCCAGGGGAATTCGCTTGGCATGCCCAGGAACATCTCTTCCAGGAGCTGGATCCACAAGCTTTTCTGAAGTGTGTCAAGGCCAAACAGTTCCTTCCCAGCTGTGAGAACATGAAACAGCAGAGACGGAATCAGTACCACACCAATCCCATCAGCAAAAGCAGGGGATCAAACACCAGGGTGCTGCTGTTTCCCATTTGTTCCTCTGGGGTGAGATCTCCTGCTAAAAGGCTTTTCCAGCACAGAGTTGCTGGCATTAGGATGAGGCTTCCTAGCTCTCAAAAGACTTTTATCAGCACCACTTGGATTGAAGTCTGTGGGCAAGCCAGGGCAGCATTCTGCTGCTCAATAAGCTGAAGCTTTGAGAAAATGTAAGCTATTCTAACTAGAAAATGACAGGGCTGGGATTAGTGCTTGGCCTTCRAATCACTCCTCAGGCTGGAGCTCTTTCCCACTATTGCTCTGTCCCTTCTTGCAGGAGGACAGTGACGCACATGGATGCCAATTCAAGTAAATGGTACCAAATTAATAACAGTAACAGAGTTGGGTTCCAAACTGCATCTCTTTCTGTTTCTCTGTCTCTCACTTTGGATTTGATTTGATTAAAATGCACACATCTTAAATGTAGAGTTCAATGAGTTTCAAAGTATGCACATGTAACCAATACCCAATCAATATATAGACAATTTTCATCATCTCCAAAAGTTGCCTCATGCCCTTTCCAGAAAGTCCAGAGGCAACCACTGTTCTGACTTCTGTCACCCCAGGTTAGTTTTGTCTTCTTCTGAAGTTCATATACATACCTACGTTTTCTGTAGGGACTCCCCTCCCTACCCCCATCCTCACCTTGCTCCCTTACCATTCACTTTGAGTACTACTCTCCAAGATTGGTGCTTGGAATGGCAGCACCAGCATGCCTACTGGGGCAAGTTTGGGCCCCATCCTAGAACTCATTCGTAGGTGGAGGGTGGGGCTCAGCAGTGTGAGTTTAAATAAGTCATCCTGGTGATTCTGATGCACACTCAGGTCTGAGAACCACGGGTTCCCCTAACTGTCTGCTCATAAAGCTGCTCTTCAAGTGGGGACAAAACAAGGGTGTGAGGAAAGCCCTAGAGAGGAGAGGCTTTGTCCTGTCTGATACCTTGAGGATCACTGAAGAGTGAGAATTCGGCATCTATCGCACTCCGAGGGAATGAGGGCAGGCGGAGGAGGTCTTCCTGAAGCATGGAGACATGGGACTGTTTGTGGGCTGTGGGGATCTTCTGCGTGAGGGAGATGAGAAACAACACCCGCCCCACCTCCTCCAGCTTCCTGGTGAACACCTAACAGAAAACAAAAGCAGGATGGGAACTTCTGAGTTGCAGAGTACAGAAACTGGAGCAAAATTCTCAGTAACAAGTCGGGTTGACAAAATGAAAAAGGGAAAAGCAGAATAAGGGAGAAAGGCTTTTTTTCTGATCATACAGAGAGCAAACAATACTTATTGACTCTCAGTCTCTGCTTCCATCTGCTCTGAAGAAGGAAGCGTTTCTTGTGGAGTTTGCAGTCTGGAGGAGCAGAAGGCAGCACTGTCAAGAGAGTTCAGTATTCCCCAAAGCCTATTTGTCTGGGGGGTCATAATGTAGATGATCTTCTTTTACTGGGTCAGTTTCAATTGCTTCTACAATTTCCGTCAGTGCCTGAAACTGTTTACTGGCAGTTCTGGATTTGTCTCTTAAAAAAAAGATTGAAATGGAACCAGGAAAAACCTATCTTGAGGAAAAAGTTCATGGGCCTTAATTGGTGCCCTTTGGCCCTGAGCCTAGGTGGCATGCCCAAGCACATGGGACTCTTTGTCCCTTCCCTTACTTCCATTTCTCTTGATGATCAAGTGAGCAGCCAGATGCTTATAAATAATAAGCGGCTGTTGAGGGACTTCTGAGCTAGAAACATAGGAATCCATATTGTCATCTCTCTGGGGAATTTAAAAGCCTTAAGATTCCAACTTAGAGTATACAAATAGGGTCTCATTTCATGGCACTCTTTTGAAATACGTTTTTGAAAGATTTCCTTAAACATGGTAAATACATGCAAGCAAAGCACCATTATTGATTATGCTTTTATTTATTTTTGATTATCCTCCATCAAATTAGAGTCTAGGATCATTTTGGTAAAATTGTTTTAGAAGTTGTTCTAAAACATTTCATTTTTGCCCAACACCTCACACCTTGCAACACATTTAGTATTTTCTTTCTTTCAAAAGTAATTTAGGAAGTTAACAGTAGCTATTTTGCTTAAAATGACTTAAGTTATCTAAATCTATTCCATTCTCATTTAGTTCTTGACATGGCAGAAAATAAAATTGAAATAATCAAGTATCCTGAAATTCTTGTTCAGATATTTTATTTAAAAAAAGGGTAATACATAGACAATATTAAAATTGTATTGACTTTAGAATTGTGTACTAATGGAGAGTTTCCTTAAGGTCAAAGTCTGATTTGAGGCTACATATGTAAATATTATTCTGATCTTCAATCTTAAACCTAAAGACAACTACTTGATTTTGTCTCTTCCTGTTTTAAGAAATAATAGTTAGGTCAGATCCTTGGTCAGTAGCAGAGCTGAATGGAATACAATCTCTAGTCTTTAGTTCAATGCTTTTTTTTCAGGATAACAATATTGACCCCTTTTACTTTTTTTCTAGCTGGTGGAAACTTCTGATACTGATCTAGAGGCTACAGTATATGTACTTCTAATCCCGTTTCACAAAAATGTGAAATGAATATCACACTTATAAATCAATGGGTAAAAGAATCAGGATTTCTATAGCTTATATTCAATAATTCATTATGGCATTACTCTATGTGATTTGTTCTTAATGCCTATTCACCATCCAATCTATAAAACGTAACACTATTTTGGGGGACAATCTATTAAACAAGGTCACTCATCCATTCTTTCCAGAGAGGATCACAATGGAATCACAGAAGCTCTGGGTGGGCAACATATTTACAGATGATCGGTTCCAATGACACCACGACATAGGATAGAACTGAGTGGTCAGATACCTGTTTCTGAATGAGCTCCTGTCCCTTCTCTGGACGCATGTGTACAAGGTTCAGCTGTGGAGATACTGACCTCCGGAAGGGATAAATATCTCGAACATAGGTCTGTGTGGATTACACAAAGAGAGAGAAAGAACATTCAAATGGTTAAATTTTAATCATTTCCTTTTTACCCAAAGGTCAGAAAAAAAAGTTCATTTGTTTTTCTAACAGTTTTGATTCTTCATAATTTTATGCTTTCAAACTCCTGCTTAGGAAAGCTTCAACCCATCCAGGTGGGGTGCTCTTTCCAGGCACTGGGTGCTATGTCAGGGGCGAAGCTAGGAGGCAACATACTAGACGACACTCTGAAAGGAGAAGGTAACCTTAACGTAAAACCAGGGGTCATCCTGAGGGCCCTATGGCTCATTAGATCAGGTCACCATGGCCATGTTTAACATAGAAAAAGAACCAGAATGGCCTTAAAAATCCCAGTAGACACACACAGCTTTTATATGGGCAATTTAATTTTTCACTTTGACATAATGATGATGAATAACCACATGCTCTTCTGGCCTGACTCCATCAATGATTACAACTGCCCTGAGGCAGATACTATCATCACCTTCACTTTACAAAAGACACTGAAGGGCAAAAAGGTAAAGCAACCCTTTCAAAGTCACGTAGACCCAAGAGGCCATGCTCTGCCCCTCTAAACAACCAGGTCCCCCTCACTGCCAGCTGTGCCTAGGAAAGGTGCTTTGAACCTTTGGCATAAACATGTGCGTCATTACTGCAGTCTCACCTTATTGTAGTGGATAAGATTCCATCGCTTATCCATCAGGAAATAATGTGTGGACTGGGATTCAGGGATGTTGAAAAACTCCAGACACTCCTAGAACAATAGCAACAAATTTTAATATATGTTTACCAGGAACATATTGTTTGCTAGTTAATAAGGTAGAAGACACAAGTATTGGAAGAACAAGATAACTTCTTACAAGGATTTTAAAATATTTTTCATATATTTTATATATATATATATATATATACATATATATATATGTATATATATGAGGATATATATTCATGGTTATATAAAAATGACGCAATAAAGACTAATCATGTAATATGAACTGTCTGCTCTCACAGTTCTCAAAGATGTCCCATTATAATTCAGACCAAGTGATGAACTGTGGGGACACAGTGGCACCTACTGGTCTCAATATCAAGGAAAAAACATGTTTGGTAAGACTATTAAGGAAAATACAAAGTATAATACATTGAACACTTATTACATATCATATACAATGCTTTCCATGTAGATAACTTATATAACCTGAACTAGAATCCTAGTATTGTTGAAAAAGAAACTGTGGCTAGAGAGGCCCTATTATTTGATTTGGGTCATGCTGGCCATGGTGGAGCAAGGTTTGAACTTGCAGTTTGATTCATTACCATTCAACATGTGCATATAAATGGAATGGTTGTTGAATTTTGCTTCACTAGACCTTAGAAAATCTCTGGAGATGTCTGGGTAAAGCCTGAAGGAGAAGGAATGACCCCTTCCATTGAAATAAAATATACAAGTCTGGTAAAGTTTTTAGGAGGCTTTTCTACTTACATCTGGATCCAGAGTCTTGTTCCAGAAAATTAGATTACTGAAAGTTTGAACTTCAAACAGGGAATTACTGTACTAGTTTACTTACTACTTTATCTTAAGAACCTTGCAGGCAAGTGTAGCTATTGATTATATTTCTTTTCAGGAGAATCACTGCCATAAATACTAGAAAATACTTTCTTGGTCCACCTGATTTATTCTAAGGTATATATTTTATTTAGAGACAGGGTCTCACTGAGTTGCTTAGTGCCTGGCTTTTGCTGAGGCTGGCTTTGAAYTCGAGATCCTCCTGCCTCAGCCTCCCCAGCTGCTTGGATTTACAGGTGTGCGCCACAGTGCTCGGCTTGTTTCACCAATAATTTCTAATGGTAATAAGTCAAGACTGTATACAGATTCAACTGGGTGCCACAAAAGGGATCTCTGGCCTGATCATTAGCCAACAGCTAAAGGTTACCCCAGAGCCATCAGTGGGCAATACCAGGTCACCTTCAGAATGACCACAAGTGATGCTAGGAAGCTCCTAAGGTGGAATTCACAGAGTTCCAGGGAAGTGAGGAGCAACATCAGAGTTCATGCTGCTGCTACAACCAAGACAGGACTCTCCTGACTTGGCTTACTTCAATGCAGAGCTAAAAAATGTCAGTGAAAACTGGGGAAAATGACATAAGTACTTAATAGTGGGGCAGATTTTCAAAGAGTAAAGAATAGCACACATTCCTTTGGAGATAGAAAAATGCCATTTATTTCTAAAATGGGTGTTTACAGATGTGACCATGGACATTGTGCATAAAAATCGTTTTGTCAAAGGTCATTCCTACCTTCAACAGGGCTTCAAACTGAGTGTCTTCATGGACTGGTAACTGGGTTGGAATGTCACACTCATTTTGTCCATGAACTACCAACGTTTTGGTACCTACAGACAATAAAAATCACAATAAATGGGCCCCACTACAGGAAAGTTTGTATTTAAAGCAGAAAGCCTTAAAATATTATCAAGTTGATTCTTAATTTATAGTTAGTGAGTGCTTTTTTTAATATTTTTATTCTTTTCACAATATCTTTATTTTGAGAGAGAGAGAGAGAGAGAGAGAGAGAGAGAATTTTTAATATTTATTTTTTAGTTCTCGGCGGACACAACATCTTTGTTTGTATGTGGTGCTGAGGATCGAACCTGGGCCGCACGCATGCTAGGCCAATGCACTACCGCTTGAGCCACATCCCCAGCCCGTTAGTGAGTGCTTAATATGAATATTGTTCTAAATGTACTCCTYTATTCATATCTGAATGTGTATTTTAAATATGTTCACTTCTTAAACAATGATAGCTACCATTTATGGAGTTCCCAATACTTTTGCCCACGTAATTGTATTTAAATCCCCCAGCAAACTTATGACATGATCTTCATCTTACAAATTAGAAATATGAGAGAAACTGAGAAATTTTTTATTGTTGTTGTTACCAGGGATTGAACCCAGGGGCACTTAACTTCTGAGCCGCATTTCCCACCCTTTTTAATATTTTATTTAGAGAAAGGGTCTCACTGAGTTGCTTAGGGCCTCACTAAATGGCTGAGGTTGGCTTTGAACTCATAATTCTCCTGTCTCAGTCTCCCAAGCAGCTAGGATTACAGGCACCCACCACCATGCCTGGCTAGAGAGAAATTTAATAATATATCCAAAGACATATATTTATTTAGTGGGAGAGTCAAAATTCCAACCTTAAGCACTGCAACAAGTAATACACTCCTGTATTTTAAATGAGATAACCTGGCAATGACAGTTGAAAAAATTTAAACAAAGATATTAGCAAAACCAAAACAAGTTCCTGAAATGTAGTTTAAATGCACATTTTCTGTACTCTACTTTAGCTGGTTAAAACATGTTATTTTGGATTAGGAATAGAGCTCAGTTGGCAGAGTGCTTGCCTCACATGCACAAGGCCCTGGGTTCAATCCCCAGCACGCCCCGCCCCCACCACCACACACACACATGAAAAAAATGTTTATTTTACTTCATTTATTAATCATACAACTTTGTGAATATTATAATATACCTTGATTTTTAACAAGTTGTTCTAAAGTATATGAGTGACAAAATGAATTTGTTTACTATGACAAAAACTGATCACATTTTTGGATACTCTACAGAACACACAAATATTCAACTGTTTATTGAATGCTTCCCATGGATCAGATATGGCAGCAAGTATTTTATATACTTAAACTCATTGATTTCTTGTGATTGTGAAGTATGAATTATATTCCTATTTTGCACACAGGGAAAGAAAGCCTTACAAAAATGATGTTCTTTTCACAGCTGATACTAATTGTATGACTGATAAACGGCAGTGCTGACTTAACACAGGCTTCTCTGCTGCCAGAACCTATGTTCTCATCTCTGAATATCTTTGTCTTTCTCTTTATTTCTATTAAAATGACCAATTCTTTTATTTTTATCGTCACTGAACAAGGATAAAGGCTTGGTAAAATCTTTATCTTAAGGACAAACAAGCTGTGTGAAGTGAAAAGGAACTGTATCTAGAGTTCATATCACACTTGATGTTCTTTTGTAATTCTCCCTCTTCCTGCTTTTCCCTTTTCCAATCTTTCATAAAGCCATCTCTCATTGAGTTTACAAAGGACTGGGGTCCCTGCCATGCAGACAATATCATTCTCCTTGCAGTGCCAAAAATTCACTCAAAAAGGCTTTCAGTTCAGCTTTCCTCTGCGAGAGACTTCCATACATCTTTAACCTTGGCAGTCCTTCAAGGACTGATTCACGAGGATCTCAGTTCTGATGTGTCCCTTTTCATCTGGCAACTGCTCACTTTTTAAAGGGTCTATTGTTTTTTTCTCTGATTGGATTAAACAAAAATTCTTTGATGCACTCCATTCTAGGGCTTAGAACTCCATGGTCTTTCAAAGGGCTATTCATAATTTTTTTTTTTTTTTACCTGGCATTGAAGCAGTCACCAGGAGCTTTACTTCACACTGTTCCTTCTTCATTGTCTGCTTGAGGTCCTTGAAGAAAAGGCCCTCCACGTACCCAACCACCTCCCACAGGAAAGTCAGAGTGGCTGAAATGGCATCCATCCCCCATTCACAAGGGGTTCGCACGAAGTACATGATCAGTCCCACCTGAAATTAGAACAAGCGACAAAGCCACAGTGATCCTGAGCTCACATTCTCATTTCCTTGGCTCTTCTTTTTTAAATTTGGATCTTCTCCTGTGACTTCAATTTCTTTGTTCAAATGCTTCTCTAACACTTTCAATGGCACTGAGAAGGTGGAATTGGAAAATTGACAAACAGGCTTCCATATATTTTTATGTATCATTAAAATGACCAATTCTTAAGAAGAAGGCATAAAAATCATTCTTACAGACACCATATCTCCTAGTATTCTCAGGTACAGAAGCCATCCAAAATTAATCTGTATGTGATGTTTACCCACACACCAGCTGCAGCAAATAGTCTAATAGTCTGAACCTAAGAATGCCCTGCTTTGCAAAATCAGCAAATTCTAAAGTTTTATTTGTGTGTCCTCTAACATGTTGAAAAAAATGTGTCATTTTGCGTATTTTAAAGCTGACATTTAAAATGTCTTCTAAATCTACTTTTTAGTAGGAAGTAGAATATTTAACATTCTATAAAATGAGGAGTGACTATAATTGGAATATTTGATGTAATAACTCTTGACTACCTTTCAATAGTACACAACGAAATCAGAAAAGAATAATGTAAAATTTTCCCCTGTGGATTTAGCCATTGTTTCTTGAAAAATTCAGCAGTCCTGGGAAACTTTCCCATTATATTGAAATAATAAGGGTCACTAAACTCATCTGCTTTGATGGTTCTGAATGCTAATGCTTTAATGAGGGTCAAACATCACCTCTAGCAGAAATCTATAAAAGATGGAAATGGGATGGGCTTAAAGTGTCTTGATTAGTCAGAAGTGTGTCTTCCTTAAAACTGATGTGCATTTCCGATTCTGTCTGTCTTACATGCTATCAGAGCATTCAGGTGCCAGATATCTGAGATGGTGCCATGGGCCTTCTTTGTGTACAGTAGTAGATTGGTGACTGAGATGGCAGACAAGCTCAAGAACTGGTTCATGCTTATTAAGGATTTTGAGATGTATTCAAAAACATCTTAGAACTATCAAGGTACCACACTCATGCAAAAGTCTTCACACTCCCACAGTTACTCTTGCCCCACATTAAAGTTGCCAGGTCAAGTCAAACAGTGGATTTAAGAGTCTAGAAGTGATGAGTCAGTGTTGCCAACATCCCCACCATCTACACCTCTGACAGCAATTAGAAAAAAAAGTAATATCTCATAAGGGTTATTTTAAAAAATTTGACTCTTCTCTTTACTGTTTTTTTTTTTTTTTTTTTTCTGAATACAAGCCCCTTCTCCTTGTCCACCCAAAGCAGACATCTGCCTGGGATTTGGGGAAAGAGTAGAGTCTGGACAAAAATGCAGAGATAGGAAGGTATATTCATGCAAAGTAAGATTTTTAAGATTTAAAGCAAGGTCCAAATATGGCCATTCCTTTTCTCTATTAGCTTATCTGTTACCTGGGAGGACTTATGTTCACCTCTAAGGCTCACTTGAAATAGACAGAAGGAGAATATAGTAGAAGAAAAATTAAATGCTCATCTACTTGCTGCAGAATTAAAAGATGGAGGAGAGTAATGGTCTAGCCAAGTATTTCCCCTATCCGGTGACCTGGTAATGTGTGTGGGCAAGTGAAGGTAACATTCAAAGGGCTCTTGCCTCCAGTCTCTGGGTTTCCATTCCATACCAACCTGGACGCAATGTAAACTTGGCAGGGCACATACTTATACTGAGGGAGGCCCTGACATTTGTCTTTGCTAATCTATCTTTGCTTTTTTGTGTGACATAGCCAGGACCCCAAAACAGTGGACCCCTGACTGAAGAGTTTTCCAAATGGCTGCAGTAGCTGAACAGGGCACTCTAGCTGGTGGACTTCCTATGCTTGAGCCAGACTCATGGGCATTTACAGCACCAGCCAGAGTTGAGGTGAGATTGAGACTTCCAGCAAATACCACTGGGAGCAGACAGGCCTCATGTTTCCAGAGTCAAGAGCTTCCATTTTTGMCAACCTGGCATCTAGCCACCAGTCAGACAAAGAACATTATCTCACAAGTATAGCAGCCAGAGGAAACACAGGGATAGACCGTGAAGAAAGGTCTTTTTTTCCTCCCCCACTCCACATGGTTCTTACAAACAAAAGCAGTGGGAAGGAGGCTTCCTAGAGAATAAGCATTTTATCCAAGAAAGACTGAACACTATCCAAAAGTGCAGTTCATATTTTTGTATCAGTCTGAACTTACAACGAGATTGGACACTTATTTATATTTTTTTCCCCTTGCCAACAGGCAAGTGGGCACTCCGGAAGACCAAATTAGTCACAGACAAGAGAAAGGAATTACAAATATTCTCTGCCCATGGGAGTTGTAGTGTGAGTTAAATTTGTCACCCTGCTATGGATGCATATGCATATACATATGGACAAGTATTTCCCTGACGATAGTGAGGAAGAAGGAAAGGAGTTCTCCCGACAGAGACGTTAATTTGGCTTTCTGTCTGCCTGAATTAAGGTGTAGTTTCAAAGAACAGTCATCATGTCCCAGTCCCCAAAACGCATATTCATGTGAAGAAACTGGTAAGACCTAAGTGTCAGGAAGGATTTTCAGATGAGGTTTAAGCATAGACAGCTGTCATGGAAAAATCCACTTACAAATATTTTCTACCTAGGGAAATACTTGCTCGTGTGTGTGTGTGTGTGTGTGTGTGTGTGTGTGTGTGTGTGTATGTGTACAGGCATACACTTTAAATGACAATACAGGAAAAGGGAATGAATGGCTAAAAATGACATGAACGGAAATAAGGAAGTCGCATAATGCTAAAGAAAGAGTGGGAAAGCACGTCTGTGGAGTATCCACCAGGTGTCAAAACTGTGGCGGGCAGGGTCTTCCTCTCCTAAGAGTGGCGGACTCCGCTTACTAAGACTCACCTGTCTCTCAATTAATGAAAAATTATGTTTTAAAAACCCTGAGACTTTTATCTCATGTTCCTGCTTCCTACTTGGAAATCAACATAATCTATTGACTACTGACACTCACCAAGTAGTTGAATAGGATATGAGATGTCTGAGCAGGAAAGTCTCCAATGTTTAAGAGAAGTTTGCGCAGCATGTACATTAATTCATCCTGAAAAGAGAGCAGAATTTTAATGTCTTGTTCAGGTGYCATGCTGTAGGAAACAAAATTAATTTGTTGAAAATTGGGGGAGATTTTTAACTTTTTGCTCAGACTTTAATTTAAATGCTCAACATTTTAATATAGTTTATGGGATGCACATGTATACTTATAGTACATGTGATACTCAGTAAGTATTTAACTAATCTTAGTATTTATCTAACACCTTTCTTCTAGGAGCTGACATAAATATCAAGGACATCTGTGTTGTTGTTTTTTTWAAATAAAACTTTACACTGTATCTACAGGTCATGGGTAAACCTTTAGAGCTGTATATTTAGTTAACTATCTGCCATGGCATGCCCTCCAAGGTGTGGTGGGAATGTAAGGAAGACCTATGTTGAGAAACCATTAAACAAACCAAGTTTACTAAACTTTTGAACTTCATAATTCTGTTTCCTAAGTTTTGAGTTAACAAGAAGAGTGAGGCCAAGAKAGGATAACTGGGCCATAACTAACTTATTTTCAGAAACTAAACCTAATATTCAAATGAATAYGGTCATAATGTAGAAACAAATAATTCTTAATTATCAGTATATATTTTTTCATTGCTCAGCAAACTGTTTTTACATAATTTTCTTATAGGGTGGTCTGGCAAATTAGCTTTTTGACTAAAGAAGAGTGTTCACCTATTCTAATAACCCCACCTGTACCACAGACTCAGAATTCAACAAATGTATCCAATATTAACAACATTATACTAAATTTAGTCTTCGTTCAAAATATTGAGAGTCTTTCAGATTTAGGGTTATCACTGGTAACATACTTAAACACGCAGATGTCAAGTAACAAATTTGAAAGAAAACAGCAAAATTTAATATTGCTCATCATCATTATTTTAAAAAGTACTCTTTGGCTRTGTATGAGAGGACATTGATGTTGCAWGCASAGCACTATACAGAGTCTTTAACTTKCTTTTTACAGTATTCACATTCATAACTACACTGTAAAGGAAGAGGAATTTACTTGTCTATTGCTGATTGTCAGTTTTTCCAGAAAATGTCGAAGAACAGTTGATGGATCTTCAATTAGACAATTCCATAAGACTTGTTGGGCCACAGCACTCACTKTAGAAGAGGAAAAAAAATTGAACATTTGTCTTAAATGGAGATAAATCTATTACACACTATTCAAACAATTAACCAAGCTTAAATTAGTTTCTCCATTTTGCCTTAGAAAGATTCTCTAAACTCTTTTTCTTTTGAAAGGTGAATATTCGTTCTTTTTCTTGTTCTCACTGAACATTTTCACATGTAAAGAAAAGTTAAGAAAAAAGAGTAAGATRGTCTTTAAGTATTAGCATTGCAAAGAATAACTTTGTGAACACATGCAGTTGTCTGTGTTGTGGAAACCACAATAATATGAGCAGTGGTAAGTCTTTATTAAAGTCATATTTCATTGCTTATGACATAAATTCCTAAAGTAATTATTTAGTGTTGGAAAATATATTTGGTTAAAGTGCACATGAATTACAGATGGTCTTTWAAAGTCTACATGGATGCTTTAAATAATATCTCTTTTGGTAAGTTAAAGTAGTTAAGCCAGKACTAATTGGGTTCCCTTTACTGATGAGAGACTCTTAAAAATAATCAGTCCTCATGAGAAATGATGTGCTCCTACTTTGGAAAAGGTAGTCAGGCTAAGATTACCTGCAAGCATCCAGACTAAGAAAGCCAGTGGGCAAAGGGATCAGTCTAATTAGCATTCCCAATTCCACTAGTTTTCTAAACTAGGTGTATAGAATTTAGCATAAATTTATCCTTCAGTCTATATTTTCAACACACATTACCAATTATTGCTTCAGAAATTAACCATCCAACTGAAATTCAGAGCCTTATAAATCAATAATATGAATAAGAAATACATAAATACTAAGCTTTAGCATTCATGTATCCCATAAATAATTTTGAAAGGTGTGGATTTTTGTTAGGTTTGAAATTGGTTGCAAAAATATCTTTACAATACTTTTTATTCTCATTATTCTAATAAGGCAGTTTGATTCTTAAAACAGAATACCACAAAGGGGAAAAATAAAAATGGGAAGACCACCAATCATAATAATAGCTATGAACAGTCTGGAGGATGTCCTTTTATATATAGGAAATACATACTTAACATATATGTTGAAACATTATATAGGAAACACTGTTTCATACTCAATTTTTWAATTTAGCAATATGAAGAACAGTTTTTATGTTAATATTCTAGAATATGATTTCTTATGTGTACAGAATACTCTCAATTGGCATAAAAAGATTAATTTAATTGCCTGTGGTATAGCACATTTAAATTCTTTCCAGACTTTTTTTATATAATGTTCAGTGTCCTTTATAAACTTTTATATAGTCTCCGTTTTTGTTTTATGAAATTGCTAGAAACCAATTTTTTACACTTTTAAGTTTTTGATCCACATAATGAAACCCCATTCTAGAATGCTTGCACCAAATTTTATGCTTGAACACCAAGTTTTGAGGATGCTCTTTTTCCTGCCTCTTCACCAACTGGGGTATTTTAAGGAAATCTTTGCCTACTTTGTAACTGACATATAAGCTTTCACTGTTGTTTCAAACAGCTGTTTACAGGTGTTAATGGCCAATAAACTGTTCATATCCTTTGCCCATTTTTCTACAGKGGTTTTTAAAATTGATACTGAGTTTTAACTTTATTCTTAATTCAAAAATTTAAGAATATTAACCTTTTGTCTATCACAAATATAACTCATCTTTACCCCTAGTTTTTCATTTCATTTTGCAATTAGGAAAGATGTTTTTTGTGGTGTCAAATGAATAGCTAAAATTTCTAAGATGGACACAGTGACTGTTTCATTTCTACTTGACCAAGTTAAGTGTTGTTTTGTTTTCTGGTCATAGATAACCTTCCTGGACCTAACTACTTCTTTGTCAATGCTATTTATTGGTTATACAAGTATGGGAGGAGGAGGTCATAAATTGATGAGATATGGAAGTTTATAGCATGGCAGACTAACCTATTCCTGCYGCAAAAGTGACAGTGTTGGTATTCTAAGCCACAAATCTGTAGTTATAATAAATGCATAAAACCATTCAACATGTGTTCAGTGGGTAACATGTTCAAGAGGAATCTACTGTTCTCCATCAGATGAACCCTTCAGCCCATGACGGAAGGTGTGACGGGTCAAACTGTACCTGCTACTCCGTCCTCCCGCACCTCACCGTCCTCCATGAGATGAACGATGGGCAGCACTGCTGCACAGATGCATGCAGGGAACACGGCCTGTGGGGGCTGTGGCACATGGTGGTTTGGTGTGTGTTCCGTGGTGTGCTCCTCATCTGGAGGGGGAGACAAAATCAGGGTGCTTTCCCCAGTGATGTAATTCTAATACAACAACATTTCAGTTCAGTTCAAGTCTTACCGACTTAGTGGTATAATCAACAGCAATGATGAAATATCATAATTTTTTAAAAATTGGATTTACATAGAGTGTYTCCTCATGTTAAATAACAAAACCAACCCACTTCACAAATACTGTCTTTTTTCTTGTTTTATGGAGAAAGAAGCATGGACATTCTGGGTAGATCAGCTCATAACATGAACTCAAAGATCACATTTTAAGTGGAGACTAAGTCGTTTTTCACAGATGCAACTGGAAGTGGTAAGTATGAATACGGAGTAGCAGAAAACATATACACATGTTCCAGGTGAGAATAACAGCCCACTCATATTCATGTTCTTATGTTCACTGATAAATATGATTAATAATAAATTTGAACAATTATTTCATATGGGAATACAATGAGTTTAGATTTAATAGTCAAGGAATGTAGGAAAGACATTTTACAGCTCAATAAAAAACTAATTTTATTATTAATACAAAGTAAGTCATTTTTCTATAGTGCTTAAAGAACAGGGAGTCTTTGATTCTCATATTTCAGTGTATGTAGTTATTTGGGATTTTAGAGGTCTTATGAAGGACTGGAGGGTAAGAGGCTTACTTAGTTGCTCTCAGTCCTGGTTTCACCCTAGATGTATATGAAACAGTATATGGACAGATACACTGGGTAGGCACTTAAGGAATAATAATAAAGATTCCCCAAATCTACCACAAAAGCAATAAGAACATTGGAAAATATAGTCAAAATAAACGTTCTCAGAACTTTAAAAATTAACCAAAATCTGAGAACAATTTAAGGAGTGTTTGTTAGAAATCAAAAAGCAGAATCTTGATATGATTGCTAGTGTTTCTGCTTTTTTAACTTTCTCTCTTCACTCTGCCTTTCTTTAGCTTCTTGGTAGCCTTGGAAATTAGTAGCTGCATATCCATGGCAGATGTAAATACCAGCAGCCTAACAGCCTCTAGGGGTATAGCAGGTTTGGAGCTCCCAAAAACCTTGTCACTAGAGAAATGTCACAACTTGAACTATTTAGCCACTATTTGGAAAATCCCCATGCAGAGCGCTTGTCTTTATTTGACTTGGCTCAATGCTTGCTTAGTGCAAATGATTTATACCCAGGTCATTGGCCAAAAAGAATTAGCAAACAACTGTCTCACATTACAGCTGGCTGAGGTGCTTATATCAGCTGGGGCAAGCAGGAATCTGCAGAAAAAACATAAAGGAAAATCTGGAGAATGTAGGTCTCTGACACATTCTTGGTATCTAGATGGCTGCATGCATGTGCAAGGGTGTGCTCTCGCTCATGAAAGACCCAAATTCCTAACCTTTCACTTCTGGCTGACCTTGAGGCTCTGCCCAAGCATAAAGTGAAACAGTGAAGGCCAAGGCAGAGTCTTAAACTACTGGAACAGGAAGGTGACTCAGTACATCTATAGAGCCCTCCAGCAAAGGCTAGGAGACTCTTCAGTACATGGCATTTAAGAAAATGCTCTGTCTAATCATTACCTGATCACTAATTTAACTTAAGAGATTTAGGTGATCATACTCAAGAAAATATGCAGATTTTTAACAATTRGTCCAGAACAGTCAGTAACCAAACAAATAATAACACAACTTCTAGCAATAACATGCCCCAATTTGGAAAGAGGATGTCTGATTTTCAAAGCTGCCACATGATACAACTTAAATTTTCCATTTTTTGATAAAAAAATATGAGGCATGCAAAAAAATCAAGAAAATACTGCCCATAGAGAAATAAAAGCAGTCAATAGAAACTGTCTTTAAGGAAGCTTAGATTTGGGATAGAGAAATAAAAGCAGTCAATAGAAACTGTCTTTAAGGAAGCTTAGATTTGGGACTCAAATAGACAAAGATATTCTATCAGTAGTTGTATTTTCTATTTTAATACTTTATAAATGTTACATAAAACATGACAGCTATAATACAAAATAACAATAAGAATAAATCTGTCTTTTGCATGCCATATCTTTTACATGTAAAATGGCAAATATAAATCTTATTTTAYCCATAATTACATTAAGTAAAAATGGACAAAATATTCCTATCAAGAAACAGAATGAGTGGTAAAAATAAAAAGTGAAAAAGAACTTGAGAGTATTATGTTAAGTGAAATAAGCCAAACTTGGAAAGTCAAGGGTTGGATGTTTACTCTCACACGTAGAAGATAGAGAGGAAAAAAAGTGAGGGGGGATCTTATGAAAATGTAAGTGAAAGGGAGCCCAAGGTAAGGATAGAAAGGGAGGGAAAGAAGTTGACCAAATTATGTTACATGTATTTATATGTGGGTTTATACATATGAATATCTCACAATGAATCCCACTGTTATATATAATTATAAGGTACCAACAAAATCAATTTAAAAAAACCCAAACAAACATGACTCAAATATATAGTGTTTTTAGAGTCATAGAGTTTCAGAGACACAAATAAGACAGAAGAAAGATGGAAAAAGATATGCCATATGGACAATAGTTAAGAGAAAGCTGGAACGTCTATATTATTATCAAATTGAATTTTAATATAAAAAATTTTACTGGAGGCAAAGGAAGACATGTTATAAGTATAAAAAAAATCAACCTATTGGGAAAACAATTTTRCATGCATTTGTAACAACAAGAGAGCCCCAAAACTTAAGAAGTAAAAACTGACAGAATTAAAGGGAGAAATAGATAATTCAATAGTAATCACTACAAACTTCACTATCCCACTTTCAGTAATGTTTAGAACAACTAGACAGACTTCATCAAGGGAACAGAGGACTTGAACAACATTATAAACCAACTAAAACTAACATACATAAGCAATAATAATGAAACATTTTTCTGAAACATAGTTCAGAATGTATGCAATCACACATAAGCCTCAATGAGTTTATTTTTTTAAAGAGACAGAGAGAGAGAGAGAGAGAGAGAGAGAGAGAGAGACAGAGAAAGAGAGAGAGTTTTTTTAATATTTATTTTTTAGTTCTCGGCGGACATATCTTTGTTTGTATGTGGTGCTGAGGATCAAAACCGGGCCGCATGCAAGCCAGGCGAGCGCACTACCGCTTGAGCCACATCCCCAGCCCCTCATTGAGTTTAAAAAGGTGAAGTAATATGTTTTCTGACCCTAAGAGATTAAATTGTATATCAATAACTGTATAAGAACTTGGAAATTTACAAATATATAGAAATCAAACAGTTAATTCCAAATAACCAATGGTCAAGATATTGAATCACATCATAAAATACTATTCCTTGAAAAGGATCAATAAAATTGACAAATCTTTAGGTAGACTGATAAAGAGAAAACAAAAAAAGACCCAAATTGCTAAAACTGAGGAAAAAGAGGGCACACATCACTACCAATCATAATTATCAATATAATAAGGATTGCAAAGAAATATTAAGGACAAGTATACATAAATAAATTAGAGAATGTAGATTAAATACACAAGTCTCTAGGAAGGCATAACCTAAAGAAGTTGACTAGGGGAGAAATAGAAAATTTGAATAGATTTATATCAAAGAGATTGCTATAGTAATAAAAAAAAACTTTCCACAAAGGAAAGCCAAGACCCAGGTAACTTTATTGGACAATTCCACCAAATACTGAACAGATATTTAACACTAATTCTTCACAAAACTTCTAAAAATTARAAGAGAAGGAAACACTTCTTAAATCAGTCTAATAAGTCAGTATTGCTTTGTACTGAAACTAGATAATGACATCACAAGAAATGAAAAACAGATCAGTATCCCTTATGTGTACAGATGAGAAAATCTTCAACAAGCTGTTAGTAAACTGAATCTAGAACTATATAAGATTATATACTATGACCAAATGAGATTTATCTCAGAAACGCAAGGAAGGATAAACATATAAAAAGCAACAAATATATCTTAATTGAATGAAAAAAAAAACCTCATGAGAATTTCAATAAGTACAAAAAAGCCTTTGATAAAACCCAACACTTTTCATAATAAAAAAGAAAATACAAAACTAGGAAATGAAGGGCACTTCCTCAACATTATAAAGGCCATTTATTAAAAACCCACAGATTTTTTAAAAATAAAAAATCCACTAACACTAACTGGATTAAGTTAGTGAATACTTAATATTAAAAGAYTGAATGCTTTCCCCCTAAGATCAGAAACAAGGCAAAAATATCTGATCTCACCTCTCCTATACAAACCATACTGGATGTTTAGCCAGTACTATTAAATAGTAAAATAAAGAGAAAGATTAGTAGGAAATAATTAAATTATCTTTATTTGCAGATGATGTAATTTCGTGCATAAAAAAGCCTAAGGAATCCACAAGAAACTATTAGAAGTAATAAACTATTTCATAGAGGCTGCAGGGTACAAGATATAATATACAAAAATCAACTGTATTTTTAAAAGACTTTTTAGTTATAGATGGACACAATATCTTTATTTTATTTATTTTTATGTGGTGCTGAGGATCAAACCTAGTGCCTCATGCATGCGAGGCAAGCACTCTACCATTGAGCTACAACCCCAGCCCTCAACTGTATTTTTATGCATGGGGAATAAAAACTCAAAAGTGAAATTAGAAGAATAACTTATTTTTTGGGGGGGAGGTGGGTACTGGAGATTGAACTCAGGGCCACTTAACCACTGAGCCACATACCTAGCCCTATTTTGTATTTTATTTAGAGACAAGGTCTCACTGAGTAGCTTAGTGCCTTGTTTTTGCTGAGGCTGGCTTTGAACTTGCAATCCTCTTGTCTCAGCCTCCCTTGCTGCTGGGATTACAGGTGTGCGCCACCATACCTGGCAGGAGAACACTTTTAAATAAACTAGCATCAAAAATAATAAAATACTTAGGAATAAATTCAATGAAAGAAGTACAAGACTTGTACACTGAAAGCTACACACATTGTTGAAATAGGACCTAAATGAATGAAAAAGTATACGTGTTCATTGATCAGAAGACTTAATAAATCCCACAGTGATCTACAGATACAATGCAATGAGATCTCATGTGTCTTTTTTAAGAAGTCGACAAAATAATCCTCCAATTCACATAAAAGTGCCAAGAGACCAAGATTAGCTAAYATAATTTTGAAGAAGAAAAACATAGTTGAAGAACTCACATTTTCCTTAAAAAAATCTTACTATAAAGTTACAGTAATCAAGACTTATGTATGCTACTGACACAAAGTATGCTACTGACACAAAGATTGAAGTATGGATCAATAGAATAGAAAGATCAGAAATAAACCATTACATTTGTGTTCAATTGATTTTTTACATTAATCCAAAAAAATTAATGAAGAAAAAGAATATTTTCAATAAATGATACTCAGACAACTAGATATCTACATGCAAAAGAATGAAGTTGAATTCTAATATCATAATTAAAACATTAACTCAAAATTGACTGGACTCCTAAATATAAGTGCTAAAGCCATACAACTCTTGGGAAAAAAACATAGGAACAGATTTTTGTTATCTTGGGCTACACAATTGTTTCTTAGATATGACACTAAAAGTACAAGTGACAAAATTTTATATATATATATAATATATATAATTTTATATACATCTATGTATATAAAATTATATATATATATAATATATACATATATATATATTCACATATATGACTTAAATAAAATTACAATCATCCATGTTTCAAACTTGCCATTAAGAAAGTAAAAAGCCAAACCAYAGAATGGAGGAAAATATTTGTGAACCATTTATCTGACAAATGGCCTGTCTCCAAAATATATAAATAATTCTTATCACTCAACAATGAAATTAACCAATTAAAAATGGGCAAATAACAGTATGGATACTTTGTTTTACATCTACATACTTCTTTCATGAATTGAAATAAACGCKTTCTCATTTGTATTTCATGTAATTGTAATTATATCTTTTACATTAAATGATATGCAAATTTAATACATAAAAAGTAATAAAGAAAATAAAGACAAAAGATTCAAATGGACATTTTCCTAGAGAAGATATATGAATAGTCAATTAGCACATGAAAAGATAATTTGTATTAGCATAATGCAAATCAAAATCATAATGAGATAGCCATTTCACATCCAAAGGCATGGCTAAAATTAAAACAGACAATAAGGAGTATGGGAAAAGATGTGGAGCAACTGGAACCCTCACACTTTTTGATGGGAATGTAAAATGGTACAGACACATTGGAAATACTTTGGCAATTTTCCTCATAAAAACTTCCACATGTCTGTTCCTAAGAGCCTAATTCATAGTAGACAAAATGGAAACAAACCCATGTGCCCAGAAACTGATGGATAGACAAATAAGAATTACATCAGTGTGATAGAAAATTATTTGGGAATAAATAAGAATGAAAACTTGATACATGCTACAATATGGATGAACCTTGAAAATATTATGCCAAATGAAAAAAATCCAGTCACAAAAGAACATATATCATACAATTCCATTTATATGAAATGTGTAAAATGGGCAAATCCATAGAAATAAAAAGCAGATTAGTTCTTGCTGGGTTCAGGGAAGCAGTGACTGCTAATGGGTATGGGGTTTCTTTTGATATGAAAAAGATATTTGAAAATTAAGATAGTGAGTGTTGCATATTCTGTGGATATACTAAAAACTACAGCACTGTATACATCAGAGATGAATCTTACGATACATGAATTACTTCTTATTAAAAGTGTTATGAAAATAACAGATATGTCTTGGGCCCCATCTCCATAAGTTATGAATAACTAGCATCAGTCATTTTTCAAAATTCCCTAGGACTGTGTAGCAAAGGGTTGAGAATGACTGCTCTATTGCTGACTTCATAAATCAGTGATGATATCTATATAACCATATAGCAGTTAGCCAGTTGTTCATCATTAGAGAAGTATAGTTTTTATGTTTTGGGAGCTGAAGAACATCAGTCTGCCTCCCACCCCTCCCATATTAAGAATCAGACTTCATTACAGGAATTTCATGATATTTAGTCTTAATTTGATTGTTAAGTTACTCCAGAACAACGTCCATTGAAAGAGGGTTTAAAAGTACCAGATACATGGGTCCTACCTTCAGAGATTGTAATTGTGATAGGTCTGGACATTTTAAAAAAGCTTCCCAGTAATGTGTAGCCAGGGGAGAAAACCATTTACTGCCTAGAATAACGTCTTCAGGACTGTCAGCAATATGATTACATGTAATGTAATTAAAAGAGGTCAACTTAAAAATGAGAATTCCTGGTGAAATCAACATTTTTTTTTTTAAAGATTCCACTCTGGTTTTTCTTTTTTAACCTCAAATCATCAAATAAGTTCTTTAATGAGGACAGTGTAAAAGTAATAAGGTGATGTGAACTGGAAARAGATTCAAAACATGTGAGCCATGAGGAATAAAGAAGGCATTTGCAAGAGRACATACCTTCCGCGCTGACAGCTGAACGCACCGACCAGACCGACCCCCGGCGGAAGGAGTAATTCCTGTGGGAGGTGCTCGAGGTGCAGGAGGGGCTCACGGACAGTCGGCGGGATGCCAGATTGGTGACTTCTTCTACTGGCAAACAAAACGGGGCATGTGAACTTTACAACTCAATTTCTCATCATCACAGATACAGTTATGCTTATACCACAAGTATACACTGCTCTCAGACCACTGGGCTTAAGTCACTTAGAATGACTAGGAAACAACGACTCTACAAAAGAAAGACAAAAGTTCCTCCTAAAGTTTTCCAGGAAGTCAGAACACAGAATCACTGAAATTAAAATGATTCATAAATCATTTTTTTATGTCAACTGACAAATTGTCTACATGTGTGAAGGCTGGAAATAGTTACTGGATTACTCTATTTTCAATGATGAAAGAGTGGTTGCATTTACTTTAATAAGCATTCTGAATTTAGCCAGAATCTAGAATCACAACCAAGCCTTCATCCAAGATCTGACCGGTTCCCTCAGCACAGCTAATGTTTTCCCTGGGAAATGGGCCAACTCTAGACTTTAGAAAGCAACAACTTCTTTCTTTGGATATTGTCAGAAAGTGATAGAGGTGGAAGGGGCATATCACCTCATATCACACAAGGTCATTAATTTCTATTTAAAAACAAGTCCTTTCCCTGTGACTCAGTCCCCAAAGAAGTCCCGGGTGCAGAGGGCACCTTCTTCTTCCGGCTCTGAGTTGGGTGTGCAGGTGGGCTCATAGCAAGCCTCCTGGGTGATGGGGATGGCAGTAATGAGGCTGGCTTCTCGACCCAGGCGTTTCTTCTCTTCCTCCTGCTGCAAGTTCTTTAAGATATGTTCTGCTCTTTGATGAGAGCGAGAGACAGCCCGGGCAGAAAAGGATTTCTGTGGAGACATGAGGGCAGGTTTATTTAGTAGGAACTCTTCCTGCAAGGTCAGAGTCATAAAGAATGACCTAATGAATTACACACATGTGGTAGTTTGACCTCAGGAAATGTTAGGGGCTTTATGATCTAGTTTTATGGAGATTTATTTGTTTTTCTACCAATTTTCTAAGTTATGTATGACTGAGCATTTTTTAACTYGATTATAATAGTTATTGAAGAATATCTGTAATTTCTGAAAATAATCTTATTTAACTTTTAGGATTTTTGGTGATATCAGTGATTCACTTTTAAAACATTAACACTAAATAAAATTTGGTACACATATTTTTGAACTGGCTTTAAATGAAGGATATTTATTACATAAGGTTAATAAAATAGAAAGTTGAAACCATGGAAAGGAGGAGGAAGGAGATACATCTCTCATATAAACCAGTTAGTATGTGACTTATTCCATTTTTGTAACCAAGTATTTATTACACTTTAAATAACATTTGTAGATAAACACAGTGGCACAGTATAAATACTTAAAATTGTAGAAATACAATTATTGAGTTTAGGAGAGTTGATAGTGTGACTATGGTTGAATGTAAAATTTGATTTGTGTCTACTAGTACCAAAGGCATAAAGGAAGCATACTAGGACAAATTCACTCTTCAATAGGTGAATTTCACTTTGCAAAAATGGCTATTCTATTTATGCCTTCCTTATGTTGAGACAAATTCCAAGAGCACTGGAGACACCATGGTCTCAGTGCAGGGAAGTGATCCTGGAATTCTTCACAACCAATAGGAAGCAATCTCTACGTACAACAGCAACTGCACATCTCATTGTTGGCCTATAGTAACATAAGCTTCTAGAGACTGATAAGAGATCTTGGTAGCTCTTCTAAAGGTTGGCATGCATAGAAGCCTCATTTGATGCATATTAACATAAGACCAAAGGTTTACTATGACGAATGGCACAATAGCAGTTACAAAGCATTTGATTGGACAATTCATTTTCAGGACGAGGTGGTTAAGCTGGCTTATTAAATAGCAAAAGGTAAGAATTGTGGAGGGAGAGAAAGGGCTGGTTACAGAGGCAGGGGACTTTTTCAAACATATTGTAAAGTMGGGAGAGAGTTGGTTGGCTCAAGGGAATCCATTGCCTGTAAGGAAGAAAAGTCAAGAATCTTAGGCTGGTGGTTCAGATGTTGTAATTACCACACATATGATAAAAGAAACAGATGTGCCTTTCTCTTTAGCACTGGATCACGGGATATGAAGATACTGTACGTGAAAAAAATAAAATAAAACAGGCAAATTGCAATGGGTGAAGAGTTCAAACAATTCTCCAAGAACACTGCAAATACCTTACAAAGTCTGCATATGATATGCAAAATRTTCAACTTAACTTCAATATTCAACTAACTTTTTCAAAAGGGTGTGAATTAAAAAACCAATAACTATTTTTTGCCACTTGAGGTGTCAATTTAAAAAAACACACASATTACTTGGAATAGAAAAGATGTTTTTCTTAAGGAAAAATGTGTAAGGTAAAATGGCATAACATTTTTTGGGATATTTTGTTAGATGTATTGAAAGTCTTTAACATGTATATATAATTGCCATAAATTTGATGGGAATTTATTCAAGGAAAGATGATAGATTTGTGCAAAGAGATGAGTTCTTCTATTTTTGCTATGTTTTCCAAATCTTTTACATAATTCATAATTTGGAAAAGTAAGTAAAGCAGGCATATTTTGAGAATTGACTTTATCAATAGCCTCATATTCTTGGGTTTTGTGTGCGAATAGCTGTGTTCTTGACTTAGCTGTTAATGGGTTACATTTTACACAGCTGTGATATGGAAGAGCAGCATAAGACCTGAGGTCTGAGTGATATATGTGGTGATGATATTGATGACCCGCAAAATAAGAAGCAAAAGAGGAAGTGGGAGTTCCCAACTCTCTTCTTTTTCTTACTCTTGCAGGGTCAGTATTTTTAACCTTCAGGTATTTCACATCTTATAGGTTAAGTTAGTACGTTTGCTGTATAATAGCAGCAAAGTACTTCCATTGGTCATGAAATCCATGCCTAATGCTTTTAATAACTTTATAAGATGACTGAAGCTTTTATAAAACAAAATTATGTTGACTGGAACATATGCAAATGACCACTACTAGGTGTTAGTTTCTTCTGTCACMGAAATGAACAACTCTATGAATGTTATTACATTCTTTTAACAAGAACAAAGGAGTTATCTCACATTTATTGCTTTTCTCTTTTACATGTACTCCAGGCAGGTTGGAGAGATGGGGACAAAGAGCTTGATACTCACAGACTGATCTTCATTAATGGGGTCCTGGACACTCCCACTGCACTGAGGGACCCATGGAGGGTCAAACATTGGGACAGATGGCATTCCAAGCACTGGGGAGGGCAGGGTGAAGTTGATACTGGGAGGCGGGATCTGTTAGTTGATAACAGAAGAATGAGGTGAGCAAGATGAAATATGAGCCTRGAACGAGTCTGAAGTATAATTAAGACATAATCCATTTTAATAGGTGTCAAGGACCTACGTGACTCCTCACAGAATAGGCAAGAAACAAAGAGAAGAGCTGTCTGAAAAGCTTTTTTTTTTTTTTTTGCTGGAGGACACACCATGAACCTCTCTGGGCCTCAGTTTACTCATCAATAAAATGAAAGAGTTTCAACTAAATGACATTTAGTTGTGTTAACTATCTTCCTCCAAAGGTAGACAGATATATAGATAGATAAGATACACACACACACGTATTCTTTTAACAGCAAAATGCATAGAAGATTACAATTCACTTATATGTGCTTACCTCTGGGGATTTAGTATGCTATTGAGGTTTATAGAAACTTGATTCTCTATTTTACATTCTTCTGTATTTCAATTTTTCTTTTAGCAACAAGAACTCATTCATGTGTGAGTTATGTTTACTTATATAATTAGAAAAACAAAAGACAAGGTTTCCTTCACTAGGCATTGTAGCTCYGACRYTCTTGGAYTTAAACAAATCTTGGGTGAGTTTTGCTGATCAAATTCTCATGTGGGAAGTATCTCTCACCTTAAAAATCTGCTGTGCTCCCTCCTCCATCCGGGGCCAGACCTGATAGCGAAACCTCCAGAGCGTGTGGAATTTGAGGACAGCATTCAGTCTCTGSACAGTCTCTGGGTGGTGGAACTCTGACATCAACATGTCAGACACAGCTTCAGGAACCTTCACAGCACACAGCAGGAACATGGCAGCTAGAGACAGTTAATGATTCGTCAGCTATACATTTTTAAGTTTTGCTTGATTTCTGGGGTTGGGAAAAAGTGGTAGCTGCTGAGATCTTCTGAAAATGACTCCTGAACTCAGAGCCAAGCCACCAGCACTGGCCAAAACCACTAGAAACCAAACATCACTCTGATTCACCCTTAATCATCCAAAATCTGTTGCAAAAGCAGCAACAGCATGACATTTCAGTAGAATAACTTATGCTAAGCAAGGCTTCCTTTGGCTCACAGAGAAAAGAGAATGCCAGAGGAAGCCTATGAAAAAACAAATCACACATCAAAATACACTATTTATGAAGTGGCTAGAGTCATCCCACGGTAACCCAAGAACATTACATAAGATCCAATGCAAACCACTTCTGTATCATCAGTTGTATTTTAAAAATACACATTGCAGATTCTATTAGAAACTTCTACCTTTCTTAGAGATAGAAGAGATGGAGAAGCAAAAAGATTTCATGGATCATAATACTTCCATTTTATTTTTTAATTTTTGGAAAAGTTAAATATCAATAAGAGAAAGGTCAGGTGCTAATGAACAATGAGACTGATAAATATGCTAAAGCACAGATAAAGGGTCAGAGGCAATCATTAAAAACATATAAGAGGTTGTGAGGGGAAAGGGGGGAAAACAAGGGAGAGAACTGAACAACAACAGGTGAGGTAGAGAGGAAAGATGGGAGGGGAGGGGAGGGGGGATAGTAGGGGATAGGAAAGGCAGCAGAATACAACAGTCACTAATATGGCATTATGTAAAAATGTAAATGTGTAACTGATGTGATTCTGCAATTTGTATTTGGGGTAAAAATGGGAGTTCATAACTCACTTGAATCAAATGTATGAAAGATGATATGTCATGAGCTTTGTACTGTTTTGAACAACCAATAAAAAAAAAAAACATATTCTAGAATCTCTCTTCTTTTCTCCCCAGAGCCTCARAACACGCTCAGACAGTCTTGGTAGAAGACCCGGAGTGGGGCCTTAGTCCTGACGCTTCTCTACTTTGTGATCTTGGGYAAGCCTTTTAGATTCTGTTAGCTTCCATTTCCTCACTGATAAACTGAAGGATGATGACACCTGACTTCAAATTTGTTGTTAAAATAAATCAAAGAATGTATGAGAAAGTGCTTTGTAAAGTGAATGGTGTCGCACAGTTCTAAAGTACATTTCATCTTTCAGAGACAATATGGTAAAATGGGAAGGGTATTTACAATGTGCCATCAGATCTGGGTTGGATTTTCTGGCTAATTCTGAACTGTGMAGATTGGATAAGTTCCTTCAACTCTCTGACTTGAGTTTGCTCATCTACAGAATGGTCTATCAGTAACAAGTTGTCTGTGTAATACAGTTCTATAACAACTGTTAGTTATTGTGATCCTTGGTTTATTAATATCCTTTTTATTCCTAGCCTACCAGCTGCCTAAGTCTCCACTCTTTCTCCTTTTTTTAACTTCCCTTTAAAAATATACTCTATACTGCTTTAATTTTTAAACATCATGCTCACTCTTTAAATCACTATAAGGCTCTAATCTCTTTACAACAGTAGTTTCCTTATAATGCTTACTGATTATCAGATCCATTGGTATTTTTTTTTACCGAATGTTTTTACCCTTAACACCTTTGAAACAATCGACTTGAGACTTACTCTCTTTTATTTCCATGGCTTGAAATCATTAATTTTTTACTTTTCTTATCCCTTTTCCTGGGTCTCCATCTGCTGCCATTATTTCAGCTGTCACCTACATCAACTTGTTTCCAAGTTTATCTCTGGTTTCAGCTTTTCTCTTTTTGGGGGAGTGGGGGGTTACTGGGGATTGAGCTCAGGGGCACTCAGCCACTGAGCCACATCGCCACCCCTATTTTGTATTTTATTTAGAGACAGGGTCTCACTGAGTTGCTTAGTGCCTCACTTTTGCTGAGGCTGGCTCTCAACTCGTTATCCTCCTGCCTCAGCCTCCTGAGCTGCTGGGATTACAGGCGTGTGCCACAATGCCCAACTGGCTTTTCTCTTTACTTCTTCCAGGTCATGTCTCCCAACTCTATGTCACAAACTACCCTCACCTAAAAAAAAAAAAAAAAGAAAAGAAAAAGAAAAAGAGAAAAAAAGAAAAATCTCTATTTCTAAAACCAAACTATTCTGCTCATTGCGGCCATATTAAACTTGGTAATAATTCAGTCTCTTATGCACATTTTCTTTTTGGCTCAGAGCCCATGAGTAATTTCTCATGTAGCAATTTTAGAAAGTCCACAACCCTAACTCTGCCATCCAGGGTCTGTGGCAATCCAAGTTCCACTCACCTCTCTAATTTTATGGATAGGTGGTCTCTCTGGAAAGCTACTCTAGTGGTCAAATCAGTCTCCAGTCTTTCCAAGTAAGCCCAGTTTATTTCCACACCAACACCATTTTCCCTGCTTGGCTAACTTTTAGTCATTCTGAAAGCCTGGTCCACCTTTATATTTTCCCTTGGAGTTTTCATGACTGTCCTGATTTGGGAAAGAATGCCTTCTGTAGCTCTCCGAGAGAAGCAAAAACTTGAGCTTTAATGTAAACAAATATATTTTTTGAAGATATTTGTTTAGTGTAGTATAAAAGAACAAAAGGCTAGAACMTAAAATTTTACCTACAGGTCTTGATTAAATAAATTATGGTATATCTATTCAGTCAATGGAATCTTCTGTAGCCATTAAAAAGAGTTGAGGTAAAACTATAAAATAATTTTAAAATGCTCTACAAATATCAATGAAAAATTGCAAAGCACAAAAGCTTTTATAATATCCTTGTGTGGAAACAAAAAGCTGCAATATATACATAAAACACACACACACACACACACACACACACACACRCACACGCATAATGTACCCTAGAGGAATTCCTGAGAAACTTAATTGTTGCCTCTGAAGAAAGGAACAAGTGGTCATGGGAAAGAGGGTGACACTTTTAACTTCATAAATTTTTGTAATACTTGAATTTTTACCATGTGCATTTTGCAATCAACATAACTATGAATAAATAAAGGAATTTGTATAAAAGGGGGAAATGAAGAGCCTACATTTTGTATCTACCAGATATGTTTTGGATAAATCACTTAAATTTCATGAATTTATTTTGACATTGTAATTTGGACATAGAAAATTACTCTCATGAGATCTGATAAAGTTAATGTTAGTGATGCACTTTCAGTCTAGGAAATAACATAAAGAGAATTTTATCTTTTAGAAAATATAGTGAAAATGTAGGTTTGGGAGGGAAATTATCTCTCTAATTTCTTAATACTGCTGGAGTTTGGATGGTGCATGTCTCCTAAAGATCTATGTGTTGCTCCCCAGGGTGGTGCTACTAGGAGGCACAGGGTGAGTTGGGGCCTACTGAGAGGTCCTTTGGTCTTTGGGGGCATAYTTTTGAAAAGGACTGTGAGTCTCTATCTTTTTCTCCCTTTTGCTTCATAGTTATGAGGTGAGCAGTTCTGCTCTGCTATGTGCTCCCCACCATTTCCGTCTTGTACCATCATGGACTGGAACCTCTAAAGCCATTAACCAAATAAACCTTTTCTCTTCATAGGTTGGTTATCTCAGGTATTTTGTTAATAGTTTTGGAAAGCTGATTAACACCTATTCTGAGAGAAATCTACTGTTCTTGTGCAAATCACATAGTGATTTTGGAAAAGAGCACTCAAAACCTGGGTCTTATTTCCTATAGCACACAACTATGTTTACAGTTCTAGCAATTGCCACCAACCTAATCTAGAGGCAAAAATTAGATGAATTCCCCTCTCTCTTATTTCAACAGTATGGCAGTGGCTGCAGGAGTGGGGTCCCAGRTGGTCTTTCTTTACCTGCTGCCCCTGCCATGTGCTCATCCATGCTGAGCAGGAGCTCCCAGGCTGCTGGCTGGATATCACCATACATCTCCTCTGTCAGAATTGGAGCTGCCTTGATTAAAAGAGATAAAGGAGCAGGCGACAAGCTCATCACCTGGGAAAGATGGAAATCATGTTTTAAGATCTTTTAGGACATTGATTACTGTCTTCTTCCTTATGAGTAACTTCCCTTCTTGGATTTCCTTAAATGACCTGAAAATACTTTCTAAAAGGGGAGCCTATTTCGTTGGCATGGTGTATGAGCTTTATACTTTTCAGTTGAAGAAAATTAGAAGGGTAAAAGAAAACCTCCCTCACTAATCTTGTAATGCTTTCATCACAAAATCAGCTTTACAACCACCCAAGCATAAACTGTAGAACACATACAACTCCACAAGAAAAGACAAATACCAGCCAATGTATATTTGTCTTAAAAGTCCTGGTTGACTTCTAAAGACTTGCATATTTCCTTCCTGTTGGTAGATTTCTTCTGAAAACCATAAGCAAACAGTAACTTCTGAAGGAGTCCTTAGAAAGCTATTTTTCTAAGCCAGTGTGAGCTTCAATGGCATTTTCCTTTGAAGCAGTATACACTGTGGTTATAACCCCAGGTCCATCCACAAAACATATTTAATCCATTATTTCAGATAATATAAGCAGTAAATGTAGGTTCTGGAAAAGYCATAATTTTAAATATATTCCAGAAAAACATGAAAAATTTGTTTTTTTCCCTGCATAAAGGTACAATTTAGAGTTTAGCTTACAATAGCAACATAATAGTGTTATGATTAGTAGGTAAATATAGTATTTTATTTAATTCATGCAATAATCTTTTGGGATGGGTCTAGTGTTATACTCCCCACTTTTAGATGAAGAGACTAAGGACAAGGAAAATTAAATAACCTGTGCAGAGTCCCAGAGCTACAGCAGCAGACACAGGATCCAGACTGTCTCATTCTGAAACCTATGGGTGTTGCCACCATGCACTGATGAGAAATCAGCTCCACTGGAGTGGGCAGGCTGGGGAAAGATGTGGCTCCAGCTAAACCCCTCTGGCTTTGTCTGTGAATCTGGATGCCTAGCAAGAAGGATTTTTCCCTAGCACACTTGGTGGCACTTTTCTCACCAGTTAAGGAGTCCTTTATGTCAGCATGGTGCCAACTTATATTGTGTTTCCCAAATGCTTGTAAACAGGCTGTCTGGAACTTCTTCCCCGTTAAGGCTCCATGGATGTTTTTGATCCAGGTGCCAGTACCTGAAGTCTGATGTATTTCAGCATCCCAGAATCCTTTTTTCCTTCCAGGTTGGCATCTGAAGCTCTCTTCTTCAGAGAAGGTGTCCTCAGGCATGACTTATCTGAGCACTGAAAAGAAGATGCGAAATGTAATGAAGGTGCTGTGATTTCTCAAACACCAACATTGCTTAATTTCCCCCCAATCCTTCAAACAATCATCTTCTAATGGAAGGTCTGGTTTAATGCTTTTTAGTGGGCCTGTGTCTTGTTAAATTTAGAAAAGAAGTTAATTTTGCAATGAAAAGGGAGCTTAGAGATATTTAGTATATTTTAGGAAACTGGAATCCAGACAGGTGGAGTAACTTGGCCAAGTTATAAAGCTAATTATTAGCAGAATAAGGAAAGGAAAAATATCTTCTGATTTCCATTTCAGGGTTAATTATATTCCATCAGCTGGTTAAAAATACAAATCTTTTAAACTATTGAGTCAGATAAAGTCCACTCTGTTCCTTTATAGGGTTGCAAGGTACATTTTGAAACATTTCAACTCATAAAAAAAGAAAGAAAATATTTCATAGAGAAGTGTTAGGACATTAAAGGTCAAAGAGAGGGGTTATCAAGTGTTATGGGTTGGATATGAGGTGTTCCCCCAAAGCTTCTGTGTTGTAAGAATATTTAGAGGTGGAATGATTGAATTACGGAAGTGATAACCTAATCAGTCTATCCTACTTTAAATGGAATAACTGGGTGGGAATTGTAGGAAGGTGGGGCTTGGTTATAGGAGGTAGATCACTGAGGGTGTACCCTAGAAAGGTTCTTAGGGCCCCTTCCCCTTTTTTCTTTCTGTCTCCTGGCCTTCATGAGTGGAGCAGCACCTTACCACAGTGCCATGATGTTCTGCCTCACCTTGGTTCCAGAGCAAAGGAGTGAGCCAACCATGGACTAAACAAACAAAAATAAACTTTTCCCTCTCTAAGTATTTTGCTCACATCAACGAAAAGCTAAGACATCAAGGAAGTATGAGCTTATAGCAGCCATCATCTAGGTCTCAGTTGTATAGGTAAAATAGTTTCTTTTTTAAGTACTCATCTGCAGGAGGCAGCAGCTCTTCTTTCAAAATGTCCCCTCAACCTGGGTTCAGAAAAGCTCGACTCATCTGCATAAGCACAGATGAGACAATTGCTTCCTCTGACTCCATAACTGCCAACCAATGGAGTGAACTGAGCAGCTGGGGACAGGCCCTTGTTTATTTATCCTGAGTTCTGATTCCTCCTAGTTTTGCACTCCAGGCAGTGAAAAGAGGGAGTCCTTTTTCTTGTACAGACTAAAGCTCATTTGTTTTTCCAGTGTCATGTCAATGAAACACTTTCTCCCTCAATGCCAAGGGAAAAAAACAGAACTTCGGAAAGATTTTTAAACAGAGCTTCACAGTGTTATAGATGGAGATATTTTGAAAGAAAAGGCAAATCTAAAAGTATGTGCATGTTCCAAGAAAGTCTTTTGAAACTCTGACATAAAGACTCAAGACAATGAATCTGCTATTTGGCTTAGTATGGAACCAACTTTTTAAATGAACCTACTTGGAAACAAGGGATCGGAGCTCTTATGTTTTCTAAAGACAAAAAAACCATGGAGGTGCATATTTGGGAACACATATAACTTGGGGAAAGAAGCATTGCATTGCTGGTCCCCAYCTCTCCCGGTGAATGCAAAAGCCATATTCAGCATAAATAGCATGCTTATTTTACGTAACTTGAAAACTGTTCCAAAATCACACATAGCAATAGTTTTCCATATAAATAAATGTGTTCTGATATCCTTTAAAAGAGAGGTAGGATATTTAAAAATCAGTATTTCCCTGTTTTAATTCTTTCTACTTTTAAAACAATACACTTACATTATAGAATATCTGCAAAAGGCAGAAAAACTATGAAGAAGCAAAAAAAATCCCCCAAATTGTGAACTCAATGATAGTCATTATTTTATTCTTTGTTTTCCCCTCAATGCACCTTAGCAAAACTGTGATGATGCTTTGAAGGTGGCACAACAATTTTAAACAATTCACTTCACTATGATTTTATAAATATTTTCCAGGTAGTTATAATTATTTTAAAATATGATTTCTGTATTTTACAAATATTTTGACCTGTTGTCCTTTAGTTGGACATTTTGCCTTTTTCAGAGATACTTATGAATAGTTCTCCTTGATTTTAACCAAATACTCAGCTTAGGGAAAAAAAGAAAAAGGATGAGCATTAGTCCCTATATGTTGGGAAATGCAGGGTTGTGTTTAATTCTGCCTACTAAGACAGAAGATATAAGTCCAGTACCTCATAGATCACATACTTAATGTCCTTTATAGGCTCTATTTCTCCTTCTGTTACTGGTTTCATAAGAGTCAGCTAGATCCTTTAAAAAAAAAACCTCCTTAATTATTTGAATAAGTTCAAATAGGTTTCTGCTTCTTGCAACAGAGTATTGGCTACAGAGAAATAATGCTTAGTTATTTTAAATAAAATATTCATTCACTTAATAATTCAAGATTATTTTTTTGTGTTAACCATAGGTCAGGAATGGGGTCAACTTCTGGAGATAGGTTGGGGAGCAAATCATCATGAGGTTTGCACTCTTGGAGACTGTCTCTCTAAGGAGAGACGGAAAGCAAACAAGCAAGCAAATAAAAGGGCCATGATAAGTAAAAAAAGGAGATACGTACCATGAAGCATGGTTCACCCAGGAAATAACAAGGCATTTAAAATTCGGGAATGCTGAAATCAGCCTACTGGGCTCTCCGAGAAAGGCATTTCCCTATATTTCTGGGAAAAGCACCATGCCAAATGAAGGGCAAACTCTGTGCTTCACATATGTTGGACATGTGAGCTACGGATGTTATGTTGGGCAATCATAAGGCCAAGGAATCAAGACCCACAGCCTGGTCTCAGACTCACAACAGTGTTGTCTACAGCTTTTGAAAAACATTGTTTCTGCAAGACAGCAGTGGACCTCTTTCTATTTGCATTGGTTTTATAAAATTTACCCACATTCAGTCCTTTCTATTTTTGGACATGTATTACCATCCTCCTACCCTTCTTTTTGGTTGAAAGGAAAAAATTGTTTTATCTACTCCTTTTTATCATCAGCAATCACTAATTGAACCTTTATTTAGAACATAGCATTGGACAAGGTACAGACGGGAAACCATAGAATTCCTTGGTGAGGAAAATATATACATATAGCATGATAGTTTATATACATAAAAAATAACCTTCAAGTTTGGAAGTGCACTAAAATAAACTCACAGAACATACTGCGAGTCCTCAAGTGCTGGAATGTAGATTAGCAGATTGATCAGAGTGAGATGGGTTGCAAAATGTACCCGCTGTCACAAATACATTCTGCCATAAAAACCAATTAAAGAGCAAACAGGAATGAAGTACCAATTGCTCACAGTCAATTCTAATCAGACCGTTGCTTTTACTCTTGATTTATTGCCTTTTTCTGTTTTCATTTTGGATCTGGAAATGTGGCATTGTTCATTTGTGTGACAGATTCAGAAGAGGCAAATGGAAAACATCATGAGAGGAAAAAGATGCTTGAGCAGGAAGCGAGCATTTTGGAAATAAAATGTTTGCCACAGAAGACTCAGAATGTTCTTTCAGCTCTCTACCTGAATGACTAACTTCAATGTGATGAGGGTACATTTCTTTGGCTTAGATTTCCTAGCTGTAAGTCACAGAAGGTTCATAAGACTTTTCTGCTGCTTCATACCAGTGTCATGGGTGAGCAGAGGTGAAGGGCTCTCATGAGCTTTTTCTAGACTATAATTTTCACTCACTCATTCAATATTTATTGTTTCTCTGCTGTTAGCGAGTTCTTTGTTAGTGACACATAGGATATAAAAATTGTAAAACATCCTCAGTTCTCAAAGAGTTTATAACTAAGTGACAGAGGGTGCTTGTTATTACTCATAGGGTGGAATACGAGCCTTCTTTCTCCTCGCCTACATGCTCTAGTTCCTATCTGCCTTACCATGTACTGCAGTCCTTTGTGTTTGCCTCTTCTCACTAGTTGGAAAATTCTGTGTTCAATTAACATTCATGCACCCTTCAGTTAAAGGTCACTTGTCACTTTATTGGAGAGGTTAGCCTCAATAAGCTGTTAGTGCAGTATGCCTGTCTATTGCATTGATGGCTGTTGCAATTTTATATCAATCTGGGAGGCTTATTTGATTAATGTCTGTCTCTCAGACATTTGTCCCTTTTGCTCATTATTATACCAGCACAAAGTATGGGGCTTAGCATGGCCCACAGGTTCTTAAAAACTTAGTTGTGTAGATAAATGGAGAGATGGATGAATASATAGAGGAATGAATGAATGAACAAATGAAGAATAAGAATATAACAAGTAAAATACCATTATGATTTAGATGAAAAAAGAARGAAGAAAAATAACATTTATTGTCCACCTGTAATATGTCCTGTGCTTAACACTTGGGGAATCAGAAAAGGTTTCAGGGATGTGATGGTACTTAAATTGGGTCCTTAAAAACATTGTGTCTGACAATATATAGATTAGAGATGAAATTATAATTTGAGCAAAGAAGTGGCAGCAAAAATTTCAGAGGGTGTATAGAGAACAATTAACATTAATTTAGGCTCATGTATTTTTGCAATTTCCAACATATACTGTTTCYTCTTAAAGCTAAGGGAGTTTGTATATTAAAATAGATTTTCTTTAAATGTGATGTCATTTGTGTTTGAAATATAGACTGTATATTAAAATACATGTATACATGTATACATGCATACACACAAACATATACATAATTTTTACTTTTATGCCATTATTTAGAAGTTCATACAGTTCATTGTAACTCACAGTTGGTCTTTTCTCCAATTTCATTCTCCCTATAATTTGTATAATATGAATAACATGAGATATGGTCTAGTTAAAAAGCCCTGACTTTGACTGCAAATTAGTACACCATGCTTCATACCATGCTTCAGTCTAAATTGACCAAATTACCATATCTAGAACTCTAGCAATAACAGCTAACCATGGACCTAAAAGCAAGAGAATTAGGAAAAAAACAATTGATCTTTCTACCTGGTCCTACTTTGTTCATGTTGATATATGCTTAGTTGTGTAGATAAATGGAGAGATGGAAAGCAGTATAGAGATTCCTCAAAAAAACAGGAATGGAACCACCATATGACATAGCTGTCTCATTCCCTGGTACTTATTTAAAAGAATTAAAATCAGAATACTATGGTGAAACACATCAACCTTTATAGCGATGCAACTCACAATAGTCAAGATACGGAACCAACCAGGTGCCCGTCATTAGATGAATGGATTAAGAAAATGTGGTATATACAGAATGGAGCTTTACTCAGCCATTAAGAAGAATGAAATTATGGCATTTGCTGGTAAACAAATGGAAGTGGAGACTATCATGCTAAGTAAAATAAACCAGACTCAGAAAGTCAAGGGTCCAATGTTTTCTCTCATATGTGGAAAACTAAAGCAAAATAAGGAGAAAAGCAAGGGTTGGGAGTTGGAAATCTTAAAGACAGAGGGAAGACCAGTAGAGCAGAAGGAGAGGGGGAGAGAAGGGAATGGAAAGGGGGGGGGGAATGCAGAATAAATTCAACAAAATTACACTATGTGCATGTATAAATATTCCACAGGGAAATTCACTTTAATGTATAACTATAAAGCACCAATTAAAAGTATATAAATGAATGGAAGGAAGAGTAGAAAAAGAGGAATGGGGAGAAATGAGGAAAGGGAAAGGGGGCATTGGGGACTGAAATGGAGTAAATTAAATTCCGTGCATGTATAATTGTCAAAATGAACCCAACTATTATATGCAACTATAATGCACCAATAAAAGCAAAAAATTAAAAAAATTTCTGACTTTAGTATTCCATGTTTCTAAGTTAAAGTTTAGCTGAATATGTTTTTTTAGATATGAATTGTGGACAATCTYATCTTTCTGAGACTCAATTTTTCCACCTATAAAATGAAGAGAAAAATACCTCTTGCATAAAAGCACTTTGTCAATGATGTGTGTGTGTATAAAAAAATATATATATACTTCTTTTGCCCTCATATATATATTTATATATATATATCCCGGAAGATAGTACTGCACTCTTATGTGATACATACTGTTTTTTCTTTAGGATCTCTTGTACTAATMAAAAGTTCTTCAGTGATCACATATTGTTTTTACATTTTAAAAGTTATAATTTAAAAATCCCTTTGTGATGCTAAAGCATTACAAATTGCTGCAGAACTCAACCGCATTTTTGTTTTTTATTATTTGTGATCTCTAGTTATTTGATGTATATATTATTGCCTAATTCCAGTCCAAACCTGGCTTGTGAATCCCTTAGTAGAAAGAGCCTTTGCTCCTACTTACATTTTTAAAAAATATTTGGCCTAATAGTGTGCCAACAGCAGGTGCATAATGAATGCTTGTTGAAATGAATAGGTGTTATAGAAAAATCTCTTAGCAAAACCATTTGGGAAAAGCAGCTGCAGGGGCAGCCACAGCATTCAAGTTAAGCATCTTGGCTACCATGCCTGGTCAGGRCAGGTGGGCAACTCAAGGCTTTGCTGGCAGGAGCACAGCAGYCCTGGTTACTGTCTTCATCTTCTGCCAGCTCAGCTGCTCAGGGTTGTCAGGAGTGTGCAGCTGAATGCCTGGAAAATGTCATAGTTTCTTGAAGGAATTTCCTTTAGGCTGATCTGACCTMGATTATTCTGTTATTTTTCTGTGAACAGTTGGGCCATTTAGGGCTTATTTCATAATACATAATTGCATTAGCTTCCCATTGTGGCTGTAACAAATTACCACAAGCTTTGTGGCTTAAAACACAGATTTATTATCTTGCAGTTCTGATTGTCAGAAGTCTAAATGGGAGTGGAAGGATAGCATTCCTTCTGGAGGCCCCAGGGATGCTCCATTTCCTTGTCTTTTCCAGCTTCTAGAGGTGCTGGTTTTCTTTGGCTCGTGGCCTGCATCATGCTGACCTCTGCTTCTGCCATCTCATCTCCTTCTCTGCCTCTGAATCCCTTAGGCTTTTCTTCACTTATAAGGCCTTACGATTACATTGAGCCCACCTGCATAATGCAGGATAATTTCCCCTTGGTAAAAATCCCTAATCATACCTGTGAAGTCTCTTTACATATAGGGTGACATATTCACAGGTTCCAGGGAGTAGATGCAAACATCTTTGTGGAGGAAGCATTATTCTCCCTGCCACAAAAACTTACTTATCACCACAACCATTGTGAATTCATATTTATTCACAAAAATTAGGCAAAACCTGGGGAAGAGTCCATGTTTACTTRTGAACATGAAGACAAAGCATTTGTCTTGCACTTATTGTCTACCTTTGTGCAGAAGCACAGAGTACCGTAGGCTGGTTTGTACAACGGCAGTTTCCTGAAAATTTTTATTGCCGGGGAAGATTGTTAGGATACAGTTTTCCCTGTCTTGTTATATTAGCAGTAATGTGATCATTCACTCACCTCTTTCTGTTTCTTGCCCCGCAGAGCCACATTGCTGGTGTTGCTGCTCTCCCTCAGGGAGTCTAAGCTGTCTCCGTACAGCAGCTTAATGGCCCTGACCAGCCGGGCACAGGAGCGGCTGTGGTGCAGATAGCAGTGTGGATGACAGTAGTCCACATGTGTGCAGATGAAACTCTGTTGATTGCATAGCAAGATCATGACCTGGAACACAAACACCCCTGAGACTCAACCAGGCAACCAGGGTAAGGACAAAYTGAACGTCTATGTGTTGTGAAAAATGGCAAGTCAGAATGTCAACTTCTCATAATGGGTCTTGAAATTACAGTGATTCAGTAATTCCCAGAGAGCAAAAGAGTTATGAGTCTTTGTYCATCTTGGCATTTGCACTTTCTTCATAAATGCTTGATAAAAGGATTTTTTTTTTGGAAACAAGAATTAACAGATGTTCAAAACTCAATTATTGTGAAGCGTATGGTTTCTAAACACTTTTAAATGGAAATTCGGAACTAAAAAAGACTCCACACATCACCCTGGTCCCCAGCTCTTCTGTCATGGTAGGAGCCAGCTGAAAGAGCACACATTGGTAAAAAGTTTAGTCCCAGAGGATCTGGCTGGCCTTTGATAGCTGTGGGATGCTTTTAACTCCCAGATCTGCATCTTCCACTCTGACTGAAAACCTTGAACTAGAACTTGAACCCCACTCTAGAGCCTCATTTCTTCTCTCTTCTAAATGATTTCTCCCCGCCCTCTGGCTATTAGTCCATCCTCGCTTAATTTTGCTTAGATCCTTACATTTCCTAGAATTCCCCTCAGAGATTCCAGAAGCAAACTCAGTTGATTTAAAGGATATGGCTATTTTAAGATCAGAAATAAAGGACCTAGAAGTTGTAATTATTTTTTCAGTTCTGGAGATAGAACCCAAGGCCTTGGACATGTTAAGCACATGTTCTACCACTGAGCTATACCCTCAACTCTGAGTTTGTAACTTTTCGTGTGTGTGTGAGAGTGTCTGTGTGTGTGTGTGTGTGTGTGTGTGTGTGTGTGTATTGCTAGGGATCAAACCCAAGATCTTGCACCTGCTAGACAAGTGATCTACCACTGAGCTACATCCCTAACTTGTGAGTCTGTAACTTTTTAAGCATCCTTGCTAAAAAGGCGGTAGCCTACCCAGAACCTTAAGGTTAGTCAAATGTACATAGAATAATCTTCTGAATATTTCTAATTTTCATCAAACTAGTTCCTGCCTAGCTTGTTAGGGACTGTGTGCCAAACTGAATGAAGAAAACAAATCAAGTCTATATGGATAAATCCAATCAAACCTGCCAAAGCAGGAGTACCACACATTTCCTTAGGAACAAGGCTCCTTACTTATTCTGAAACAAAAAGAAGCAAAAACAATCAACTCCATATTCCCGTCAAACTCAGCTAACAATAGCCCATACCCTCTCATAATTTTCAACAAAAGTAGGGGTGTCTTTGAAGAACATCTTGCTCTATCAAGATTCTTTATTCTGGTATGAGGCAAGGCACACTTAAGAGCTATAAGGACTCCCCTGTAACTCCTAAATCTGGTTGATCAAGAGAAACACCAAGAATGCTTAGTGAAAAAGCAAATAAAGCAAATAAACACACAAATGAACATATTACTAGACTTTGCCTCAAGAAAATATGCTTTGGTAGTTCTGAAATTAGAGATGATCTAGAAATCTAAAATTTAAAATTCTGCCCAGTGATATCACTTTGACAGATATATTTCTGTAAAGATCTCCAGTGATCCACACCTTCTGGTATGTAGGCATTTGTAAAGCCTTCTCTCACTGAGGAAGTGTTGTCCTAGTGTCTGGCTTTCAACCAGTAGAACACAGACAGCAAAGGTGATAGGGCCCCTTTTCTGACCAGGTTGAATAAGACTGTGACTTCTCGCTTATCAGTAGATATCTTTGATGAAGCAAGTTGTCATGTTATATGGGCCCACATAGTAAGGAAATGAGGGTGGCCTCTCACCAACAGTTGACTGGATACTGAAGGATCCTGCCCCACAGGTCTCAAGGAACTGTAATTTTGCTACAATCATGTGAGTCTAGAAGCAAATTCTTTCTCAATCCAGTCATCAAATAACACCCCAGTCCTGGCCAATACTTTAAATGCAGACATGTGAGAGATCTTGAAATGGAGACACAGCTAAGTTGGGCCAGGATTCCTGACCCACAAAAATGGTAAGATAATATGGACTATTTTAAGCCACAAGTTTGTGGTAATCTGTTATGCAGCAATAGAAAATGAGTATGTTCCCCTTCCACCAAAATTAAGTAGCTTATAGTTACTATTGAACAATAAGGCCACATATAATTCTATACATACACACATGCACATTATGTACACTCACACACACACACACACACACACACACACACACACACATACGGCTGAATGCATAAGATAGTGAAAGAGTTGGGACATGAAGGGTATGATGTGGGGAGAAAGGACATTCACCGAATGAGAACAATGTGAACACATGCCGCATTTCTCCTTGGGACATTTCCTACTTCTTAGTTATGCATAAATAGCCAAGGAGGCTGGCAAAACTTTCAGCAATCACATATCACATGGCTGAGAGTAAAAAAAAAAAAAAGTCTAGAATTGTGAAAGGAGGGATAAATTGAGAGGCCAAGATCCTGTAGAGAAAGAAAGTCCAAAGAATTCAGATTGAAACTGAGTGACTATTTTCCCTTCTAGGCATTTGCTGATTGAATAGCTAAGAATCCCAGCAGAGTCACCTGAGAACTAGAGTGGCGATTTTGCAATTTCACTTTAATGGGGAAATGATGATTGGGGTTCCTGACCCCAAAAGAATGAAGAGCCCCCACTGGGAACCTTGGAAGACTTAAAACTAAAACATATGTGAGTGGGGTGATGAGGATGACCAGTGGCAGACCAGAAAACCAAGTCAAGTCAGCTTAGTTCCTGATTAGACTGAGACAATCTGCTTGCTTATTGTCTGCTAGAGGATAAGGAGAATCCTCTCTGGAGGGAGATAACATCATGTGGAGTATCCATAATTATTTTAAATTAATTAACTTAATATTTTAGAGAAGTTTGGAGTTCACAGAAAAATTGAACAGAAAGTGCAGAGAGCTCCCATATATCTACTGTGCCTACACCTGTACAACCTCCCCCACTATCAACGACTTGCACCAGAGTGGAACACTTTCTACAAATAATTGAACCTACAGACACGCAAAGTCCATCATTTACATTAGGGTTTGCTCCGAGTGCCGTACACTCTATGGGTTTTGCCAAATGTATTATAATAYGTATCCACCTCTGTGCCTCTACAATTTTTAATTTCCATGTCTAGTTAGTTAATAAAATGATTAGGCATATTAAGGAACAGAGCAAGAAAAGTAAAAGTAGATTCATATAMTGGAATTATCAGCCATAAACTTAAATATGTGTGGACAATTATGAATAAACCACATTGGAAATTTTTTTAAAAATTTAACTTCATGATAATGAAAACATGATATACCAAACCTTGTATGAAACAGCTAAAGTGCCTAAAGAACATTTGTATCCTTAAATTAATGAATTAGCAAAGTGGTTTCAAATTACAAACAAAGGTCAAGAAGTTAAGGAAAGAAGAATAAACTCAAAGAAAGTGGAAAAAAGCAATAAAAGTAATAACAGGAGTTAATAAAATAAGAAATCCAATATTTGCAAAGTGAGAAAACCAAAATCTGGTTCTTTGAAAAGACTAATAAAATTCAAAGACYAACAAAATCTTCTATCAAGACTGATCAKAAAATGAGAGAAGAAAACCTACCAGAATCAGAAATGTAAAGGTACAGTACCATATATGCTATAAATTTTAAATGACCTAAAAGAATATTATAAACAACTATCTTTCCTGCTAATAAATGTCAATATTCAGTTAAGTGAAGAAAATATTTAGGTAAAAATATCAATTTACCTGGATTGCTTGTGGAAGAAATAGAAATATTACATAAATTGAATCTATAATTTAAAAACTCTTCTACAAAGTAATTTTTTAGATCTAGAAGGCTTCCCCAATGATTTCTTCCAAATATTTAAAACAATAAATAGCACCGGCTTTACACCAACACTTCCAGAGTGCTTATGTGTAGAAAACCACACAGAAAACTAAAGAACCTTATTAAAGGAGATATATATATATATATATATATATATATATATATATATATATGGTCTTAAGCAAATATTAAGGGATATTTAAGAGGTCTTAAGCAAATGCAGGGACATACATTAATGGAGTGAGAGACTATTTTAGATATTGGAAAGTTTAATAACATAAGATTTCAATTCCTCAATCTTAATTGATCTATCTACTAAATGAAGGCTGCTTTAGAAGTTTTTAAAATGGAAATTGATAAGGTAATTTTAAATGGAAACACTCTAGCTAAGAATAGCCCAAACCATTCTGAAGAAGAACAAAGTTGGAGGACTATGTAAGTAATTGTATAAATGTTTGTATAAGCAAAATGAACCAGACACAACAGACAAGAGAGTATATGATTACATTTATGTGCATTTTAAGAACACACAAAACTAGTCACTGATGTTAGAAGGCTGAATGATGGTTTCTGTGAGGAGGTAGTGGTGATTGATGGAGGAACTATGTACGGTTTCTAAGGTATTGATAATGTTCTTCTCAACTTGGAGTGGTTATACAGGTGTATTTACTTTGTGAAAACGTATTGAGCTATATTCATAAGCTTTATATGCTTCCCAAAATGCAGGTTATATTTTACTAAATTAAAAAAAAATCTGCCTTAGAGATTTTCAAATTCAGCAATTTCTGGGGACTACATCCATAGTGARTGCACAACACTGTATAATAGGAGGAGTATATGTACTAGCTAGCACTTATCTGATCCTTCCAGAAAGTTAGATGAAAATCATAGTTGAGAGTGGCAGTGCCCATCTATGAAAAACAATGATGCTGCACGTACCCTGCTAATCTTAATTCTGAGGATCTACTTCTTTACCTTTCTCTTTACTTCTTGCTTCATGCCCGGCTCAAATCTTGAACTCCAGCTTTTGCTCATGGTTTTCTTGGAATCCTGTCCTGCCTGTGCCCTCTGGATATTCCTTTGAGGTGTCACCTTATCTTGTTAGAATCTCCTTTTCTTTGCTACAATTTGATCTAATACAGACCAAGACTGACACCACAATCTGGCTCTCCCGTTCCTAGTAATCTCTGACCACGATGCCTTGCCTGCGTCGCTCAGGTTGCCTTGATCACCAACCTGGACGTGTCCCTCACAGTTTTTCCTAATTTATGATGACCCAAAAGCCATCCATAACAAAAGTTATGGTCKTAGTTAAACTTCAAATGAATACAATCCAAAAGCAGAATACCATATTGAGAGAGTCAGATAAAATATAAACCTTTACCTTCTCTGGGAGGCTAAGTTGGGTTGATGGTTTTGGTAAGATATTTTGTCTTCTCTCCATGGGTCTCCCCAAGGCCAAAAGAAATCAATCCCAGGGCTCTTTCTGAGTTTACATAATCTTCCTACTTACGTGAAGCCAGGACATGTTCCTGTGGTAGTTCTCCTCGGTGCCAGCAGTGCTCATTCCCTCTGGCTCAATGCTGGGCTCACTTGCACTCCAAGGACTCCCTTCTTCAAAAGAAAACACCAAGAAAGGTCTCAGCATTCAGTCTCCCTGGAGAGCATGTTGGTGTGGTACAGTTGTCCATGCTTTTGAATCCTAGGGCAGACTACCATGGCCCAGTGGGTTAGGGCATAGGACTTTGTTGGAAGAATATTAATAGGAGCTGTTACTTTCAACCACCAGCTGAACTGGCAATTTCAAAGACATTGATGATCTCTTTAATGGTGGCTTCCATTCTGAGAGATGGGAGCAGAGAGAAAAAGAGTCAAGTCCTTGAATTGCTGAGATAAGCCAGTTACAGGTTGAGTGTGTCCAAATCCACTCCAGAATGACCAGGCCTTACAGGTGTAGTTACACAGGGACACCAGCTGGTCTGCAGTGGCCTGGCAGAGTGCTGCTGCCTCCACTGTGGTTGTGACTGCAGCTCCTGCTACTGCTCTAGCAACTGGGCTTTGCCATCAGAGCTATTCAAAGATGAGTGGGTGCCCTAGAAAAACTAAGGGAATTTGAAAGCAATGATGTCCAATTATGGACCACCCTGGCTCCCTCTCTATGACAAAGTATAAAGAAGCTATCTCTTTGGAAATCACTACTTAGTATTTTACATGCAAAGCTTTGCCCTCAAATCTAAAAGCTTTTATAAATCTTTCTGATGACCAAACAATGTCCCCAGCCTGGCTGCTTTGACTCGACTGGCCAGAATAAGTAGATCAATTCACACAATTAATTTCAATAATCCCCCCCAAACTAAGTGATAAGGATGTTATAGTTCAGCCCTGTAACAACAGAAGTCACAAAGATTTTTTTTTCTATTGTCTCCTTGAAAAATAGGCTGAATCTTAAGTGACGCATAAATTAGCTATTTTCAAAGGTTAGGGTGGGTGGATGTAAAAACATTTCCTAATTTAAACTTTCTTTGATTAGATACACTCAGTTTCTATTTCAGCAGATTCTATCAATCATTTATCTATATGTATTGCTGACTTGAAACTAGATCTGAATGGCAAAGAGAATGTGCTTCAATATTTACCTAATCATGCTGGGCAGGTTATCCTCATTCCTACTTAAGCATTTTCTTGTCTATTAACAGATGCTAATCAGGGTCCATATTTTGGACTAATACATTTTGGAATCTGGAATCTCTTTAGATCCTACAGTCCCTGCACACCCCGCTCCTCTATGTTACCTAGGTCAGTGACAGTGTCCCTGTCACTGATCTAGGTGACAATCTACAACACCACCAGTGTTTTGTATATAGAACTCATTCTCATAATTTAACACATTTTACAACCATCCCCTAATTTACCTTTAAAACATCCCTGCAGAGTAGGCAAGGAGTGAGTAGAATTAATTCCCATTGGATAGTTGGAGAAGACAAGTCCCTGTGAAGTTAAGTGWCTTACTAAGAATCCCTAATTATCAGATCTAGATTTTCTATCCTTTCTGATTTAAAAAAAAAAACTGTTAACTAGAAACTTCAAAATATAGAGGTCCTTTAGGTAACTGTTCCTGTGGGAATTCTACATTTGATTTTGAAGGTCCTATCAGAAGGATGGATACACTGACATCTGGATTTGTAAAACTGCCTTTGTCACTGAAGTGTTTTCTTTCCCTAATGTATTTTCCATCCCTGTTGCTCAAAATGGGGTCCTAGAATCATCAGCGTCAACTTCAGCAGGAAGCTTGTTAAAAACAGAGAATCTCAGACCCCCGCCCCATCTGCTGAATCAGAACCTGCACTTTAATAAGACATCCAGGTGACCTTTGTGCTCCCTAAGGTTTGAGCAGCCTGCTGGAGGGGTAGAAGACTTTTAGACAGAAGGAGTTGTCTAGCCTGTGGCTTTGCTTTTCATCTATTTATGTGTAAGAAAACGGACTTCAGCTGTTTCAGGACTTGGGTCCTGTCTTCCTACCCCCCACGTCCCTGCACACCCCGCTCCTCTATGTTACCTAGGTCAGTGACAGTGTCCCTGCTCTGGGACAGCTGCAGCTCCTCAGCCTCAGACTCTGAGTCCTGACGTGATAACTTGCTGCTCTTTAAGCTGCCGACTCGGCGAATGCTGGACAAGGAACCCCCCTTCTTCACCTGGAAACTGCGGGTTCCTTTAATCTGGAGCAGGCGAGAACCTCCTATCCTGATCTTCCTGCTGGGAACTGTATTAAAAGAATAAAATAGGGCTTTCCCCCCCTTAGTTTTCCCCAGCCAATATTAGATCCAAACTCTCCCCAACCTGTCCCTGATCAGCCTCCTCTCTGTTGCCTGGACAAGCAGCATTTCTGGGTAGGAAGCTTCTCCTGGACCCCCAGGCACCAGGCTCTGTCAGGCAGGCAGGAGGCTGGGGCCACCAGGAAGTGTCTTTCTTGGTCACAAAGGGCTGGGAACAACCTACAGTCTTTCTGGCCCAGGGTTCACAAGCATGAGTGTGTCTTGCAGCAACATCATCTAGGACTGTTAGTACATTTACAGTGCATCATGACTTGATTCACTAGAACCACAAACCATTCGTTTTTGTTTTTCTTTTGAAATGGGACTTACAGAATTCTGTGAAGTGCCACCCTTTCTTTTTGGAATACCTCCTTAAGAGAAAACAAAAAAACAAAAACGAGAGGCACTCCTCTTTCCAACAGTCAGCCCTGGGTYCTGCCTGGCTCCTCAGCAAAGGCGCTCGGGATTTATTAGCATAGGGGTGCTTCGGGTGAGCATGCATGTGACATGGGTCCATTTTCAATGCATCTAGTGATTTCATAGCATCCTCCTCTCAATCAAAAGGCTGGTGAGATGTGAGTCCAAATGTTGCAWGGCCTTGAGCCAACCTTACAGTTTATGTGTACCAAGAAGGCATGCATTATTCATCTTTAGTGTTCTGGAAGAAATAGTCATCAGTGGGAGAAATAAAAGGGTAAAAGAAAATACATTCAAACTTGAAACCTAGTATTTTAAAAATCAAAAGTATCCTTAGTTTCCATAGTCATATACATACCTCCTTCCTTTTTTTATTTTTATTTTTGAAGATTTGCTGTTGTCAATATTGATTTTATAAAAGTAGGATAAAAAAAGTTTTAAAAGTTAAAAATTCATTATCAGGAAGGGGCCAGTTTTATAAGCTTACCTTCTTAAGGCAGGAACAATATTTCTTACTAATTATTTAAGGCATCATTATGAATGTTTTTTGAAGCATCATTATTGATATTTTTTTGAAGCTCCAATCAGGAAGTTTACATTTTAGTTTCAGGTTTCTCACCCAAAGGAGTGTTAACATGTGACTAATAGAATTTGTATAATTTTTTAAAATATTAGTTAAATGTATACTTTCCATGCCACATAAAGGAACCCAGAAGATTTCCTGATGAACAACGTGAATGTTTCATATCCAGTTTACTCTTAAGATTAAGAAAGACTAAAATTGTCACCACTCAGCTAGTAAAAGCTTCATGGAGCTCCCTGAATGAAACTGGAGAGAATTTCACATCTGGAAGGAATCTCTCGCAGCACTGCTGGATAAATTCCATAAAAACTATAGACCATAATGCTGTATTTTAATTATAGCACAACTCACACAACAGTATTTTTCAGTATTATTTTTAGGCTTAATTGAGACTTTATGATGCATTTGAAATATGTTTGAAACAGAATGTAATTATCACTCTTATGATTGCTAGAGCAATTTCATGTCTCTGCAGATTGAGAAGTAGAGAAAAAGATTAAAATGATAATTTTTTGGTTTTAACAGAAGCACATACTAACATTCTTTGCCTGATTTTATGATACTTTTCAGCCAATGAATGAGGCCAAATAATTTCAAATTAATGTCATCTGAAAGAGATTTAATGTTGAGAGTTTGTTCTAACACTGAAGATAATTGGAGACATCCTGTAACACTAAAAAATTAGGGTTCAGAATTATGATGTTGGCTATTTACAAGGGACACAGCAGTTAGAATCCAGATTTGGTTTTATACATGAAAAATGTCATCTGAGATTGTTCCGTATTGAATTTTAGCCTTTATCTCCATGACAACAAGAACTTGTATGAAAGCAAAACAAATTCATCTAAACTGGATAACATATCTCCTTTACCCATTTCTCTCACCCCACACTGTATTCATTAGCCAAACCTGCTTTCTCTGTGCTTCAAAAATATCATAGATTTTTGAAAGCTCCATCACATCTTCCCTGGATTAATGTAACTAAAACTGCTTTACCTTTCCCCCACTCCAATAGGTCTCTTCTTATTTAAAATACATAAATTAAAAATACATACCTTATATCACCTTTATGGTCAAACATGCTAACAATATTCTAACACATTTAAAATAGAATTAAAGTTCTAACCATATCTACCAGAGCCTATTTACCCTTTGCCTAACATCCCGACTCAATCTCCTACGACACTTTTCCCCAACTCATTCTTTTGTAACCATGGTGGTCTTTTTCCCCTTCTTCAAATGCTCCAAGTTCATTCCTGCATCACAACCTTGTCCTTGTGGTTGCCTCTGTTCAGAACACTCTTTCCTCAGCACTTGGCTTTTTGATGCATGCAGGTCTCTCTGCTCAGTGTCAATTTTGATGGACTACTCTATGTCCTTCCTACTCTATGTCACAAAACCTGGTCCTAATTTACTTTTCTTCAGATAGTTTTTTCTCCACTAGAAAATCTAGTATTTCMTGGTATTCACTGTTACATAAATAACTGTTGTCAACTATTAAACAATATAAATAAAAATATGTGGAAAATTTTTTGTTCATTGCTGTATTCTGAGAATCTGTAACAGTTCCTAGCTCAGCGGATAGGTGTTGCATGATGAGACTAGTCTTGGTGTCAGTATTGGGAATACTAGTCTTAGTTCATCTTTGGAATATGGGTAAAATGATTTGTCAGACTCTGCATGGACATTTTGGCAGATATTTTCAKTTCTAAGGATTAGTTCACATTTGTTCTTCCTTGGTAAAATCTGAATTGTCTTCAGGTTGTTTATTTCAGGAGTTGACTTTTTAAAAAAAAATAAAAACAGATGGTGTGAAAAATTTTTAAATGTTTTAATAATCATAGTTCGCAGAGCCCGATGTCACCATTTTTATGTTGGCTCCCATAACTGATATCAGCTTGTTAAATGGYTTAGGGAATATGTAGAAATCTTTGAGAAGATGTTTGCTCACTGATTAAGGACATTTTCCATAAAATATGTTCTTGTTTTATTTATAGTTTCTGTTTTCTGTTAATTCATTAAACAACTTCCATATAATAACATAGCCATTCTGTGAGGAGAAAAAATATGAAGCATTTCAGTGTTTGAAAATTAAAGGCAATTTACATAACTAATAATCATGAAATTAAAATGGCCTTAAAATTAATCATATTTCATTTTTTAATGATGCAGAATTTACTTTGTTCAAATTTAACTATGTCAGTATTTGAAATTTTTATTTGACTACTTCAAATAATAATTAGCACTATAACTTTGGGGTCTTGCTTTTTAATTAAAATACCTTTGGATGTGTTTCAAAAACTGGGGATTATCCCTCTGTTGAGTTGATATTTCTACATACTAAAGAATTGCTCAAGACTTGGCTTATCCTTCCTACAAATGACCTCTGTTCACCATAAATTGAACTTGAAATGTTCCATTTTTTCCCTCAATGTATGTCCATTCCTTGCAGGATTTTAAATATTTTGGTTTTTTCTCTATATGGGAGCATTCCTTCTGAGAATCGTTCATTCATTTAGTTAATCAAACATGCATTGAGCCATTGTCTATAGGACACTAGAAATATATCAATGCATAAACTCAGTATCGATTTTTGTAACAAGAGTATAGATGCTCTTTAAATTGAAATTCTTTATAAAAAGCACTGAAGGGCAATGAAATTTAAAAAACAGCAAAATCAAAGAGTGAAGTTGACAGTTCAGGGGGCTTTAGAGAATGAAATAAGACTTTGCAATCTTCAGTGCATAGTTAGGATTTTCTGTATGGGTTCTAATCTATGTGTTTATGACCAAAAAAAAAAAAAAACCTAAAAAACCAGAATGGCAGCAGTTATTTATTGTGTATTTACTATCTGCCAGGAACTAAGTTTATGCTTTACTTATTTAAAGCTATAAGCATCACACCACAGAAGGTGCTATTAGCCCAATATTATAGAAAAGAAAACTACAACTTAAAAGGTAAGTAACTTAGACGAGGTCCCACAGAAAGTTACTGTATTTCACCCATTTTAAGATGCACATCTTTCCACATTTTTAATGTATTTGAAATTGGGATATGCCATACAACTGATATGAACACTACTACCAGCTGGCAGTAGTGATGTATTTGCTATTGCTTACATCCATGTGAACATATAAAACATCAGCGGCCAAATGTACAGATGGATACCAATATCTTTTAGTTCAAGGAGCTAAGTGGTAGCAAGGATTGAAAGAGGGGTGAGGTATTAAATTGGGGGTGTTTAGCAACAATCTTGAAGAGGGATTGAAAGTAGGCTAGCTTAATGCCAGTGCAAAGTTGGCTTAAATAACTAGCACAAACAGCTTTACTTCTTTTATGGAACTGTTTCAGAAATTATGTTATCACTAACATTCTGATGGCACAGAGGACATTATTCTATGGAAAAACATGGACACTGGCAACTCTGAGTTGAAAATGGTTTAGAAAAGCTTTAACTAGTCTAGGTTAGTTATGCTTTTATTTTTTGGCTGCACAAGAATGAACTATAATAATAAAACTCTGCATCTAGTTAAGTCTGAAAGTCCTCTCTCAATAAGAATAAAGCACAAAGTTATAATATTGCAGAAGAATTGAATTGGAAGTATTTTTTCTCTCTTATTGGTAAATAAAATAATGGTTCATCTTAAATCTGACGGCATCTTAGATTCAATGGAGAACTGCCAAGCTGGAGCTAGAATTCAGATCCCTCTGAATACAAGTCCGACTTCTGACTAGTATAGTTTCTACCTGGTTGAGTCTACAAACTCAGTGCTGTACAGAGCCAACAATTTGAACAAACAGATATAGTTTTAGACATTAGACCATGAGAAACCATGAACCTTGCAATAATCCTTGCTTTTCCATACCTTTCTTCTCTTCCAACCCTGTGTCTGATTTGAGGGTGTGGCTGCTGCTATGGAGAGAATCTTTTGAATCTTCATTTTCATCCAGGACCCCTGCGAAGCTGATCTTCCTTTCATATCTGTGCCGGTCCAACTCAGGATCCAGACGAAGTCTGCAGCTCTCCAAGTCCTGAAATGTCAGTGAGGAGCACGTGCGTGCTGGTATCTCCCAGYGCTGCATTGGTCTTGTGGCAAGCCTCCCTCGAATCCCACACAACTGCATTCAAACAACCAAATTCTTTTGTCTATTGCTAATTTTAGATTATGGCCATGAAAAACTATGTTCGAATTGGAAAATAAATAACATCTTCCTTAACTTGTAGTTTTCCTCTTCTTTCGTGTTTATGTTCCCAAAACAGACTTTGTCCCAAATCTAGAACTTACTTCCTTACCCTCTAATTCTTTGTCCATAGTTGTAGCTGCATCATTGGCGTTTATCTATTTATAAATCACTCACTGAGTATGAATGTGTTAGATACTGCATGATAGATGAGAAATGGTTCTTTCCCTAAAGGAACTCAGAATTCTGAAAAAAGGAGGGGTAGGAAAGAGCAGAAGTACTTTGAATTAGACAAAGGGAAGGGATGGGGGATGGGAATAGGAAAGACAGTGAAATAAATTGGACAGAATTTTCCTATGTTTATATATGAATACATGATGCATATAATTCCACATCATGTACAACCACAAGAATGGGAAGTCATACTCCATGTGTGTATGTCAAAATACATTCTACTTTCATGAATAACTAAAGTTGAAMAAATAAAAATTTTTTWAAAATGTGAAGACATCAATGAAAAATTTCGAGACTGAGAGATAGAGCAGGGTCTTAGAAGTCAGACTTGGAGACTGTGGTTGGCAGAACAATGGCCCTCAAAGATGTCCACATCCTAATCCCTGGGATCTGAAAATGCKTTTCCTTACATGGCAACAGGGACTTTATTTATAGGTGTAATTAAGGTTAACATCTTAATATGGAAGATTATCCTGCATAAGCTAAATGTGCTCAATTTAATTTCAAGAATATTTAAAGGTAGAGGACCTTTCCAGGTTGTGGTCAAGGAAAAGTATCAGATGTTGTTTGTGGCTTTGAAGATGGAGGAAGGGGACACAAGTTAAGGAATGCAGGTGGCCTCTTTAAGAGGGGAAAAAAGGTAAGGAAGGAGATTCTTCCTTAGTGCCCCAAATAGGAAGGCAAACTTACCAGTACCTTAAAGTTAGCCTAGCAAACTGACCTGCAGAACTAAGAAAATATGTTTGTACTGTTGTGAACAACTACATTTGTAGCAGTTTGTTATATCAAAACCAAAAAAAAAAAATGACTATGGAGGTGATGTTCAAGTTAAATTTTGTGGATTATGTACCGTTGCTTGTACTGGTGCGAGAAAGTCAATTTAGGTTTAAGAAACATCTCATGTGAGTGCCAGAAACTCAAAGCAGAATCATGCACTGGGGAATTTCTTACTCCCTTCTAGGAGGAACAAAGTAGAAGAGGAGCTCCAACTTTAGCAAAGCCAATGAACAGAATGATCCCATAACCTAAAGTAAGCAAGCCCTGGAGACTATAATCATTTAGTCGCATTTGGCCTACAAGATCCCAAATTAAAAATTTGACCTGTTTCGTGTTTAATTATTCATCTATAATAAGGAAGAATTGAAAAATAGAAAATATAAAAATGCTGGCTTTATTTTGTTCAGCATTTTTCAAAAATTATACCATAACTATTCTTCAGGATGAAGTAGATACGAGAAAAAATATTTTTAAAAATCCAGTTTGCACAAGGTTAAAATCTCATGCTTTGATTGCCAACAAGATGAGATTTTAATCCCTACATGTTGTTCTAATGTTGTTTCTTCCTTTCCTTTTGTTTAAACAACAAGTTGCACTTTGGTACTTAGAAAATTAGAGCATGACTAGGAAAATAAAGGAGCCAAATGGAATCTATTATAACATTTTAAAAAATGTTCTAGGTGTAGAATTGCTTCCCAGAAATTAATCCCTTTTAGGAAAAATAGCCTAATCTACTTTCCACTTTGGTAATAATTCTATAGAAATTAGGGAAATTACTAAAGAATTTTTTTTTTTTTACAGAAACTCTTTACTGGCTCTGACTTATTAAGAGCTCATCCATGCATTTTATGGGAATTTTTTGTTTGAATTCCAAGTTTCTTTGTCATTGGTTATTGATTTTTATTAACTCAATTGGGAAAAATTTTATTAGACCATCATCTTTATGAACAACATTCTCTGTTTTTCAAATATTCCTATGTTGTTCTCATTTGGATGACAACATTGAGAGAAAAATTTGTTCTCTTACATTATAAATATGCTGTGTTATTAATCTTGTAACAATGCTTCTTTTTCTATTTTTTGATGTATATTTTTGATGGTTTATAAACACAGTCAATAAAAATGCTAACAGAAGTTGTTTTTTGGGGGGGTGGGGGAGAAGCACACTAATTAAGTTATCTCTAGGGATCTACCTGAGAATAAAATTATTATTCATTATTATTTTACTATTCTGATATAAATTTTCTTTTCTTTTACTAGCCATTGCCTACCCATCCAGTGCCTTTTTGGATTTTTCCAACTTCTAGGAAATAATTACGGTTTAAAAAACTAATATTTTGTTCTAGTTATTATATTAAAAATTCTTTTGCTTTTTATTCTACTTCTTAGAACTTTTTCAAACAAATATTCACATGCAAATCTGATTCACACATTGGAAATCACCTTATGCATTCTATGAGAACGATTTTTTTTTTCTTGGTAGAAAGTTTGTGTTTTTGATTCTTTCCTATCCCAAAGCCTCAAATTTCAGAATAATTTTAGCTTCTCATATGATTATTATACTACCTTATATTATTCTCTACATCAAGGTAATGATTTTTAGTGCACTAAGAATGTTACTGTACTAGCAGTGTTTTGTTTAAAATTTAGCCTATTTCATTTTGGCTATAAATATGCTTAGTCTTTAAAATTACTATTCAGGACAGTTTCTTTAAAAAACTATTTAGCCTGTAAAAAAGAAGGAAATCCTGTCATATGCAACAACATGGATGAACCTTGAGGACAATATGCTGAGTAAAATAAGCCAGTTACACAAAAACAAATACTTTATGGGGCTGGGGTTGTGGCTCAGCGGTAGAGTGCTAGCCTGGCATGTTCAAGACTCTGGTTAGATCCTCAGCACCACATAAAAATAAATAAAATAAAGATATTTTGTCCAACTACAACTAAAAATTTTTTTAAAAAAATTACTATATAATTGCATTKATATGAAGTATCTAAAATAAGCAAATTTGGGGCTGGGGATGTGGCTCAAGCGGTAGTGTGCTCGCCTGGCATGAGTGGGGCACTGGGTTCGATGCTCAGCACCATATAAAAATAAAATAAAGATGCTGTGTCCACTGAAAACTAAAAAATAAATATTAAAAAATTCTCTCTCTCTCTTTCTCTTTCTCTCAAAAAATAAAAATAAAATAAAATAAGCAAATTCATAGAATCAAAAAGTAGAATGGTGGTTGCTAGGAGCAGCAGGAAAGGGAAAACAGGGAGTGACTAATGATGAGTATAAAAATTCAGAGAGATAAATATGGAGCTGGGCATGGTGGTACACACCTGTAATCCCAGTGACTCAGGAGATTGAAGCAGGGAGATCACAAGTTTGAGGCCAGCCTCAGCAATTAACAAGGTCTCAAACAATTTAGCAAGAGCTTGATTCAAAAAAAAAAAGTGCTAGGCATGTAGCTCAGTGGCAAAGCACCCCTGGGTTCAATTCCCAATACGAGAGAGAGAGAGAGAGAGAGAGAGAGAGAGAGAGAGAGAGAGAGCATTAAGAGATTTGCAGTACAACATTGTACTTACAATGCTTTTCATGCTAGGTGTTCTTGGCAAAAGTTTTTAAAAGGAAATGATTTTAAGAATTTTCATGTTGGTAAAACAGTTTTATGATACTCATTGATTTTTCTACAGTTAGAATGTGGCTTGAGTTTTCTTTGTTATCAAATATAATTAGATAGCTTAAATATGGGGGAAAAATCTTTCTCCTTTTATTTTTCAAAGAAGACATCCCAGCACAATACACAAACCTGAACAATGAGAATGTTGATGTAATGACTAAAAGACTTCTGAGATCTAGTTAAAGGTGACAAAGAAGTAAAAATTTTCCTCTGGTGACCAAATGATTACAGATCCTGTCTTAGCTTCCTTTCTTGGCATATTCTACAGATCTGCCGATTGGTTATATACTAATTTTTTTAAAGATTTGATTGACTGATTAAAAGACTGAAATTTGTCATGATGATAAGGGGCATTAAATGATAGATTTAAAGAGTTAAAGGGAGAACAAAGTAACTGAGGCAAACTAGATTCTTACATATATTTTTATCACAATGGATCAAAATGGTGACCAATAAAAATCTGAAAACTTAAAATCAAATGTACTCCATGTTTTTGTAAAGAGTTTAGTATAATTAGGGGTTGAATAACACTACACAGGCCTACAGATCAGATATTTTGTTACACTTGACTGTAATTTAAATTAAGTACATATGTTGAGGGGCCTTGATTTGACTTCATAGAGACTCAATTTCATAGTGAAAAATTAGAAAGTTAAAGATCCAGGTTAAGATGAAGTTACATTAGGGCAGTAGGAGAAATTTCCTTTTCCAATATTYAATTATGTATATTTTCACAGTTTAAGTGTGGGCCTGTTTCTGTTGAAAAAAATACATTTTACTCACAAATATTTCCAACTTGAAAACACCCATTTTATGTTTAAGCATATAAGGAAATAGACTTTTTAGAACATTGAAAAACCAAAAGGCAGAGATACAGCTCCATGATACTGGAACACTGATTCTTTTGCTCCAGAGTAGGGTGCTACCTAATTCATGCTGTGTTGGTTTAAAAAGCAGAAGTGGTGGCCRATTGTAAAATTTGCTTAAATAGAAATGCACAGGTTGCTAGTATGACCATTTTTCTGGGACAATAGAATGTGCTTTGTGTAAAGGTTTTGGGGGGGAGACTGTGTCTGTCTCCTCACTCTGGCTGGATGCTGCCTGTGATGCAAGAACCACTGGACACTTGGTGTCCACTGTGGAACTAGAGGCCAGGTTGCCCTGAGACCACTCACTCTGTGAAAACTCCTGGAGCTTTTGCATACTATATRTATCCACAGTAAAACAATATTACTCTGTAATACATGGTACATGAGTGTGTGTGTGTGTAATGTTTTCTATCCATGATCCATTAGAAATGGAACATGACAGGATATAAAAGTCAACATTCATAAATCAAATGCATTCCTATACATTGGTGATGTATACACTGAAAGAGAAATTAGGAAAACTACCCCATTCACAATAGCCTAACAAAAGAATAAAGTATTTGGGAATCAATCTAACAAAGAGGTGAAAGACCTCTACAATGAAAACTACAGAACATTTAAGAAAGAAATTAAAGAAGACTTTAGAAGATGGAAAGATCTCCCATGTTCTTGGATAGGCAGAATTAATATTGTCAAAATATCCATACTACCAAAAGCATTATAAAGATTTAATGCAATTCCTATGAAAATCTCAATGACATTCTTCATAGAAATAGAAAAAGCAATCATGAAATTCATTTGCAAAAGTAAGAGACACAGAATAGCCAAAGCATTCCTTAGCAAGAAAAATGAAGCAGGAGGCATCACAATACCAGACCTTAATGATACTACAGAGCCATAGTAACAAAAATGGCATGGTATTGGCAACAAAACAGATTCGAGGACCAATGGTACATAATAAAAGGCACAGAGACAAATCCACATAAATACAGTTATTTCATACCAAACAAAGGCATCAAAAACTATACACTGGAGAAAAGATAGCCTCTTCAACAAATGGTGCTGAGAAAACTGGAAATCTTTATGTAGCAAAATAAAATTATACCCCTATCTCTCACCCTGCAGAAAAAATAAACTCAAAGTGGATCAAGGACTTAGGCACTAGAACAGAGATCCTGCACCTAACAGAAGAAAAAGTGGGCCCAAATCTTCACCATGTTGGCTTAGGAATTGACTTTCTTAACAAGACTCCTAAAGTGCAAGAAGTAAAATCATGAATCAATAAATGGGATGGAATCAAACTAAAAACCTTCTTCACAGCAAAGAAAACAATAATGTGAATATAGGAAAAATCTTCACCATACATACCTGAAATACAGCATTAATCTTCTGGATATATAAAGAACTCAAAAAAGTTAACATCCCCCCCMAAAAAAYCCCAAATAATCCAATCAATAAATGGGCTAAGGAACTAAACAGACACTTCACAGAAGAAAAAATACAATCGATCAACAAATATACGAAAAAATGTTCAACATCAGCAATTAGAGAAGTGCAAATCAAAACTACTCTAATATTCATCTCACTCCAGTCAGAATGGCAATTACAAAGAATACAAGCAACAATAAATGTTGTCGAGGATGTGGGGAAAAAGGTACACTCATACATTGCAGGTGATACTGCAAATTGGTGCAACCACTCTGGAAAGCAGTATGAAGATTCCTCAGAAAACTTAGGATGGAACCACCATTTGACCCAGTTATCCCACTCCTCAATTTATACCCAAAGGACTTTAAATTAGCATACTATAGAGATGCAACCACATCAATGTTTATAGCAGCTCAATTCACAATAGCTAACCTATGGAATCAACCTAGGTGCCCTTCAASAGATGAATGGATAAAGAAAATGTGGTATATATACACAATGGGAATATTACTCAGCCTTAAAGAAGAATGAAATGATGGCATTTTCCAGTAAACTGGAAAATATCATGCCAAGTGAAGTGAGCCAATCCAAAAGAACCAAAAGCCAAATGTTTTCTCTGATATGTGGATGCTAATTCACAATGCAGCGGGGAGGCTAGGGAAGAATAGAGGTACTTTGGATTAGACAGAGGGGCATGAAAGGAGGGGAGGGTGTATGGAGGTAGGAATGATAGTAGAATGAATCAGACACTATCACCCTGTGTGCATAATGATTATACAACTGGTAGAACTCTTCACTATGTACAACCAGAAGAATGAAAAGCTATACTTCTTTTATGTATGATGTGTTCAAATGCATTCTACTGTCATGTATAACTAATTAGAACAAATAAAAAAAAATAACAATTTTCCAGAGTCAGGAAAAATAAAAAAGAAATGCTACATTTAATAACAATATATGAGGATGTTTAGACACTAAACACTGAAGTCTTTCAACCCATAATTTAAATGAAAATACTCATTAAAAGCACATTTCTATATAAACTTATAAATAGATGGTAGCAAAAATTTTTTTAAAAAAGAATCTTCCAGTGATTTCTGGAGAGTGTTGGCCATGACACTCCTCACAGTTAGCAAAGTAAGGGAACCTAAATGCTCTTAGATATTTCCAGCATAAATGATGGTGATCAACCATGGTGCTGTCTCTGCTGATCTCTAAGTCAACTTTGGTGTTATTATTTTAATAGAGAAGAGAACATTTATTTTTATATATGAAATTCCATGGCCGAATTTTTAAATTATGTGATGCATCTGGCCATTGGGAGTTTAAAGAAATTGTGAATACCAGAAAACTACCCATCCATCTGGCCTTTCCAGGTAGCCTGATGATTAATATACATGCTTTAACTTACCCCCAGTGGCTCAGTACGAGGTCTGGGCAGGCAAGAAAAGGTCTCTCTCAGGAAGGTGGTAATCTCCAGGAGAAGYTGACAAGCTGCCATCTTCAAGGCAAAGGGGCAGCCACATTTAGAGGGGTTCACAGTACCTAAGGAATGAAGGAGGTCTTTGATTAGAAGAGAAACCAATAACATATACAGACAGGCACGGTTTGATGGACCTAGGTACATGCATGCAAAATCAAATTTCATGAGACTGTTACCTATACAAGTTCAATCTACCAATTGCACATAATGTATGCATTGCATACACCTCTCTTCTTCACTTTGCAATTCTTTAAGGACTACTTCAGTATTAAAATATCAGACCATACTCTTATTTCTATTTAGATCAGATATCAGATTTTTTACTAAAATAGCACACAAGCAGAACTAAATTATTCATCTTAAAACCTTGTAGAGTGGGGCTGGGGTTGTGGCTCAGTGGTGGAGCACTTGCCTAGCACAAGTGAGGCACTGGGTTCATCCTCAGTACCACATTAAAAAAAAAAAAGAAAGACACTATTGTGGTTAAATAAAAAAAATTTAAAAATACCTTTTAGAGTAATAAAATATGACCCCAGTAAACTCGAAAATGTTTTAATAAAAAGAGAAATACAAAGTACTCAAACATTCAATCAGATGTAGACTATGTAAATGGCAATGAACTAGACTAAGAACTACAACAATCCTGTCAGCTCATTTTATAAAAGGATGTTAGTCTTAATGTTCTGGGGTAGTGAAGTTGTTTCCGCTCTACTCCAGTTATGTTTGTGCAACACAGACAAGAGAAAACACACTTACCAGGTCACCTATATCACATCATTATTACAAGGTAGTCTATTTTAGTAGACTACAGCTACTTTAGAAGTATGCCAAAGTTCTTTTTTGCTCTAAAGAACAGTGGATTTTAAGTTAGTAAGACATTGTATCCACCATATGCCGACTAATGGATTTTATCCACCATATGCCAAATAATGGCCATGGTGACACCATGGACACTATAAAAATTCTCTTCTCAGATATGTGTCACCACAAATCACACAGAAATGTAYTAATTAGTGTTCAGCATAAAGCCAAAAACCATGTAGTGTTCTGCCTCTTATGAAAGAAAAAAAAGTTATCTATTTTGAGTGAATCAAGAAATCAGGAAATCTCAATATCATTACATGGCAATATACTAAAAATATCTCTAAAATGTATCCTGAATGTTAAGCTTTCTTAATTAGATAGCATATAGACTTCATGATTTCTGTTGACATAGATAGAAATCATGGTCTTCTGATGATATCTGGGATATTGCTTCTTGCTGAAAACCATTATTTGCTCTCCAGAGTTAATATGCAACTGGAAACTTTGCTTCTCATTAAGAATGGAAGAGACGAGCTCCTGTAGAACTTTCAAACTGAAATTTGCCTGCACTGTATTTAGCTTTTAAGTGCAAGATAAGCTAATCTCAAGATGACTTTAAACTAAATCACACATATCATTTTTATATTCAGTGGAGTATGGTTTTAAAAATGCCTAGATGTGCAAGACTGTTTAAAAAATAATTGAACACTTTCTGGATCTGTCCTATTCAGACTCTTCCTATCAGTTGGGTAAACAGTAAACCTAGTCTTAATCCACGATCTTTCATGATTGACATCTGAAATACTCTGTGGCAGTGATCAAGGATTGACTTCTACATGGCCTCAACAAAAAGCTGACATATGAGACAGAACATATTAGTAAATGATACTTTTGTGGTCTAATGGAAATATGAGTTCACTTTGGCATAAAAGGGTGCATCCATTTAGTGTTGCTTTAGCTCTCTCAGGGCTCTTGGGATCCCCAGGGCAGTTTGGGGGTGCCATTTGGATGGTTGGGTGTTATGTAAGGTCTTCTCTAGGTTTTGTGATTGCTGGATAGTCCTCAAGTCTTCCTGTGGGTTAAATTCAATTCCATGAATCATTCTAAGATAGACTCAATTATATCCGGGGTCAACTTTCATCATTAAGCTGAAATGCTAGTGTGAAAATTTGGTATTTTGTCAACAGCTAAGTCTAGAAGATTTGCTAATTTGATAAGGTCTTAGAAGAGCAAATTAGAGGGAATTTTTAAAAAATCAGTAGTATGAAAGTGGAAAGGAATATCATACGAATTCTCTTTGATTATTGCTGTCCAAAGTTATACTTCTTTCACATCTCATGTCTACAGAAAGGCCATGGATTTGACATGAATTAACTAACAGCAGTTCTTAAAATATAACTAGGGAGCTTGAATTTCAAACCAGAAGGGAAGGTTAAAAGGACAGTGTGTCACAATCATCTTCATATAAAGACCCTAATTTTATAACCATAATTGGAATTTCATCTCCATCAAAGGCAGTGTCGCACATACACACAAGCTAGTATGGTATGGAGCACACACATGAGCAAAATGTTGTTGGAGACTATGAACTGGAATTTCTTTGTCTCTACTCTTCGATGATGAATATAATAAACAAATACAGTACTGCAGAAATTCATAGCTTAAGCAAATTATTTTAGTATTTCAATTTCATGTCAAATACCATAATACAGTCTGATTAAGTATCTGAATATTTTAGTGATTTGGAAAGCATGTCCTGTTCAGCTCTATTTTATCACTTTCTTATTTCCAAAAGCAATAACAACACAAAAAAATGACAAAAATCTCATCTGGAACAGCAATTGTTTATAACTAGATTTTCTGAGAGAGGTTGAATACCAAGCTATGTTTAATAGCAGGAGTCAGAGACTACACAGTAATGGGTTTTGCACATTGCCTACAGCTCTTTGCCCTTGTCTGTCTTCTCTTTCTGGTTTAGGCCTTCTCTCTGTGTGGCTTAATGCACATGCTTACGTCCATGCATAGGAGACAGGCGGAAAGGCGCAGTGCGGGGGACATGGGAAGGTGGCAAGAGGATGAGAGAAGAAAGAGAAATATTAAGAGCTCCTAAAGCAGAGGTTCTTACAAGCAGGGGTTCTTGTAGTAAAGGGAGTCTCCTTACTGTCATCTAAAAAGTCTTCCTCCTCATCCTCCTTTCTCAGTCTCCTCTTGGTCTCCTCATCATAAATGAGGCCTAGCAGGTTGGCTGGGCTCTCACTCTCCCCATGACACAGCTCATTCAACCGGACGCCAATTGCCTGCCATGGGAAGAAAAGAATAAAACAGCACAAAGTATGTTAGACTCCAACATCGTCTCTCATGTTACAGAGGACATAATCAACCAATGAATGGGGATGATTTCCAGTATAAGCGTCTTTTGTAGGATGTAGTGTGCACCACTATATCTGCCAATAAAGAAACCAAGGTAGAAGGCATTGACCTTATCTCTAGGATCATTTAGTATGAAGTCTTGTAGAAACTGGAATGACATTTTTGTGTACTAATAAAGAAACTGTTTTTTTTTTCTCTGACAGCATATCCATTTCCTCAAAGGTCATTTATTTTACAGATCTATTATTAGGGAATATACAGCTATTTTTACTGTGGTATAAAATGAGAAGGCACTGTTCCTCAGAGTGCTTCTGATTATGCTAGTTTATGAGAATATCAGTGTCATACTCATGAGTTTAGAAGTTGGCAAGAATTCTGGTACTGCAGTTTTATTTGTATCTGCCGTTATGTATGTGCTTATTGGCTTTTATAGACTGTGTTCCCCCTTCCACAATACTCCATAAATTAGTAAAAAGTACTAGCTTCTCTTTTCGTAGAGTACCTAATGACTATATTAGAAACATGACTTTTAATAACTGCACACATTGGACGGGGGTTGTGGCTCAGTGGCAGAGCGTATGCCTCAGCACCATATAAAAATAAATAAAACAAAATAAAGATATTGTGTCCATGCATAACTAAAACAAATATTTGAAAAAATAACTGCACACATTGACAATATCAGCTTTTATGTTATATTAATAAAATCAATATCCTTGCTAACTGTTCTTCCAAATCACCATGCACTATTATATGATTTATCAAGAAGAGACAAAAACATTACCTCTATCTATTTCCTTCTACATCCCAACTCTATAGAATATGCAACAGTAAAAGAACCTGGGCTTAGGGAGGAGAGTCAGGGAAAAGGCTAAGCTGAGTACTGAACTTTAGGTTTGACCGTTTGGTTCTCTGTGTATTAGCAAGAACATATTTCACCTAATTTTTTCTTTCCTCCAATATCATATATTTTAAAAATAATTAGAAAATTTACTAAATACTGGGTATTCAAAGTATTAGACTCAACATTAGAAACTAACATTCAAACACTACTGGATATGCAAAGTATATCCAGAACTCTTTAAATAAAAACACAAATTTTTTGAATGTCTTAGAAAACTTGAAACAAATAGGTCTCCTTAAACTCTAAAATTACTTGACAAGCTACAAACCAAGAAGCATAAACCACATTAACAAGAAAGTAGTATGAAAAGATATCATGGGATCCTGGGATTTTAGCTAACCTGGGAAGTTTTAAGTAAACAAAACAAATATAAAAACAAAACCAACTAGTACTTCCATCTCAAAAGACYTTGTTCTGAGGATGAGACAGGCAATTATGAGGCTGCATCATAAGACTCAAAGGGGGAATTTATTGTATCAATACTTCTGGGATATTGTAACTAAATAATTAAGTTAATCCACAGTTTATAAAGCAGAAAACATTATGAAAAATAAATTTGGGCTAAATTTCAAATCAATTAGAGCTCTACACCTTATTTTTTCTTTCTTTCCTTTCTTCCTTCATGCATCAAGTATTTATAGAGTGAGGTAATTTGTAAGGTATAAAATAGAACACTAAATTTGGTTAGCTGTTATAATATAGTAGTATCTTTGTTTAATGTGCCCTAGTAGATTATACTTCCACATACAGCAGGGTTGCTGTTGGGAAAATAGGAAGGTTAGAGAGGTCAAGAGACTTGCAGACAGTTGCTCAGCAGACTGTGAAATGGGATTCAAACACAAGAGTGTCTATGTCTATATAATATTTTTTCCTCCATGACTTACAGTCTATTGAGGAGGTAATAAAATACTGAAATAATGCACTAGGAGCCTGAAAACACTTAATTAGTTCAGAAGATAGGTTAAATTCATTCAAAGAGTCTTACTGCTGTAGACTCTGAGGAATTGGAGTTTTGATTGATGGAGACTGGAGAGTGAATATGTTCAGTTGCAGGGCCCTAAAAGATCCACATTCAGGGAAAGGCACCATGTATTCAGAGATTGATAGGTAGGTCACTTGGTTGAATCCCAATTTTATGAGAGGAAAGAAACAATGTGCAGAAAGAATAGAAAGGTAGGTTAGAAAGATAGGTTAGAACTAGGTAACCTGATCACTGTCTCAGGGACATTTCGATAGTTGCCCAGGAATGCAGAGACAAGACAAGCAGCCTGCTTTAAAAAAAAATTATTTAATGACCTATTGTTATTAAACATATCTTAGGTACAAAGTCTTAAGACAAACATTAGGTGCATTAGCTCATTTGACTTTGTCATACATAATCTTGAGTGGTTTGAGCAAAGATTCTGCAGTGGGCAGTGATGCCAGATTAAGCAATTTAAGATTTAAGCCACAGGAAAAGGAGGGCCAAGGCATTTTAAGCAGGTAGAAACATGTTCTGATTTGCATTTTAGCCCAATCACAGCCAGAAAGTTTGAAGAATGACTTGAAGGGGGCATGTCTGGWGGCTGGGAGACCAGTATGAATGCTGTTTGGGAAAGGCTGTGCCTTGGGGAGATCACTTTACCAGCAGTGTATAGGATGGATTAGATGTGGGAAGACTGAGGAGGAGACCAAATGGGAAAATGATTTAATCATCCAGACGGGATGTAATGAAGATCTCACCTATGGAATTCAATGAATGGGAGAGATAGGATCAATAGGGGATGGAGGTTTGCAATATGTTCAAAGATTGTCATGTAAGATGATTGTGGTACTATTAATAAGAACGCAAAGCTCAAGGATGGTTGCCGGCTGGATGTGTTCATTTGGATAGAAGAGTTTTATTTAGGTAAAAGTGAGTTTCTGGGTATCAAGTGAATGCCCCCGAAATGCAGTTGGCAATGAAAGAAAAAAACATCTAAAAAGTGCTAGGGTGCTATGGATAGAAAAGTCTGTGCTACTGGCACACAGGAAATAGCTGGAAACACAGGAATAATGAAGCTTGGAGGAAATAATTCAGGAAGAAATTACAAGAGATCCTGAGTATTATCTGCATTTACGGAGAGGGAGGAGGCAGAGGACCGGGGAGAAGACAGAGGATGGGGCACTGAGAGGCCAGGAGACTCTGGAGCACAGTGGTTATGGAAGACAAAAAGAAGGAAAAGGTCAAGGCAGTCAGCTGAGTCAACAGCTGCAAAAATGTTAGAAGGCATTAATCATGAAAATATTTATTTGGAAAGTCCTTTGGTTAAAACCCTACAAATCAGAAGCCCTCATATGTTTAGCACTTACTTGATTTCCCCTTCTTGTGGGAAGCCCATAGGATTAGAAATTGGAACTGCTTTTTTCAGAGATACCACTTAAAACAGACCCAGAATGAGGTAGGTAATAAACGGGGGTCACCACATCTCTGTGCATTGAAGAAATGGGTCTGTTTTATGAAAAACCCACTTTTGTCCTCAAATCCACAATAATTGTGGGAATGAAAATTGCTCACACTTTTAGAAAACAAAAAGGAGAAAAGACAAAGACATCAGTGGAGGACTAAAACGGGTAACTGTTGTATCAGAAAGTTTTTAAATACTACTTTAGAAAGAACATAAAAAGTATATCCTAAAGGGAAAATAAAGTTAAAAATCTGACAACTGGGGCTGGAGATGTGGCTCAGCGGTAGCGCGCTCGCCTGGCATGCGTGCGGCCCGGGTTCGATCCTCAGCACCACATACCAACAAAGATGTTGTGTCTGCCGAGAACTAAAAAATAAATATTAAAAATTCTCTCTCTCTCTCTCTCTCTCTCTCCTCTCTCACTCTCTCTTTAAAAAAAAAAAAATCTGACAACTGGTCTAATTATCTATCTTAGTGACCCCAAATCTCATTGTTGGGAAAATAAAGTTAAAAATCTGACAACTGGTMTAATTATCTATCTTAGTGACCCCAAATCTCATTGTTTATTTTAGAAGATCCCAAATTAGGTCTATCTCAGACCAGGGAGTCATCCCTGATTTCATTAATGTTCTTGTATCTGTAGAATGGAAGATGGGAATGATTCAGAATTCCAATAGACTGGCTACATGGAGCAACAAGCTCATTTGCCTGGGAGATTTTGGCAGTACTGGAGGAGGTGGATTGGAAGGGCAGCATGGAGAGCAGCTTTGTAATTTTTTTAACAGWATTTGCCTCCTCTGTTATGGACCTTTTCTACCTAAATGAGATGAAAACAAACCAATTGTATTTGTCATTTTACTAAATTAATAAAACATGAAGAAATATTAGGATTACAATAACATCACTAAAAACATAGTGATTATCAATGGAAGAGTTTTAAGTGACGGTCTACAACCTGTTGAAATTAAAGGTAATTGTGCTTGGTAATGGTTAACTGTTCTTCTTATTAAATCAATATTCTCATTGAGTTGGTAAGTATATGTTATCTATGTTTTTAGGTATGCATAATTTTATATATGCATATATAAATATACGATATATATTTATTATATATAATATATATTGCATATTTATTGCATATATAACATATAAATATATATGATTTTATATATACATACTTGCATTAAAAGAACTATTTTGGAAATCTGTTGCAGGGACAATATTATTTTCAGGGATAATACTATTTCTGGTTTTTTGGGGGGGTACCAAGGATTGAACTCAGGGGCACTTGACCACTGAGCCACATTCCTAGCCCTATTTTGTTAGAGACAGGGTCTCACTGAGTTGTTTAGTACCTCACTGAGGCTGGCTTTGAACTCATGTTCCTCCTGCATCTGCCTCCCAAACTGCTGGGATTACAGGGATGAGCCACCATGCCAGGCTATGCTATTTAGTACTATTAATAAAGAAGGGAAGAATCTATTTAGGGAATGCTCTTGAATTAAAGTAGCAGTGATATTAGGAATTTTTAATTGCTCGTCTTATTTTGCCTGAAAAAAAATTAAAAGAGTCAAAATACCCCTCTCCTTAAAAGAATTGTACAATTGAAGAAAAATACTTTATGTCTCCAGTTTCCCAGAGAGAAGGTGTGTTCAGAATTACCTGGTTCTTTGTGGAAAAAGGAAGACAATTTTTCACCAGTGGAGTGCTGAATCATTTTTAATGTGATATTGGATACAAAATACTGGGTGTAGGGGATAAGAACAACCCTTCATCTGCTCTCTGCCACTTGTGAACTCAATTTTACATCTGATTTTTTTTGATTTTAAGAGTAAAAAGTTTGGTGTCTTCAGGAAATGTCATTCTGATTTTAGTATGGTCGTGAAACAGCACCCACAAAGCTGGGTCATTAGAAATATCACTCACTGTTTTAATGACAGAAATATAAATCTGAAAGAGATAAACTGCATTTTGCATGCATGTTTAGTGGGGAAAGCTTGGGTTATAACTTGATTATCATCTTGTCAGAGGAGAGAGTCGGTTGTAACAATCAAGATGAGGGAGTCCTGAGATTGGGGGTGAGAGGTTCCTGTACAATTGGTTAGAAGAACCTAGAGCCAAAAGACAACGGACCCTCCAATTACCTGCCCTTTCTTTCCTATAATCTTACTTACGCACTTCTTCTGCTAGCATCTTATCATAGTGACTAACCCTCATGTAAACATGCTTTACAAATTATTTTAAGGTACCACCCTTGAAGAATGTGCTTAGGGCCAGCCACTCTCCCCACTCTCCACCCACACCCTAGTTTTGTTTCATCTCTCAATGCCAATGTTTTGTCCACTGTGACATTCGTTCTAAGATTTCTTGTTATCATAGCTATTTTATAAGCAAATTTAGGGGAAAATTCCTATTTTCTATGAAAAGAGATGTATTAGAACTTTGCACATAAGCCAAGGGAAACCTTCAAAGAGAGGAGATAAAATATCCATCCTCACAAGGAAATATTAAGGCACTGGAGTGATAATTGATGTTGTTATTCAGGATATCAAAGGATAGGATGGAACACTGGTGACAAGAGTCAAGAAGGGCTAGAGTGTGATCTAGCCATGGTGAAGAAAAGAACAGCATTCCAAATGAGCAGAGCCCTGTGGCAGAGTCATACATTCTACTTAAAGGATGAGAAATTTTTTACCTACATTCTAAGAAAGACAGTGGTAAAGGTATATCATTTGTTAATTAAGTATTTAGTTTCACAGATAAAATAGTCTCAGGTGTATCATGAGAATATCTTGCCTTCTCTCAGATATTTGTGGCAAATATTCAACTTTTGGATATGAACTTCCCTAATCAGGTTTGATTAGAATTCCTAATGAAGATTCATTCCTTTTTATTCACTTATACACATATGTAGGTACATGAGTAACTATAACATGTAGTTATTTCTGAAGGCTTTCGGGTAACTAAGAGATGGTATATAAACAAAAAAGAAAATTCTGTTAAAAAACTGGGATAAAAAAAAAAAAAACATGTCCTGGGAAAACATAAATTAGAATAGAAAGCCAAAATGGGATGTAAGCATTAACTATTACAACAATAATTTTCACAAAGATGATTCTTGATGAATATAGCAATTGAAAGCAAAAATTTGGAATCCAGAGTGGGAGATGGAATACCAGTCCCTCCTTGTACCAGATATGCAAACTCTGGCAAATAGCTTGACATATGTTAACTTCAGTTTTGATGATTTAGTAATCTCTCACCTCCTAGATTTATTTATTGGAAAGACTAAATGGGCGGTTCATTTCCCCACTAAGTGTTTCATTCAGTGCCTGGTATATAACAATGAATTGTCTTCAAAACCAAACATAATCAAAAACTCCACTCAAGTACTCTAAGTTTGACAGAAGAAAATTCAAAGCTCACGTCTCCCCAYTGGTAGAAGAGCTTGGCAGCATTCCACTGCAGCTTCTGGTTCCGCTTGTTGCCCACGATGGGGGACCKTCCCCGGGAAAGGCCCTTCTTAGTAATGTTCACATGGTGCCCTTTCATCCACTCTGGCCAGTTGCCTCTGTTGCAGCGGTGAACAAAACGGGCACATTCCAGGAACAAGGCTGCTCGGGCCACCACAGGGGCTTCCTGAGGAGGGTTGACGAGGAAATAATAATGTAYGGTTAATAACCAATACCTTTAATTTAACTTATAAAAAGAATATTGTGGGATTAATAAACAGTATCTCTATATTGACAATATTTCTGTGAATTTAGTTTATTTTAGCTTCCATGTTTGGATTTAGCTTGGCCATATTACCCAAGTGATGTCAGCACAGTCATGGAAAATCTGAAAAATGTAACCACAAAGGCAAATCTTAGAAATTAGACTTTCTAAGCAGGTTTCTATGCTTTATTCCTTCTGAGGAATCTCAAGTAATTACATGCTTCCATTTTGCATTTCAAGGGCAATTGGGATTTGAATGTAATAGGGAGTTTTTTATGTTTTAAAATATGAAACATTATAAATATAAAATCTTTTTTTAAAAAAACCTAAAATCTTAACATGAAGGAAACACTTATTACATTTCTAGAACTAGTCTATTTCAATCAAGGGTGTTTTGATGTTGTACCATTGACAATCTTTTATCTATGACCATTCATACATTTCAAGGGGGTAAAATTGCTTACTGCACATTTTGTTGAGTTACTCTTTTTTTTTTTTATTTTGTCATTGAATAAGAGATCAAATTCTGTCTAATAGGCCTGGTTTCAATGGAAAATGTTTGACAAAGAGAGAATTATTTTTTGGTAAATGAAAAAGCAGAACATTTCTTCATGAAAATAAAATTATGCACCATCTTGTCATGTCAAGATATGGTTGAAAAAATAAAAGAAGATACACTTTGTTGTTGATACCCAGAAACTGGTGTGAAAATGAGATGCTCTATTGAATATTTAAAATATTTTTAAGATCTTTTACAGGTGACATGTCCCATAGCTTAACAGGTCATAAGAAAAATATACATGAAGTATTAATGTGTATTTTGAATTGTGCCAGTTTTGAAATATATATTACAATATTAGCCATTAACTCAGGATTACTTAATAACTACGGGTTACTCAGAAATGTCAGATTTTCAAATTGAAGCCATAGTATTCTTAACAATACATTGATCCATGAGGTTAAATAGGGGTTAATATGTAGAGAGAGTCATGTAGCAGTTAACTTTCTTTTTTAAATTATAATATATAACAACCCTATGATGTAGAAATAATATCTTTGCTTTAAGATTTTAAAAACAAGGTATAATTTTCCCACTTTCACATAGCTGGGAAGAGGTGCACACAGGATCTTTTTGTAATTTTTTTTAATTATACATGGACATAATACATTTATTTTGTTTGTTTATTTTTATGTGGTGCTGAGGATTGAACCCAGTGCCTCACATGTGCAAGGCAAGTGCCACTGAGCCCCCAACTCCAGTCTGCACACAGAATCTTTGATGCCCAGATCTATACTAGTTCCATTTTGGTATCTAAATTGTCTCAACTTATACTCATATAAATCTTAGTAAAAGATGATTTTTAGAATGTCAATTGACATTATTTTATTTTATTTATTTTTTGAAATTAATTTAAAATGGGACATTGGTCCCATGTGATATTATTTTTTAAAACAAATATATGATTGTATCCTTTCCCAATTCCAAATCTATTACAAGATCCATCTACCTCAATTATATAATGACTAAAGATGTGATTGGTTTCTTTCTTTCTATTCCCATCTCAAGTGCTCTATAACCCAGTCATATCAAAGTAGTTGTAGTCTCCCAAATAGAGACCACATATACCTTTTCTTATGTTGTTTCCCTGAACTTGCAGAACTTTAAACTCCTTTTCCACCTGGAAAATTCCCACTTTTAAGATTCAGGTTAGGTACCTCCCCTGAGAAGCTTTCTTTATTCCCATCCCCTTTCAGGCAGAGTTGGTTGCTTCATGGTTTTGAGTACCACAGTATTTCAAACACTAGACAACTCAAGTAATTTTTTTTACTTTAGCCCCTAGTTAGTATTTATTTTACTAAACATGTCAGATATGCTTGTCTGTGTCTGGAAAAGCTGGAACATCTGTCTTTAAAAACGAATGCCAGTTTGGAGGGCAAGGCAAGCGATGTAATTTATTTTTAGCCTGTCACATTGTGACACATTCTCAATATAAAGTGATGTGAATTCAATGCTTAATGACAGGGAGACAGAAATAACATCGCTTGAGTAGCATGAACTTTGCCTCCTCAAGATTAAAAAGGGTGAAACTATTCTAGATCAGGACTGAGGGGGTCAAAGATCTTTCCATTGCCCCTAACCATGATATGGCAGCTGAGAGGGTGAACAGTGGATGAACCACTCAAATTKTGGTATGTGAGGCTGTTTAGGAAGCTCAAGGCATTTTATGAATGAAAAGTAATTTAAATTCTTTGCTCTCCAAAATTTCTCATGATAAAACTCAGATGTTATCAGTATATAGTTATTGGCCCTGGGAATTCTAAATTATAATTGGACTTGAGATGAATATGAAAAGAATTCCCATTAACTGTACAGCACGATATTAAGGGAAAGGTTGGCTATTTTCTGATGAATTTGACCCATGTAAAGTACCAAACTCAGTATTATTTGGAAATGTCACTGTTTGTAATAAGGAAGGATGACAGGAAGTCATTCAAACATTGTCCCTTTATAATAATTCTCATGAACCTGGGGGCTGACAGCAGTCTTGGAGTTCCATATTCAAGATGGCAGTACATTTTACCAATTTCTGGGGAATAGAACTGTGCATATTATTGTCCAGAAAACTAAGAGATATTGAGGCATAGAGCCAAGGTCACTACTCTGCATCCTAATGGAAGACACTTAGCAACAAGAACAGACTTACATTGCATGTGCAACAGCATTTAAAGCATTCTAGTGTGAGCAGGCCTGGGGTGATTTTTTTTTTTTTTAATTTTTAGTTCCTTTCAGAGTGTAGTTTAGAAAGTACTGATTTTAGGGACAGGGTAATGAGTTACTTTGGGCAAAGGATTCTTTGAATACATGAAGGAAAATCAGTTTCCTTCTTCTGAGTGAGTTTACCTCTCAAGGCTCAGTGCAATCTGAAGTAAAAGCAAAAAAGGGAGGCATGGCATAATGGATAAGGATGGACTCATACTATGGGCAAAACCAAGCATCACTGGAGAAAAAATGAATCAGAAGAATGCTGCATGMTGCAAATAACCATAGAATGTCAGAGGCACCATTATAAGTGAACAGCTAAACAAAAATGGCATTGAGATGTCACAGAAAATGTGCCGGTGGTCCTAAAAGAAAAATAGGTATATGAAAAATGTCTCTTTCTTAACTTGTCTGCCTATGTCACTTTTTTAGGCACTAATTAATGAGACAGAATTGCTTCCTTTCCATTCCATCATAACTTCATAGTTTATACAAAAGCAAGAATAAACTAGGAAGACAAAGATATTAGGTTGAACTGTACGGAATTTCCAAATACAAAGGACAAAAGTAGTCATACACCAGCAGTTTCATATGGTTTACTCCATCTTATGTAAGGTGTTCTCTGCAATAGTTACAGTTGTCTAGTTAAAATTACAAGAATTCATGAGAATGTTGTTAATGCAGTCTGTATTTCTCTAATATTCTGCACCTAAAACACTTTGAGCATCCATCTACTTTCCTTGACTTCCTTTGCCGTTTCCCCATGAATTTTATAAGATTGTTATGTATATTGAATGTTTCCTTTATGAAAGTGAAGCAGAGAATTGGGATACTAATCTAAGCAGCTGTGCTTTCTTTTGCCTRGGGACCTAGAAAATATTGTTAGCAAGATACGATGGTTAATTGAAGGTTATAATTGCAATGCATTCCTTTCCCTGAGGGACTATATCTAAGCTTATTATGTGAGAAGAAACCTTGACTGATCCTGAAAACTCATATAACACTGGACAGGAACTAACTGTTTTTAAGGACTAAATATTTTATGGTCATCCCTGGGGAATTACATATTTTTTTATTGCCTTACAATAAAATTAAAAGGGCTAGCTGGTACAAGATATCTGTTTATTTAAAGCCAATGGGAATAAGCAGTTATTGTGGGTCTCAGTATGTATTGGGACCTTCTTTGCTAGAGGGCAYGTGCTTCTGAGTCAGTATTTATTACTTGGCTTGTATTGAATTCTCTGCTTGACTAAGATCATTAACTAACAGGCACATAAGCCAAGGGACTGTCCCTGCTCATTTCTACAGTAGCTATGTGCAGACGGGAGGCAGGCATTATTGTTTAGCCCATGATCTGGATGGCTAGTCATTTTAACACCTACTCAGATCATGGTAATATTCTGAATATTTTAAAAACGAAATGAGGTCTCCTGTTTCTGAAAATATAATAGATTAGGTGCAAAGATGAACTTCTTTTGGTTTAAAACACTTTAAAAATACTGAATAAAATATTCAAAAAATTCTTTATTTTGATATTTGCTTTGTTTTTAGAGTGATGTACAAGAACTTTGAAGAATAAAAAGTACAAGAAAGTGCAATTCTGGGATGGGGGTGGAAATGAGCTAGCATAGATATTTTGTCCTAAGGGTTTCTGTTGACCATACARAGACAAGAGCATGGGTGTTTAATGGGCCACAAGCTAAATATCTAGGCCCAAACATAGGGAGGTGAGGTCAAAAATTCCTGTGCAAAGCTATGACCTCAGGTAGGAGCCCTCTCAGAAGATGGATGAGAAAAAATATACCCTCCACAGAAGCTGTCTTATCTGACTAAGATTGACTCTGAATAGAGCATAAGAGAGGGAGAGACAGAGGAGGCAAAAAAAGAGGGGAAAGCGTTTATGGAAAACTTCTAATCAAAATCTCACATTCTCATACAAGTTTGAAGCAAGAACAGGCACTACTTCCATCCTCCTCCACCTGCCCCCTCGACCAATAATTTAAAAATGATGGTAAAGTCACTTGGGAAGATGGATAAAAGAGATTCCTTGGCCCCATCTGCACAGATTCTGATCCAGTAAATCTGTTGCAGGACCTGAAAAATTGCATTTCTAACAGGCTTACAGGTAATGCTATTGTTGCTGGTCCATTGACTAATACTG